CCCCCTGAACATTGGCGCCTCCTCCTCACAGCCCCCCAGAGCAGCGGCGCCTCTCCCTCACAGCCCCCCAGAGCAGCGGCGCCTCCTCCTCACAGCCCCCCAGAGCATGGGCGCCTCCTCCTCACAGCCCCCCAGAGCATCGGCGCCTCCTCCTCACAGCCCCCCAGAGCAGCGGCGCCTCCTCCTCACAGCCCCCCAGAGCAGCGGCGCCTCCTCCTCACAGCCCCCAGAGCAGCGGCGCCTCCTTCTCACAGCCCCCCAGAGCAGCGGGCCTCCTCCTCACAGCCCCCCAGAGCAGCGGCGCCTCCTCCTCACAGCCCCCCATAGCATGGGCGCCTCCTCCGCACAGCCCCCAGAGCAGCGGCGCCTCCTCCTCACAGCCCCCCCAGAGCATGGGCGCCTCCTCCTCACAGCCCCCCAGAGCAGCGGCGCCTCCTCCTCACAGCCCCCCAGAGCATGGGCGCCTCCTCCTCACAGCCCCCAGAGCATGGGCGCCTCCTCCTCACAGCCCCCAGAGCAGCGGCGCCTCCTCCTCACAGCCCCCCAGAGCAGCTGCGCCTCCTCCTCACAGGCCCCCAGAGCATGGGCGCCTCCTCCTCACAGCCCCCCAGAGCATGGGCGCCTCCTCCTCCTCACAGCCCCCCAGAGCATGGGCGCCTCCTCCTCACAGCCCCCCAGAGCATGGGCGCCTCCTCCTCACAGCCCCCCAGAGCAGCGGCGCCTCCTCCTCACAGCCCCCCAGAGCATGGGCGCCTCCTCTTCACAGCCCCCCAGAGCATGGGCGCCTCCTCCTCACTGCCCCCCAGAGCATGGGCGCCTCCTCCTCACAGCCCCCCAGAGCATGGGCGCCTCCTCCTCACAGCCCCCCAGAGCAGCGGCGCCTCCTCCTCACAGCCCCCAGAGCATGGGCGCCTCCTCCTCACTGCCCCCAGAGCAGCGGCGCCTCCTCCTCACAGCCCCCCAGAGCAGTGGCACCTCCACCTCACAGCCCCTCAGAGCACTGGCGCCTCCTCCTCACAGCCCCCCAGAGCATGGGCGCCTCCTCCTCACAGCCCCCCAGAGCAGCGGCGCCTCCTCCTCACAGCCCCCCAGAGCAGCGGCGCCTCCTCCTCACAGCCCCCCAGAGCAGCGGCGCCTCCTCCTCACAGCCCCCCAGAGCAGCGGCGCCTCCTCCTCACAGCCCCCCAGAGCAGCGGCGCCTCCTCCTCACAGCCCCCCAAAGCATGGGCGCCTCCTCCTCACAGCCCCCCAGAGCATGGCGCCTCCTCCTCACAGCCCCCCAGAGCATGGGCGCCTCCTCCTCACAGCCCCCCAGAGCAGCGGCGCCTCCTCCTCACAGCCCCCCAGAGCATGGGCGCCTCCTCCTCACAGCCCCCCAGAGCAGCGGCGCCTCCTCCTCACAGCCCCCAGAGCATGGGCGCCTCCTCCTCACAGCCCCCAGAGCATGGGCGCCTCCTCCTCACAGCCCCCAGAGCATGGGCGCCTCTCCTCACAGCCCCCAGAGCATGGGCGCCTCCTCCTCACAGCCCCCCAGAGCATCGGCGCCTCCTCCTCACAGCCCCCCAGAGCAGCGGCGCCTCCTCCTCACAGCCCCCCAGAGCATGGGCGCCTCGTCCTCACAGCCCCCCAGAGCATGGGCGCTGCGGAGATAACTGCAGCAACGGGGCTAGGCTACGGGCTAGGCACGTGTGGCTCGTGTGATCTCTGCGTTCTCTGTTCCTTAGTCGTTTCCTTGTGTGCACACTACTTGCTAGTTCACGGGGAAAATTGGCAAGAGTTTCTAGGAAAAGTTCAGAACAATGATTACAATGAAGTTGGCATAGCAAGACTACATCAGAGCAAGCATTCAGGTCGGCCAACTGCCAGCGCAGCTTGGTCGACGCCTCCAGCACAGACTGGTCGCCTCCGCGCTCCAGCAAGGCAAGGTCGACAGCGTTGCCACGCAGGACAGCAGTGCACCCTGCTGCAGTAGTTGTGCGCAGATGATTGGCGCGCAGGGTCTCGTCACCTGCACAGCGCACACACCACGTCAACCTTGAGCTGACGACTGCCTCTGATCCGTCACGATGACCTCGGGATACCAGCACCGAGATCAGGCTTGCCAACTTCGTCTGGGCGACCGCCACACTCCTCCGCAGCACTTCGTTACCCTGATAACCTGGCCGACTAGGGAACCACGTCGCCCAGCAGCTCCCGTACGTGCCCGTCGACCTCCAGGTTGACGACCACTCCACGTCGACCTCCTCCAGGTCGACGTCCCCTTTGGTCGACCAGCTCCACGTCGACCAGCACCCTGGTCGGCCTGCTCCTCGTCAACCAGTACAGTCGTCGGCCGACCACCCGCGTCGGCCACCCGAGAGCGGCGTCACGAAATTGACGCCCCGCTACTCGACGCCCAATTGTTCAGCGTCCTGAGTCGAGGTCGACGTCGGCCCCTCCTTCGTCGACAACCAGGCCAGTCGACCACTAACATGTCGACTAGCAGTTCGTTAGCCGACCACCGAAGTCGGCTTCCCCAAGTTGACGTCACCAAGTTGACGTCCTTCACAGGTCAACTCCCAAGTCGACCTCCCCGAAGTCGGCGCATCCTAAAGTTGGCGCCCCGTGCAGTGGTCCCCCGTGCAGGTCAAACTCCCGTCGACCAGCTCACCCCCACTGCTGCAGGTCGGCTGCTCCCCTCACACCCGACCACGAAGTCGGCTCCGCCCAAGCGAGGACGGGGCCAACACCCAACCCCCATGACAGGCCCCTCCTCCTCACAGCCCCCCAGAGCATTGGCGCCTCCTCCTCACAGCCCCCCAGAGCAGCGGCGCCTCTCCTCACAGCCCCCCAGAGCAGCGGCGCCTCCTCCTCACAGCCCCCCAGAGCATGGGCGCCTCCTCCTCACAGCCCCCCAGAGCATCGGCGCCTCCTCCTCACAGCCCCCAGAGCAGCGGCGCCTCCTCCTCACAGCCCCCCAGAGCAGCGGCGCCTCCTCCTCACAGCCCCCCAGAGCAGCGGCGCCTCCTTCTCACAGCCCCCCAGAGCAGCGGCGCCTCCTCCTCACAGCCCCCCAGAGCAGCGGCGCCTCCTCCTCACAGCCCCCCAGAGCATGGGCGCCTCCTCCTCACAGCCCCCCAGAGCAGCGGCGCCTCCTCCTCACAGCCCCCCAGAGCATGGCCGCCTCCTCCTCACACCCCCCAGAGCAGCGGCGCCTCCTCCTCACAGCCCCCCAGAGCATGGGCGCCTCCTCCTCACAGCCCCCCAGAGCATGGGCGCCTCCTCCTCACAGCCCCCAGAGCAGCGGCGCCTCCTCCTCACAGCCCCCCAGAGCGCTGGCGCCTCCTCCTCACAGGCCCCCAGAGCATGGGCGCCTCCTCCTCACAGCCCCCCAGAGCATGGGCGCCTCCTCCTCACAGCCCCCCAGAGCATGGGCGCCTCCTCCTCACAGCCCCCCAGAGCATGGGCGCCTCCTCCTCACAGCCCCCCAGAGCAGCGGCGCCTCCTCCTCACAGCCCCCCAGAGCATGGGCGCCTCCTCCTCACAGCCCCCCAGAGCATGGGCGCCTCCTCCTCACAGCCCCCCAGAGCATGGGCGCCTCCTCCTCACAGCCCCCCAGAGCATGGGCGCCTCCTCCTCACAGCCCCCCAGAGCAGCGGCGCCTCCTCCTCACAGCCCCCCAGAGCATGGGCGCCTCCTCCTCACAGCCCCCAGAGCAGCGGCGCCTCCTCCTCACAGCCCCCCAGAGCAGGGCGCCTCCTCCTCACAGCCCCCAGAGCAGTGGCGCCTCCTCCTCACAGCCCCCCAGAGCATGGGCGCCTCCTCCTCACAGCCCCCCAGAGCAGCGGCGCCTCCTCCTCACAGCCCCCCAGAGCAGCGGCGCCTCCTCCTCACAGCCCCCCAGAGCAGCGGCGCCTCCTCCTCACAGCCCCCCAGAGCAGCGGCGCCTCCTCCTCACAGCCCCCCAGAGCAGCGGCGCCTCCTCCTCACAGCCCCCAGAGCATGGGCGCCTCCTCCTCACAGCCCCCCAGAGCATGGGCGCCTCCTCCTCACAGCCCCCCAGAGCAGCGGCGCCTCCTCCTCACAGCCCCCCAGAGCATGGGCGCCTCCTCCTCACAGCCCCCCAGAGCAGCGGCGCCTCCTCCTCACAGCCCCCCAGAGCAACGGCGCCTCCTCCTCACAGCCCCCCAGAGCAGCGGCGCCTCCTCCTCACAGCCCCCCAGAGCAGCGGCGCCTCCTCCTCACAGCCCCCCAGAGCATGGGCGCCTCCTCCTCACAGCCCCCCAGAGCATGGGCGCCTCCTCCTCACAGCCCCCCAGAGCAGCGGCGCCTCCTCCTCACAGCCCCCCAGAGCATGGGCGCCTCCTCCTCACAGCCCCCCAGAGCATGGGCGCCTCCTCCTCACAGCCCCCCAGAGCAGCGGCGCCTCCTCCTCACAGCCCCCCAGAGCATGGGCGCCTCCTCCTCACAGCCCCCCAGAGCAGCGGCGCCTCCTCCTCACAGCCCCCCAGAGCAACGGCGCCTCCTCCTCACAGCCCCCCAGAGCAGGGGCGCCTCCTCCTCACAGCCCCCCAGAGCAGCGGCGCCTCCTTCTCACAGCCCCCCCAGAGCATGAGCGCCTCCTCCTCACAGTCCCCCAGAGCATGGGCGCCTCCTCCTCACAGCCTCCCAGAGCATGGGCGCCTCCTCCTCACAGCCCCCCAGAGCATGGGGCGCCTCCTCCTCACAGCCCCCAGAGCAGCGGCGCCTCCTCCTCACAGCCCCCCAGAGCAGCGGCGCCTCCTCCTCACAGCCCCCCAGAGCATGGGCGCCTCCTCCCCACAGCCCCCCAGAGCATGGGCGCCTCCTCCTCACAGCCCCCCAGAGCACCAGCGCCTCCTCCTCACAGCCCCCCAGAGCATGGGCGCCTCCTCCTCACAGCCCCCCAGAGCAGCGGCGCCTCCTCCTTACAGCCCCCTAGAGCATGGGCGCCTCCTCCTCACAGCCCCCCAGAGCAGCGGCGCCTCCTCCTCACAGCCCCCCAGAGCATGGGCGCCTCCTCCTCACAGCCCCCCAGAGCATGGGCGCCTCCTCCTCACAGCCCCCAGAGCATCGGCGCCTCCTCCTCACAGCCCCCCAGAGCATGGGCGCCTCCTCCTCACAGCCCCCAGAACAGCGGAGCCTCCTCCTCACAGCCCCCCAGAGCATGGGCGCCTCCTCCTCACAGCCCCCCAGAGCATGGGCGCCTCCTCCTCACAGCCCCCCAGAGCATGGGCGCCTCCTCCTCACAGCCCCCAAGAGCATGGGCGCCTCCTCCTCACAGCCCCCCAGAGCATCGGCGCCTCCTCCTCACAGCCCCCCAGAGCAGCGGCGCCTCCTCCTCACAGCCCCCCAGAGCATGGGCGCCTCGTCCTCACAGCCCCCCAGAGCATGGGCGCTGCGGAGATAACTGCAGCAACGGGAGCTAGGCTACGGGCTAGGCACGTGTGCTCGTGTGATCTCTGCGTTCTCTGTTCCTTAGTCGTTTCCTTGTGTGCACACTACTTGCTAGTTCACGGGGAAAATTGGCAAGAGTTTCACTAGGAAAAGTTCAGAACAATGATTACAATGAAGTTGGCATAGCAAGACTACATCAGAGCAAGCATTCAGGTCGGCCAACTGCCAGCGCAGCTTGGTCGACCGCGTTCCAGCACGACTTGGTCGACCGCGCTCCAGCAAGGCAAGGTCGACAGCGTTGCTCACGCAGGACAGCAGTGCACCCTGCTGCGTAGTTGTGCGCAGATGATTGGCGCGCAGGGTCTCGTCACCTGCACAGCGCACACACCACGTCAACCTTGAGCTGACGACTGCCTCTGATCCGTCACGATGACCTCGGGATACCAGCACCGAGATCAGGCTTGCCAACTTCGTCTGGGCGACCGCCACACTCCTCCGCAGCACTCCGTTACCCTGATAACCTGGCCGACTAGGGAACCACGTCGCCCAGCAGCTCCCGTACGTGCCCGTCGACCTCCCAGGTTGACGACCACCTCCACGTCGACCTCCTCCAGGTCGACGTCCCCTTTGGTCGACCAGCTCCACGTCGACCAGCACTCCTGGTCGGCCTGCTCCTCGTCAACCAGTACAGTCGTCGGCCGACCACCCGCGTCGGCCACCCGAAGCTGGCGTCACGAAATTGACGCCCCGCTACTCGACGCCCAATTGTTCAGCGTCCTGAGTCGAGGTCGACGTCGGCCCCTCCTTCGTCGACCACCAGGTCCAGTCGACCACTAACATGTCGACTAGCAGTTCGTTAGCCGACCACCGAAGTCGGCTTCCCCAAGTTGACGTCACCAAGTTGACGTCCTTCACAGGTCAACTCCCAAGTCGACCTCCCCGAAGTCGGCGCCATCCTAAAGTTGGCGCCCGTGCAGTGGTCCCCCGTGCAGGTCAAACTCCCCGTCGACCAGCTCACCCACTGCTGCAGGTCGGCTGCTCCCCTCACACCCGACCACGAAGTCGGCTCCGCCCAAGCGAGGACGGGGCCAACACCCAACTCCCGTTGACAGGCCCCTCCTCCTCACAGCCCCCCAGAACATTGGCGCCTCCTCCTCACAGCCCCCCAGAGCAGCGGCGCCTCTCCCTCACAGCCCCCCAGAGCAGCGGCGCCTCCTCCTCACAGCCCCCCAGAGCATGGGCGCCTCCTCCTCACAGCCCCCCAGAGCATCGGCGCCTCCTCCTCACAGCCCCCCAGAGCAGCGGCGCCTCCTCCTCACAGCCCCCCAGAGCAGCGGCGCCTCCTCCTCACAGCCCCCCAGAGCAGCGGCGCCTCCTTCTCACAGCCCCCCAGAGCAGCGGCGCCTCCTCCTCACAGCCCCCCAGAGCAGCGGCGCCTCCTCCTCACAGCCCCCCAGAGCATGGGCGCCTCCTCCTCACAGCCCCCCAGAGCAGCGGCGCCTCCTCCTCACAGCCCCCCAGAGCATGGGCGCCTCCTCCTCACAGCCCCCCAGAGCAGCGGCGCCTCCTCCTCACAGCCCCCCAGAGCATGGGCGCCTCCTCCTCACAGCCCCCCAGAGCATGGGCGCCTCCTCCTCACAGCCCCCAGAGCAGCGGCGCCTCCTCCTCACAGCCCCCCAGAGCAGCTGCGCCTCCTCCTCACAGGCCCCCAGAGCATGGGCGCCTCCTCCTCACAGCCCCCCAGAGCATGGGCGCCTCCTCCTCACAGCCCCCCAGAGCATGGGCGCCTCCTCCTCACAGCCCCCCAGAGCATGGGCGCCTCCTCCTCACAGCCCCCCAGAGCAGCGGCGCCTCCTCCTCACAGCCCCCCAGAGCATGGGCGCCTCCTCCTCACAGCCCCCCAGAGCATGGGCGCCTCCTCCTCACAGCCCCCCAGAGCATGGGCGCCTCCTCCTCACAGCCCCCCAGAGCATGGGCGCCTCCTCCTCACAGCCCCCCAGAGCAGCGGCGCCTCCTCCTCACAGCCCCCCAGAGCATGGGCGCCTCCTCCTCACAGCCCCCAGAGCAGCGGCGCCTCCTCCTCACAGCCCCCCAGAGCAGTGGCGCCTCCTCCTCACAGCCCCCAGAGCATGGCGCCTCCTCCTCACAGCCCCCCAGAGCATGGGCGCCTCCTCCTCACAGCCCCCCAGAGCAGCGGCGCCTCCTCCTCACAGCCCCCCAGAGCAGCGGCGCCTCCTCCTCACAGCCCCCCAGAGCAGCGGCGCCTCCTCCTCACAGCCCCCCAGAGCAGCGGCGCCTCCTCCTCACAGCCCCCCAGAGCAGCGGCGCCTCCTCCTCACAGCCCCCAGAGCATGGGCGCCTCCTCCTCACAGCCCCCCAGAGCATGGGCGCCTCCTCCTCACAGCCCCCCAGAGCATGGGCGCCTCCTCCTCACAGCCCCCCAGAGCAGCGGCGCCTCCTCCTCACAGCCCCCCAGAGCATGGGCGCCTCCTCCTCACAGCCCCCCAGAGCAGCGGCGCCTCCTCCTCACAGCCCCCCAGAGCACGGCGCCTCCTCCTCACAGCCCCCCAGAGCAGCGGCGCCTCCTCCTCACAGCCCCCCAGAGCAGCGGCGCCTCCTCCTCACAGCCCCCCAGAGCATGGGCGCCTCCTCCTCACAGCCCCCCAGAGCATGGGCGCCTCCTCCTCACAGCCCCCCAGAGCAGCGGCGCCTCCTCCTCACAGCCCCCCAGAGCATGGGCGCCTCCTCCTCACAGCCCCCCAGAGCATGGGCGCCTCCTCCTCACAGCCCCCCAGAGCAGCGGCGCCTCCTCCTCACAACCCCCCAGAGCATGGGCGCCTCCTCCTCACAGCCCCCCAGAGCAGCGGCGCCTCCTCCTCACAGCCCCCCAGAGCAACGGCGCCTCCTCCTCACAGCCCCCCAGAGCAGCGGCGCCTCCTCCTCACAGCCCCCCAGAGCATGGGCGCCTCCTCCTCACAGCCCCCCAGAGCAGCGGCGCCTCCTCCTCACAGCCCCCCAGAGCATGGGCGCCTCCTCCTCACAGCCCCCCAGAGCATGGGCGCCTCCTCCTCACAGCCCCCCAGAGCATGGGCGCCTCCTCCTCACAGCCCCCCAGAGCAGCGGCGCCTCCTCCTCACAGCCCCCCAGAGCATGGGCGCCTCCTCCTCACAGCCCCCCAGAGCATGGGCGCCTCCTCCTCACAGCCCCCCAGAGCAGCGGCGCCTCCTCCTCACAGCCCCCCAGAGCAGCGGCGCCTCCTCCTCACAGCCCCCCAGAGCAGCGGCGCCTCCTCCTCACAGCCCCCCAGAGCAGCGGCGCCTCCTCCTCACAGCCCCCCAGAGCAGCGGCGCCTCCTCCTCACAGCCCCCCAGAGCAGCGGCGCCTCCTCCTCACAGCCCCCCAGAGCAGCGGCGCCTCCTCCTCACAGCCCCCCAGAGCATGGGCGCCTCCTCCTCACAGCCCCCCAGAGCATGGGCGCCTCCTCCTCACAGCCCCCCAGAGCATGGGCGCCTCCTCCTCACAGCCCCCCAGAGCAGCGGCGCCTCCTCCTCACAGCCCCCCAGAGCAGCGGCGCCTCCTCCTCACAGCCCCCCAGAGCAGCGGCGCCTCCTCCTCACAGCCCCCCAGAGCAGCGGCGCCTCCTCCTCACAGCCCCCCAGAGCATGGGCGCCTCCTCCTCACAGCCCCCCAGAGCAGCGGCGCCTCCTCCTCACAGCCCCCCAGAGCAGCGGCGCCTCCTCCTCACAGCCCCCCAGAGCATGGGCGCCTCCTCCTCACAGCCCCCCAGAGCAGCGGCGCCTCCTCCTCACAGCCCCCCAGAGCATGGGCGCCTCCTCCTCACAGCCCCCCAGAGCATGGGCGCCTCCTCCTCACAGCCCCCCAGAGCATGGGCGCCTCCTCCTCACAGCCCCCAGAGCAGCGGCGCCTCCTCCTCACAGCCCCCCAGAGCAGCGGCGCCTCCTCCTCACAGCCCCCAGAGCATGGGCGCCTCCTCCTCACAGCCCCCCAGAGCATGGGCGCCTCCTCCTCACAGCCCCCCAGAGCATGGGCGCCTCCTCCTCACAGCCCCCCAGAGCATGGGCGCCTCCTCCTCACAGCCCCCCAGAGCAGCGGCGCCTCCTCCTCACAGCCCCCCAGAGCATGGGCGCCTCCTCCTCACAGCCCCCCAGAGCATGGGCGCCTCCTCCTCACAGCCCCCCAGAGCATGGGCGCCTCCTCCTCACAGCCCCCCAGAGCATGGGCGCCTCCTCCTCACAGCCCCCCAGAGCAGCGGCGCCTCCTCCTCACAGCCCCCCAGAGCATGGGCGCCTCCTCCTCACAGCCCCCAGAGCAGCGGCGCCTCCTCCTCACAGCCCCCCAGAGCAGCGGCGCCTCCTCCTCACAGCCCCCAGAGCATGGCGCCTCCTCCTCACAGCCCCCCAGAGCATGGGCGCCTCCTCCTCACAGCCCCCCAGAGCAGCGGCGCCTCCTCCTCACAGCCCCCCAGAGCAGCGGCGCCTCCTCCTCACAGCCCCCCAGAGCAGCGGCGCCTCCTCCTCACAGCCCCCCAGAGCAGCGGCGCCTCCTCCTCACAGCCCCCCAGAGCAGCGGCGCCTCCTCCTCACAGCCCCCCAGAGCATGGGCGCCTCCTCCTCACAGCCCCCCAGAGCATGGGCGCCTCCTCCTCACAGCCCCCCAGAGCATGGGCGCCTCCTCCTCACAGCCCCCCAGAGCAGCGGCGCCTCCTCCTCACAGCCCCCCAGAGCATGGGCGCCTCCTCCTCACAGCCCCCCAGAGCAGCGGCGCCTCCTCCTCACAGCCCCCCAGAGCAACGGCGCCTCCTCCTCACAGCCCCCCAGAGCAGCGGCGCCTCCTCCTCACAGCCCCCCAGAGCAGCGGCGCCTCCTCCTCACAGCCCCCCAGAGCATGGGCGCCTCCTCCTCACAGCCCCCCAGAGCATGGGCGCCTCCTCCTCACAGCCCCCCAGAGCAGCGGCGCCTCCTCCTCACAGCCCCCCAGAGCATGGGCGCCTCCTCCTCACAGCCCCCCAGAGCATGGGCGCCTCCTCCTCACAGCCCCCCAGAGCAGCGGCGCCTCCTCCTCACAGCCCCCCAGAGCATGGGCGCCTCCTCCTCACAGCCCCCCAGAGCAGCGGCGCCTCCTCCTCACAGCCCCCCAGAGCAGCGGCGCCTCCTCCTCACAGCCCCCCAGAGCAGCGGCGCCTCCTCCTCACAGCCCCCCAGAGCATGGGCGCCTCCTCCTCACAGCCCCCCAGAGCAGCGGCGCCTCCTCCTCACAGCCCCCCAGAGCATGGGCGCCTCCTCCTCACAGCCCCCCAGAGCATGGGCGCCTCCTCCTCACAGCCCCCCAGAGCATGGGCGCCTCCTCCTCACAGCCCCCCAGAGCATGGGCGCCTCCTCCTCACAGCCCCCCAGAGCAGCGGCGCCTCCTCCTCACAGCCCCCCAGAGCATGGGCGCCTCCTCCTCACAGCCCCCCAGAGCATGGGCGCCTCCTCCTCACAGCCCCCAGAGCAGCGGCGCCTCCTCCTCACAGCCCCCCAGAGCAGCGGCGCCTCCTCCTCACAGCCCCCCAGAGCAGCGGCGCCTCCTCCTCACAGCCCCCCAGAGCAGCGGCGCCTCCTCCTCACAGCCCCCCAGAGCAGCGGCGCCTCCTCCTCACAGCCCCCCAGAGCAGCGGCGCCTCCTCCTCACAGCCCCCCAGAGCAGCGGCGCCTCCTCCTCACAGCCCCCCAGAGCATGGGCGCCTCCTCCTCACAGCCCCCCAGAGCAGCGGCGCCTCCCCTCACAGCCCCCCAGAGCAGCGGCGCCTCCTCCTCACAGCCCCCAGAGCATGGGCGCCTCCTCCTCACAGCCCCCCAGAGCAGCGGCGCCTCCTCCTCACAGCCCCCCAGAGCATGGGCGCCTCCTCCTCACAGCCCCCCAGAGCATGGGCGCCTCCTCCTCACAGCCCCCCAGAGCATGGGCGCCTCCTCCTCACAGCCCCCCAGAGCAGCGGCGCCTCCTCCTCACAGCCCCCCAGAGCAGCGGCGCCTCCTCCTCACAGCCCCCCAGAGCAGCGGCGCCTCTCCTCACAGCCCCCAGAGCATGGGCGCCTCCTCCTCACAGCCCCCCAGAGCAGCGGCGCCTCCTCCTCACAGCCCCCCAGAGCAGCGGCGCCTCCTCCTCACAGCCCCCCAGAGCAGCGGCGCCTCCTCCTCACAGCCCCCCAGAGCATGGGCGCCTCCTCCTCACAGCCCCCCAGAGCAGCGGCGCCTCCTCCTCACAGCCCCCCAGAGCATGGGCGCCTCCTCCTCACAGCCCCCAGAGCAGCGGCGCCTCCTCCTCACAGCCCCCCAGAGCAGCGGCGCCTCCTCCTCACAGCCCCCCAGAGCAGCGGCGCCTCCTCCTCACAGCCCCCCAGAGCAGCGGCGCCTCCTCCTCACAGCCCCCCAGAGCATGGGCGCCTCCTCCTCACAGCCCCCCAGAGCATGGGCGCCTCCTCCTCACAGCCCCCCAGAGCATGGGCGCCTCCTCCTCACAGCCCCCCAGAGCAGCGGCGCCTCCTCCTCACAGCCCCCCAGAGCATGGGCGCCTCCTCCTCACAGCCCCCCAGAGCAGCGGCGCCTCCTCCTCACAGGCCCCCAGAGCAGCGGCGCCTCCTCCTCACAGGCCCCCAGAGCAGCGGCGCCTCCTCCTCACAGCCCCCAGAGCAGCGGCGCCTCCTCCTCACAGCCCCCCAGAGCATGGGCGCCTCCTCCTCACAGCCCCCCAGAGCATGGGCGCCTCCTCCTCACAGCCCCCCAGAGCATGGGCGCCTCCTCCTCACAGCCCCCCAGAGCAGCGGCGCCTCCTCCTCACAGCCCCCCAGAGCATGGGCGCCTCCTCCTCACAGCCCCCCAGAGCATGGCGCCTCCTCCTCACAGCCCCCCAGAGCATGGGCGCCTCCTCCTCACAGCCCCCCAGAGCACGGCGCCTCCTCCTCACAGCCCCCAGAGCATGGGCGCCTCCTCCTCACAGCCCCCCAGAGCATGGGCGCCTCCTCCTCACAGCCCCCCAGAGCATGGGCGCCTCCTCCTCACAGCCCCCCAGAGCAGCGGCGCCTCCTCCTCACAGCCCCCCAGAGCATGGGCGCCTCCTCCTCACAGCCCCCCAGAGCAGCGGCGCCTCCTCCTCACAGGCCCCCAGAGCAGCGGGCGCCTCCTCCTCACAGCCCCCAGAGCAGCGGCGCCTCCTCCTCACAGCCCCCCAGAGCAGCGGCGCCTCCTCCTCACAGCCCCCCAGAGCAGCGGCGCCTCCTCCTCACAGCCCCCAGAGCAGCGGCGCCTCCTCCTCACAGCCCCCCAGAGCATGGGCGCCTCCTCCTCACAGCCCCCCAGAGCATGGGCGCCTCCTCCTCACAGCCCCCAGAGCAGCGGCGCCTCCTCCTCACAGCCCCCCAGAGCAGCGGCGCCTCCTCCTCACAGGCCCCCAGAGCATGGGCGCCTCCTCCTCACAGCCCCCCAGAGCATGGGCGCCTCCTCCTCACAGCCCCCCAGAGCAGCGGCGCCTCCTCCTCACAGCCCCCCAGAGCATGGGCGCCTCCTCCTCACAGCCCCCCAGAGCAGCGGCGCCTCCTCCTCACAGCCCCCAGAGCAGCGGCGCCTCCTCCTCACAGGCCCCCAGAGCAGCGGCGCCTCCTCCTCACAGCCCCCAGAGCAGCGGCGCCTCCTCCTCACAGCCCCCCAGAGCAGCGGCGCCTCCTCCTCACAGCCCCCAGAGCAGCGGCGCCTCCTCCTCACAGCCCCCCAGAGCATGGGCGCCTCCTCCTCACAGCCCCCCAGAGCATGGGCGCCTCCTCCTCACAGCCCCCAGAGCAGCGGCGCCTCCTCCTCACAGCCCCCCAGAGCAGCGGCGCCTCCTCCTCACAGCCCCCAGAGCATGGGCGCCTCCTCCTCACAGCCCCCCAGAGCATGGGCGCCTCCTCCTCACAGCCCCCCAGAGCATGGGCGCCTCCTCCTCACAGCCCCCCAGAGCATGGGCGCCTCCTCCTCACAGCCCCCCAGAGCAGCGGCGCCTCCTCCTCACAGCCCCCCAGAGCATGGGCGCCTCCTCCTCACAGCCCCCCAGAGCATGGGCGCCTCCTCCTCACAGCCCCCCAGAGCATGGGCGCCTCCTCCTCACAGCCCCCCAGAGCATGGGCGCCTCCTCCTCACAGCCCCCCAGAGCAGCGGCGCCTCCTCCTCACAGCCCCCCAGAGCATGGGCGCCTCCTCCTCACAGCCCCCAGAGCAGCGGCGCCTCCTCCTCACAGCCCCCCAGAGCAGTGGCGCCTCCTCCTCACAGCCCCCCAGAGCAGGGCGCCTCCTCCTCACAGCCCCCCAGAGCATGGGCGCCTCCTCCTCACAGCCCCCCAGAGCAGCGGCGCCTCCTCCTCACAGCCCCCCAGAGCATGGGCGCCTCCTCCTCACAGCCCCCCAGAGCAGCGGCGCCTCCTCCTCACAGCCCCCCAGAGCATGGGCGCCTCCTCCTCACAGCCCCCCAGAGCATGGGCGCCTCCTCCTCACAGCCCCCCAGAGCATGGGCGCCTCCTCCTCACAGCCCCCCAGAGCATGGGCGCCTCCTCCTCACAGCCCCCCAGAGCATGGGCGCCTCCTCCTCACAGCCCCCCAGAGCATGGGCGCCTCCTCCTCACAGCCCCCCAGAGCATGGGCGCCTCCTCCTCACAGCCCCCCAGAGCATCGGCGCCTCCTCCTCACAGCCCCCCAGAGCAGCGGCGCCTCCTCCTCACAGCCCCCCAGAGCATGGGCGCCTCCTCCTCACAGCCCCCCAGAGCAGCGGCGCCTCCTCCTCACAGCCCCCCAGAGCATGGGCGCCTCCTCCTCACAGCCCCCCAGAGCATGGGCGCCTCCTCCTCACAGCCCCCCAGAGCATGGGCGCCTCCTCCTCACAGCCCCCCAGAGCATGGGCGCCTCCTCCTCACAGCCCCCCAGAGCAGCGGCGCCTCCTCCTCACAGCCCCCCAGAGCAGCGGCGCCTCCTCCTCACAGCCCCCCAGAGCAGCGGCGCCTCCTCCTCACAGCCCCCCAGAGCAGCGGCGCCTCCTCCTCACAGCCCCCCAGAGCAGCGGCGCCTCCTCCTCACAGCCCCCCAGAGCAGCGGCGCCTCCTCCTCACAGCCCCCCAGAGCATGGGCGCCTCCTCCTCACAGCCCCCCAGAGCATGGGCGCCTCCTCCTCACAGCCCCCCAGAGCATGGGCGCCTCCTCCTCACAGCCCCCCAGAGCATGGGCGCCTCCTCCTCACAGCCCCCCAGAGCAGCGGCGCCTCCTCCTCACAGCCCCCCAGAGCATGGGCGCCTCCTCCTCACAGCCCCCCAGAGCATGGGCGCCTCCTCCTCACAGCCCCCCAGAGCATGGGCGCCTCCTCCTCACAGCCCCCCAGAGCATGGGCGCCTCCTCCTCACAGCCCCCCAGAGCATGGGCGCCTCCTCCTCACAGCCCCCCAGAGCAGTGGCGCCTCCTCCTCACAGCCCCCCAGAGCATGGGCGCCTCCTCCTCACAGCCCCCCAGAGCATGGGCGCCTCCTCCTCACAGCCCCCCAGAGCATGGGGCTCCTCCTCACAGCCCCCCAGAGCAGCGGCGCCTCCTCCTCACAGCCCCCCAGAGCATGGGCGCCTCCTCCTCACAGCCCCCCAGAGCAGGGCGCCTCCTCCTCACAGCCCCCCAGAGCATGGGCGCCTCCTCCTCACAGCCCCCCAGAGCATGGGCGCCTCCTCCTCACAGCCCCCCAGAGCATGGGCGCCTCCTCCTCACAGCCCCCCAGAGCATGGGCGCCTCCTCCTCACAGCCCCCAGAGCATGGGCGCCTCCTCCTCACAGCCCCCCAGAGCAGCGGCGCCTCCTCCTCACAGCCCCCCAGAGCAGCGGCGCCTCCTCCTCACAGCCCCCCAGAGCAGCGGCGCCTCCTCCTCACAGCCCCCCAGAGCAGCGGCGCCTCCTCCTCACAGCCCCCCAGAGCAGCGGCGCCTCCTCCTCACAGCCCCCCAGAGCAGCGGCGCCTCCTCCTCACAGCCCCCCAGAGCATGGGCGCCTCCTCCTCACAGCCCCCCAGAGCATGGGCGCCTCCTCCTCACAGCCCCCCAGAGCATGGGCGCCTCCTCCTCACAGCCCCCCAGAGCATGGCGCCTCCTCCTCACAGCCCCCCAGAGCAGCGGCGCCTCCTCCTCACAGCCCCCCAGAGCAGCGGCGCCTCCTCCTCACAGCCCCCCAGAGCATGGGCGCCTCCTCCTCACAGCCCCCAGAGCATGGCGCCTCCTCCTCACAGCCCCCCAGAGCATGGGCGCCTCCTCCTCACAGCCCCCCAGAGCAGCGGCGCCTCCTCCTCACAGCCCCCCAGAGCAGCGGCGCCTCCTCCTCACAGCCCCCCAGAGCATGGGCGCCTCCTCCTCACAGCCCCCCAGAGCAGCGGCGCCTCCTCCTCACAGCCCCCAGAGCATGGGCGCCTCCTCCTCACAGCCCCCCAGAGCAGCGGCGCCTCCTCCTCACAGCCCCCCAGAGCATGGGCGCCTCCTCCTCACAGCCCCCCAGAGCATGGGCGCCTCCTCCTCACAGCCCCCCAGAGCATGGGCGCCTCCTCCTCACAGCCCCCCAGAGCATGGGCGCCTCCTCCTCACAGCCCCCCAGAGCATGGGCGCCTCCTCCTCACAGCCCCCCAGAGCATGGGCGCCTCCTCCTCACAGCCCCCAGAGCATGGGCGCCTCCTCCTCACAGCCCCCCAGAGCATGGGCGCCTCCTCCTCACAGCCCCCCAGAGCATGGGCGCCTCCTCCTCACAGCCCCCCAGAGCATGGGCGCCTCCTCCTCACAGCCCCCCAGAGCATGGGCGCCTCCTCCTCACAGCCCCCCAGAGCATGGGCGCCTCCTCCTCACAGCCCCCCAGAGCATGGGCGCCTCCTCCTCACAGCCCCCCAGAGCAGCGGCGCCTCCTCCTCACAGCCCCCCAGAGCATGGGCGCCTCCTCCTCACAGCCCCCCAGAGCATGGGCGCCTCCTCCTCACAGCCCCCCAGAGCATGGGCGCCTCCTCCTCACAGCCCCCCAGAGCATGGGCGCCTCCTCCTCACAGCCCCCCAGAGCAGCGGCGCCTCCTCCTCACAGCCCCCCAGAGCAGCGGCGCCTCCTCCTCACAGCCCCCAGAGCATGGGCGCCTCCTCCTCACAGCCCCCCAGAGCATGGGCGCCTCCTCCTCACAGCCCCCCAGAGCATGGGCGCCTCCTCCTCACAGCCCCCCAGAGCATGGGCGCCTCCTCCTCACAGCCCCCCAGAGCATGGGCGCCTCCTCCTCACAGCCCCCCAGAGCATGGGCGCCTCCTCCTCACAGCCCCCCAGAGCAGCGGCGCCTCCTCCTCACAGCCCCCCAGAGCAGCGGCGCCTCCTCCTCACAGCCCCCCAGAGCATGGGCGCCTCCTCCTCACAGCCCCCCAGAGCATGGGCGCCTCCTCCTCACAGCCCCCCAGAGCATGGGCGCCTCCTCCTCACAGCCCCCCAGAGCAGCGGCGCCTCCTCCTCACAGCCCCCCAGAGCATGGGCGCCTCCTCCTCACAGCCCCCCAGAGCATGGGCGCCTCCTCCTCACAGCCCCCCAGAGCATGGGCGCCTCCTCCTCACAGCCCCCCAGAGCATGGGCGCCTCCTCCTCACAGCCCCCCAGAGCATGGGCGCCTCCTCCTCACAGCCCCCCAGAGCATGGGCGCCTCCTCCTCACAGCCCCCCAGAGCATGGGCGCCTCCTCCTCACAGCCCCCAGAGCAGCGGCGCCTCCTCCTCACAGCCCCCCAGAGCATGGGCGCCTCCTCCTCACAGCCCCCCAGAGCATGGGCGCCTCCTCCTCACAGCCCCCCAGAGCATGGGCGCCTCCTCCTCACAGCCCCCCAGAGCATGGGCGCCTCCTCCTCACAGCCCCCCAGAGCATGGGCGCCTCCTCCTCACAGCCCCCAGAGCAGCGGCGCCTCCTCCTCACAGCCCCCCAGAGCATGGGCGCCTCCTCCTCACAGCCCCCCAGAGCATGGGCGCCTCCTCCTCACAGCCCCCCAGAGCAGCGGCGCCTCCTCCTCACAGCCCCCAGAGCATGGGCGCCTCCTCCTCACAGCCCCCCAGAGCAGCGGCGCCTCCTCCTCACAGCCCCCAGAGCATGGGCGCCTCCTCCTCACAGCCCCCCAGAGCAGCGGCGCCTCCTCCTCACAGCCCCCCAGAGCAGCGGCGCCTCCTCCTCACAGCCCCCAGAGCATGGGCGCCTCCTCCTCACAGCCCCCCAGAGCATGGGCGCCTCCTCCTCACAGCCCCCCAGAGCATGGGCGCCTCCTCCTCACAGCCCCCCAGAGCATGGGCGCCTCCTCCTCACAGCCCCCCAGAGCATGGGCGCCTCCTCCTCACAGCCCCCCAGAGCATGGGCGCCTCCTCCTCACAGCCCCCCAGAGCATGGGCGCCTCCTCCTCACAGCCCCCCAGAGCAGCGGCGCCTCCTCCTCACAGCCCCCCAGAGCATGGGCGCCTCCTCCTCACAGCCCCCCAGAGCAGCGGCGCCTCCTCCTCACAGCCCCCCAGAGCAGCGGCGCCTCCTCCTCACAGCCCCCCAGAGCATGGGCGCCTCCTCCTCACAGCCCCCCAGAGCATGGGCGCCTCCTCCTCACAGCCCCCCAGAGCATGGGCGCCTCCTCCTCACAGCCCCCCAGAGCATGGGCGCCTCCTCCTCACAGCCCCCCAGAGCAGCGGCGCCTCCTCCTCACAGCCCCCCAGAGCATGGGCGCCTCCTCCTCACAGCCCCCCAGAGCATGGGCGCCTCCTCCTCACAGCCCCCCAGAGCATGGGCGCCTCCTCCTCACAGCCCCCCAGAGCAGCGGCGCCTCCTCCTCACAGCCCCCCAGAGCAGCGGCGCCTCCTCCTCACAGCCCCCCAGAGCATGGGCGCCTCCTCCTCACAGCCCCCCAGAGCAGCGGCGCCTCCTCCTCACAGCCCCCCAGAGCATGGGCGCCTCCTCCTCACAGCCCCCCAGAGCATGGGCGCCTCCTCCTCACAGCCCCCCAGAGCATGGGCGCCTCCTCCTCACAGCCCCCCAGAGCATGGGCGCCTCCTCCTCACAGCCCCCCAGAGCATGGGCGCCTCCTCCTCACAGCCCCCCAGAGCATGGGCGCCTCCTCCTCACAGCCCCCCAGAGCATGGGCGCCTCCTCCTCACAGCCCCCCAGAGCAGCGGCGCCTCCTCCTCACAGCCCCCCAGAGCAGCGGCGCCTCCTCCTCACAGCCCCCCAGAGCATGGGCGCCTCCTCCTCACAGCCCCCCAGAGCATGGGCGCCTCCTCCTCACAGCCCCCCAGAGCATGGGCGCCTCCTCCTCACAGCCCCCCAGAGCATGGGCGCCTCCTCCTCACAGCCCCCCAGAGCATGGGCGCCTCCTCCTCACAGCCCCCCAGAGCATGGGCGCCTCCTCCTCACAGCCCCCCAGAGCATGGGCGCCTCCTCCTCACAGCCCCCCAGAGCATGGGCGCCTCCTCCTCACAGCCCCCCAGAGCATGGGCGCCTCCTCCTCACAGCCCCCCAGAGCAGCGGCGCCTCCTCCTCACAGCCCCCCAGAGCATGGGCGCCTCCTCCTCACAGCCCCCCAGAGCATGGGCGCCTCCTCCTCACAGCCCCCCAGAGCATGGGCGCCTCCTCCTCACAGCCCCCCAGAGCATGGGCGCCTCCTCCTCACAGCCCCCCAGAGCAGCGGCGCCTCCTCCTCACAGCCCCCCAGAGCATGGGCGCCTCCTCCTCACAGCCCCCCAGAGCATGGGCGCCTCCTCCTCACAGCCCCCAGAGCAGCGGCGCCTCCTCCTCACAGCCCCCCAGAGCATGGGCGCCTCCTCCTCACAGCCCCCCAGAGCATGGGCGCCTCCTCCTCACAGCCCCCCAGAGCAGCGGCGCCTCCTCCTCACAGCCCCCCAGAGCAGCGGCGCCTCCTCCTCACAGCCCCCAGAGCAGCGGCGCCTCCTCCTCACAGCCCCCAGAGCAGCGGCGCCTCCTCCTCACAGCCCCCCAGAGCATGGGCGCCTCCTCCTCACAGCCCCCAGAGCAGCGGCGCCTCCTCCTCACAGCCCCCCAGAGCAGCGGCGCCTCCTCCTCACAGCCCCCCAGAGCAGCGGCGCCTCCTCCTCACAGCCCCCCAGAGCATGGGCGCCTCCTCCTCACAGCCCCCAGAGCAGCGGCGCCTCCTCCTCACAGCCCCCCAGAGCAGCGGCGCCTCCTCCTCACAGCCCCCAGAGCATGGGCGCCTCCTCCTCACAGCCCCCCAGAGCATGGGCGCCTCCTCCTCACAGCCCCCCAGAGCATGGGCGCCTCCTCCTCACAGCCCCCCAGAGCATGGGCGCCTCCTCCTCACAGCCCCCCAGAGCATGGGCGCCTCCTCCTCACAGCCCCCCAGAGCAGCGGCGCCTCCTCCTCACAGCCCCCCAGAGCAGCGGCGCCTCCTCCTCACAGCCCCCCAGAGCATGGGCGCCTCCTCCTCACAGCCCCCCAGAGCATGGGCGCCTCCTCCTCACAGCCCCCCAGAGCATGGGCGCCTCCTCCTCACAGCCCCCCAGAGCATGGGCGCCTCCTCCTCACAGCCCCCCAGAGCATGGGCGCCTCCTCCTCACAGCCCCCCAGAGCAGCGGCGCCTCCTCCTCACAGCCCCCCAGAGCAGCGGCGCCTCCTCCTCACAGCCCCCCAGAGCAGCGGCGCCTCCTCCTCACAGCCCCCCAGAGCATGGGCGCCTCCTCCTCACAGCCCCCAGAGCATGGGCGCCTCCTCCTCACAGCCCCCCAGAGCATGGGCGCCTCCTCCTCACAGCCCCCCAGAGCATGGGCGCCTCCTCCTCACAGCCCCCCAGAGCAGCGGCGCCTCCTCACAGCCCCCCAGAGCAGCGGCGCCTCCTCCTCACAGCCCCCCAGAGCATGGGCGCCTCCTCCTCACAGCCCCCCAGAGCATGGGCGCCTCCTCCTCACAGCCCCCCAGAGCAGCGGCGCCTCCTCCTCACAGCCCCCAGAGCATGGGCGCCTCCTCCTCACAGCCCCCCAGAGCATGGGCGCCTCCTCCTCACAGCCCCCCAGAGCATGGGCGCCTCCTCCTCACAGCCCCCCAGAGCATGGGCGCCTCCTCCTCACAGCCCCCAGAGCATGGGCGCCTCCTCCTCACAGCCCCCCAGAGCATGGGCGCCTCCTCCTCACAGCCCCCCAGAGCATGGCGCCTCCTCCTCACAGCCCCCAGAGCAGCGGCGCCTCCTCCTCACAGCCCCCCAGAGCGGCGCGCCTCCTCCTCACAGCCCCCCAGAGCATGGGCGCCTCCTCCTCACAGCCCCCCAGAGCAGGGCGCCTCCTCCTCACAGCCCCCCAGAGCATGGGCGCCTCCTCCTCACAGCCCCCCAGAGCATCGGCGCCTCCTCCTCACAGCCCCCAGAGCAGCGGCGCCTCCTCCTCACAGCCCCCCAGAGCAGCGGCGCCTCCTCCTCACAGCCCCCCAGAGCATGGGCGCCTCCTCCTCACAGCCCCCCAGAGCATGGGCGCCTCCTCCTCACAGCCCCCAGAGCAGCGGCGCCTCCTCCTCACAGCCCCCCAGAGCAGCGGCGCCTCCTCCTCACAGCCCCCCAGAGCAGCGGCGCCTCCTCCTCACAGCCCCCCAGAGCAGGGCGCCTCCTCCTCACAGCCCCCCAGAGCATGGGCGCCTCCTCCTCACAGCCCCCCAGAGCAGCGGCGCCTCCTCCTCACAGCCCCCCAGAGCATGGGCGCCTCCTCCTCACAGCCCCCCAGAGCAGCGGCGCCTCCTCCTCACAGCCCCCCAGAGCATGGGCGCCTCCTCCTCACAGCCCCCCAGAGCAGCGGCGCCTCCTCCTCACAGCCCCCCAGAGCAGCGGCGCCTCCTCCTCACAGCCCCCCAGAGCAGCGGCGCCTCCTCCTCACAGCCCCCCAGAGCAGCGGCGCCTCCTCCTCACAGCCCCCCAGAGCATGGGCGCCTCCTCCTCACAGCCCCCCAGAGCATGGGCGCCTCCTCCTCACAGCCCCCAGAGCAGCGGCGCCTCCTCCTCACAGTCCCCCAGAGCAGCGGTGCCTCCTCCTCACAGCCCCCCAGAGCAAGCGGCGCCTCCTCCTCACAGCCCCCCAGAGCATGGGCGCCTCTCCCTCACAGCCCCCCAGAAGCAGCGGGCGCCTCTCCTCACAGCCCCCCCCAGAGCAGCAGCGCCTCCTCCCAGAGCATGGGCGCCTCCTCCTCACAGCCCCCCCAGAGCATGGGCGCCTCCTCCTCACAGCCCCCCCAGAGCATGGGCGCCTCCTCCTCACAGCCCCCCAGAGCATGGGCGCCTCCTCCTCACAGCCCCCCAGAGCATGGCGCCTCCTCCTCAAAAGCCCCCAGAGCAGCGGCGCCACTACTCCTCACAGCCCCCCAGAGCAGCGGCGCCTCCTCTCACAGCCCCCCCCAGAGCATGGGCGCCTCCTCGTCACAGTCCCCCAGAGCATGGGCGCCTCCTCCTCACAGCCTCCCAGAGCATGGGCGCCTCCTCCTCACATCCCCCCAGAGCAGGGCGCCTCCTCCTCACAGCCCGCTCAGAGCACCGGGCTCCTCCTCCTCCACTAGCCCCCCACAGAGCAGTGCGCCTCCTCCTCACAGCCCCCCAGAGCAGCGGCGCCTCCTCCTCACAGCCCCCCAGAGCAGCGGCGCCTCCTCCTCACAGCCCCCCAGAGCATGGGCGCCTCCTCCTCACAGCCCTCCAGAGCATGGGCGCCTCCTCTTCACAGCCCCCCAGAGCATGTTCGCCTCCTCCTCACAGCCCCCCAGAGCATGGGCGCCTCCTCCTCACAGCCCCCCAGAGCAGCAGCGCCTCCTCCTCACAGCCCCCAAGAGCATGGGCTGCACTCCTCCTCACAGCCCCCAGAGCAGCGGCGCTCCTCCTCACAGCCCCCCAGAAGCAGCGGCGCCTCCTCCTCACAGCCCCCCAAAGCAGCGGCACCTCCTCCTCACAGCCACCCCAGAGCATGGGCGCCTCTTCCTCACAGCCCCCCAGAGCAGCGGCGCCTCCTCCTCACAGCCCCCCAGAGCAGCGGCGCCTCCTTCGCACAGCCCCCCAGAGCAGCGGAGCCTCCTCCTCACAGCCCCCCAGAGCAAGGGCGCCTCCTCCTCACAGCCCCCCAGAGCATGGGCGCCTCCTCCTCACGGCCCCCCAGAGCAGCGGCGCCTCCTCCTCACAGCCCCCCAGAGCATGGGCGCCTCCTCCTCACAGCCCCCCAGAGAACCAGCGCCTCCTCCTCACAGCCCCCCAGAGCATGGGCGCCTCCTCCTCACAGCCCCCCAGAGCAGCGGCGCCTCCTCCTCACAGCCCCCCAGAGCAGCGGAGCCTTCTCCTCACAGCCCCCCAGAGCAGCGGCGACTCCTCCTCACGGCCCCCCAGAGCACCAGCGCCTCCTCCTCACAGCCCCCCAGAGCATGGGCGCCTCCTCCTCACAGCACCCCAGAGCATGGGCGCCTCCTCCTCACAGCCCCCAGACGCATGGCCCTCCTCATACACAGCCCCCAGAGCATGGGCGCCTCCTCCTCACAGCCCCCCAGAGCAGCGTCGCCTCTCCCTCACAGCCCCCCAGAGCAGCGGCGCCTCCTCCTCACAGCCCCCCAGAGCAACGGCGCCTCCTCCTCATAGCCCCCCAGAAGCAGCGGCGCCTCCTCCTCACAGCCCCCCAGAGCATGGGCGGCCTCCTCCTCACAGCCCCCCAGAGCATGGCGCCTCCTCCTCACAGCCCCCCAGAGCATGGGCGCCTCCTCCTCACAGCCCCCTCAGAGCATGGGCGCCTCCTCCTCACAGCCCCCAGAGCAGCGGCGCCTCCTCCTCACAGCCCCCCCAGAGAATGGGCGCCTCCTCCTCACAGCCCCCCCAGAGCATGGGCGCCTCCTCCTCACAGCCCCCCAGAGCATGTTCCGCCTCCTCCTCACAGCCCCCCCAGAGCATGGGCGCCCTCCTCCTCCACAGCCCCCCAGAGCAGCGGCGCCTCCTCCTCCACAGCCCCCAGAGCAGCGGCGCCTCCTCCTCACAGCCCCCCAGAGCAGCGGCTCCTCCTCCTCACAGCCCCCCAGAGCATGGGCGCCTCCTCCTCACAGCCCCCCAGAGCATGGGCGCCTCCTCCTCACAGCCCCCCAGAGCATGGGCGCCTCCTCCTCACAGCCCCCCAGAGCATGGGCGCCTCCTCCTCACAGCCCCCCAGAGCATGGGCGCCTCTCCTCACAGCCCCCCAGAGCAGCGGCGCCTCCTCCTCACAGCCCCCCAGAGCAGCAGCGCCTCCTCCTCACAGCCACCCAGAGCATGGGCGCCTCCTCCTCACAGCCCCCCAGAGCATGGGCGTCTCCTCCTCACAGCCCCCCAGAGCATGTGCGCCTCCTCCTCACAGCCCCCCAGAGCATGGGCGCCTCCTCCTCACAGCCCCCCAGAGCATGGGCGCCTCCTCCTCACAGCCCCCCACACATGGCGCCTCCTCCTCACAGCTACCGCTCAGAGCATGGGGCGCCTCCTCCTCACAGCCCCCCAGAGCATGCGGCGCCTCCTCCTCACAGCCCCCCAGAGCATGGGCGCCTCCTCCTCACAGCCCCCCAGAGCATGGGCGCCTCCTCCTCACAGCCCCCCAGAGCAGCGGCGCCTCCTCCTCACAGCCCCCCAGAGCATGGGCGCCTCCTCCTCACAGCCCCCCAGAGCAGCGGCGCCTCCTCCTCACAGCCCCCCAGAGCAGCGGCGCCTCCTCCTCACAGCCCCCCAGAGCATGGGCGCCTCCTCCTCACAGCCCCCCAGAGCATGGGCGCCTCCTCCTCACAGCCCCCCAGAGCATGGGCGCCTCCTCCTCACAGCCCCCCAGAGCATGGGCGCCTCCTCCTCACAGCCCCCCAGAGCATGGGCGCCTCCTCCTCACAGCCCCCAGAGCATGGGCGCCTCCTCCTCACAGCCCCCCAGAGCAGCGGCGCCTCCTCCTCACAGCCCCCCAGAGCATGGGCGCCTCCTCCTCACAGCCCCCCAGAGCATGGGCGCCTCCTCCTCACAGCCCCCCAGAGCATGGGCGCCTCCTCCTCACAGCCCCCTAGAGCATGGCCGCCTCCTCCTCACAGCCCCGTCAGAGGCCAGCGGCGCCTCCTCCTCACAGCCCCCCAGAGCATGGGCGGCCTCCTCCTCACAGCCCACCCAGAGCATGGGCGACCTCCTCCTCACAGCCTCCCAGAGCATGGGCGCCTCCTACCTCACAGCCCCCAGAGCATGAGGCGCCTCCTCGTCACAGCCCCCCAGAGCATGGGCGCCTCCTCCTCACAGCCCCCCAGAGCATGGCGCCTCCTCCTCACAGCCCCCCAGAGCATGGGCGACTCCTCCTCACAGCCCCCCAGAGCGTGGGCGCCCTCCTCTCACAGCCACCCCAGAGCCATGGCGCCTCCTCCTCACAGCCCCCCGAGCAGCGGCGCCTCCTCCTCACAGCCCCCCAGAGCATGGGCGCCTCATCCTCACAGCCCCCCAGAGCATGAGCGCCTCCTCCCTCACAGCCCACCAGAGCAGCGGCGCCCTCCATCCTCACAGCCCCCCAGAGCATGGGCGCCTCCTCCTCACAGCCCCCCAGAGCATGGGCGCCTCCTCCTCACAGCCCCCCAGAGCATGGGCGCCTCCTCCTCACAGCCCCCCAGAGCATGGGCGCCTCCTCCTCACAGCCCCCTAGAGCAGCGGCGCCTCCTCCTCACAGCCCCCCAGAGCATGGGCGCCTCCTCCTCACAGCCCCCCAGAGCATGGGCGCCTCCTCCTCACAGCCCCCCAGAGCAGCGGCGCCTCCTCCTCACAGCCCCCCAGAGCATGGGCGCCTCCTCCTCACCGCCCCATAGCATGCCCCTCCTCACAGCCGCCCCAGAGCATGGGCGCCTCCTCCTCACATCCCCCCAGAGCATGGGCGCCTCCTCCTCACAGCCCCCCAGAGCATGGGCGCCTCCTCCTCACAGCCCCCCAGAGCAGCGGCGCCTCCTCCTCTTAGTCCCCAGAGCAGCAGCGCCTCCTCCTCACAGCCCCCCAGAGCAGCGGCGCCTCCTCCTTACAGCCCCCAGAGCAGCGGCGCCTCCTCCTCACAGGCCCCCCAGAGCAGCGGCGCCTCCTCCTCACAGCCCCCCAGAGCATGGGCGCCTCCTCCTCACAGCCCCCAGAGCAGCGGCGCCTCCTCCTCACAGCCCCCCAGGAGCAGCGGCGCCTCATCCTCACAGGCCCCCAGAGCATTGGAGCCTCCTCCTCACAGCCCCCCAGAGCATGGGCGCCTCCTCCTCACAGCCCCCCAGAGCATGGGCGCCTCCTCCTCACAGCCCCCCAGGAGCATGGGCGCCTCCTCCTCACAGCCCCCCAGAGCATGGCCGCCTCCTCCTCACAGCCCCCCAGAAGCAGCGGCGCCTCCTCCTCACAGCCCCCCAGAGCAGCGGCGCCTCCTTCTCACAGCCCCCCCAGAGCATGGGCGCCTCCTCCTCACAGCCCCCCAGAGCATGGGCGCCTCCTCCTCACAGCCTCCCAGAGCATGGGCGCCTCCTCCTCACAGCCCCCCAGAGCATGGGAGCCTCCTCCTCACAGCCCCCCAGAGCAGCGGCGCCTCCTCCTCACAGCCCCCCAGAGCAGCAGCGCCTCCTCCTCACAGCCCCCCAGAGCATGGGCGCCTCCTCCCCACAGCCCCCCAAGCAATGGGCGCCTCCTCCTCACAGCCCCCCAGAGCAGCAGCGCCTCCTCCTCGCAGCCCCCAGAGCATGGGCGCCTCCTCCTCACAGCCCCCCAGAGCAGCGGCGCCTCCTCCTCACAGCCCCCCAGAGCATGGGCGCCTCCTCCTCACAGCCCCCCAGAGCATGGGCGCCTCCTCCTCACAGCCCCCAGAGCAGCGGCGCCTCCTCCTCACAGCCCCCAGAGCAGCGGCGCCCTCCTCACAGGCCCCCCAGAGCATGGGAGCCTCCTCCTCACAGCCCCCAGAGCATGGCGCCTCCTCCTCACAGCCCCCCAGAGCATGGGCGCCTCCTCCTCACAGCCCCCCAGAGCATGGGCGCCTCCTCCTCACAGCCCCCCCAGAGCATGGCCGCCTCCTCCTCACAGCCCCCCAGAGCAGCGGCGCCTCCTCCTCACAGCCCCCCAGAGCAGCGGCGCCTCCTCCTCACAGCCCCCCAGAGCATGGGCGCCTCCTCCTCACAGCCCCCCAGAGCATGGGCGCCTCCTCCTCACAGCCCCCCAGAGCATGGGCGCCTCCTCCTCACAGCCCCCCAGAGCATGGGCGCCTCCTCCTCACAGCCCCCCAGAGCAGCGGCGCCTCCTCCTCACAGCCCCCCAGAGCAGCGGCGCCTCCTCCTCACAGCCCCCCAGAGCATGGGCGCCTCCTCCTCACAGCCCCCCAGAGCATGGGCGCCTCCTCCTCACAGCCCCCCAGAGCAGCGGCGCCTCCTCCTCACAGCCCCCCAGAGCATGGGCGCCTCCTCCTCACAGCCCCCCAGAGCAGCGGCGCCTCCTCCTCACAGCCCCCCAGAGCATGGGCGCCTCCTCCTCACAGCCCCCCAGAGCATGGGCGCCTCCTCCTCACAGCCCCCCAGAGCATGGGCGCCTCCTCCTCACAGCCCCCCAGAGCATGGGCGCCTCCTCCTCACAGCCCCCCAGAGCATGGGCGCCTCCTCCTCACAGCCCCCCAGAGCAGCGGCGCCTCCTCCTCACAGCCCCCAGAGCGCGGCGCCTCCTTCCTCACAGCCCCCCCAGAGCATGGGCGCCTCCTCCTCACAGTCCCCCCAGAGCATGGGCGCCTCCTCCTCACAGCCTCCCAGAGCATGGGCGGCCTCCTCCTCACAGCCCCCCAGAGCATGGGAGCCTCCTCCTCACAGCCCCCCAGAGCAGCGGCGCCTCCTCCTCACAGCCCCCCAGAGCAGGGCGCCTCCTCCTCACAGCCCCCCAGAGCATGGGCGCCTCCTCCTCACAGCCCCCCAGAGCATGGGCGCCTCCTCCTCACAGCCCCCCAGAGCATGGGCGCCTCCTCCTCACAGCCCCCCAGAGCATGGGCGCCTCCTCCTCACAGCCCCCCAGAGCAGCGGCGCCTCCTCCTCACAGCCCCCCAGAGCATGCGGCGCCTCCTCCTCACAGGCCCCCAGAGCATGGGCGCCTCCTCCTCACAGCCCCCCCAGAGCATGGGCGCCTCCTCCTCACAGCCCCCCAGAGCATGGCGCCTCCTCCTCATAGCCCCCCAGAGCATGGGCGCCTCCTCCTCACAGCCCCCCCAGAGCATGGCCGCCTCCTCCTCACAGCCCCCCAGAGCAGCGGCGCCTCCTCCTCACAGCCCCCCAGAGCAGCGGCGCCTCCTTCTCACAGCCCCCCCAGAGCATGGGCGCCTCCTCCTCACAGCCTCCCAGAGCATGGGCGCCTCCTCCTCACAGCCCCCCAGAGCATGGGCGCCTCCTCCTCACAGCCCCCCAGAGCATGGGCGCCTCCTCCTCACAGCCCCCCAGAGCATGGGCGGCCTCCTCCTCACATCCCCCCAGAGCATGGGCGCCTCCTCCTCACAGCCCCCCAGAGCATGGGCGCCTCCTCCTCACAGCCCCCCAGAGCAGCGGCGCCTCCTCCTCACTAGTCCCCCAGAGCAGCAGCGCCTCCTCCTCACAGCCCCCCAGAGCAGCGGCGCCTCCTCCTTACAGCCCCCAGAGCAGCGGCGCCTCCTCCTCACAGCCCCCCAGAGCAGCGGCGCCTCCTCCTCACAGCCCCCCAGAGCATGGGCGCCTCCTCCTCACAGCCCCCAGAGCAGCGGCGCCTCCTCCTCACAGCCCCCCAGAGCAGCGGCGCCTCCTCCTCACAGGCCCCCAGAGCATGGGAGCCTCCTCCTCACAGCCCCCCAGAGCATGGGCGCCTCCTCCTCACAGCCCCCAAGAGCATGGGCGCCTCCTCCTCACAGCCCCCCAGAGCATGGGCGCCTCCTCCTCACAGCCCCCCAGAGCATGGCAGCCTCCTCCTCACAGCCCCCCAGAGCAGCGGCGCCTCCTCCTCACAGCCCCCCACAGCATGGGCGCCTCCTCCTCACAGCCCCCAGAGCATGGGCGCCTCCTCCTCACAGCCCCCTAGAGCAGCGGCGCCTCCTCCTCACAGCCTCCAGAGCATGGGCGCCTCCTCCTCAAAGCCCCCACAGAGCATGGGAGCCTCCTCCTCACAGCCCCCCAGAGCGCGGCGCCTCCTCCTCCACAGCCCCCCAGAGCAGCGGCGCCCTCCTCCTCACAGCCCCCCAGAGCATGGGGCGCCTCCTCCCCACAGCCCCCCAGAGTCTGGGCGCCCTCCTCCTCACAGCCCCCCAGAGCAAGCAGCGCCTCCTCCTCGCAGCCCCCCAGAGCATGGGCGCCTCCTCCTCACAGCCCCCCAGAGGCAGCGGCGCCTCCTCCTCACAGCCCCCCAGAGCATGGGCGCCTCCTCCTCACAGCCCCCCAGAGCATGGGCGCCCTCCTCCTCACAGCCTCCCAGAGCACCAGCGCCTCCTCCTCACAGCCCCCCAGAGCATGGGCGCCCTCCTCCTCACAGCCCCCCAGAGCAGCGGAGCCTCCTCCTCACAGCCCCCCAGAGCATGGGCGCCTCCTACTCACCAGCCCCCCAGAGCATGGGCGCCTCCTCTCACAGCCCCCCAGAGCATGGGCGCCTCCTCCTCACAGCCCCCCCAGAGCATGGGCGCCTCCTCCTCACAGCCCCCCAGAGCATGGGCGCCTCCTCCTCACAGCCCCCCAGAGCATGGGCGCCTCCTCCTCACAGCCGCCCAGAGCATGGGCGCCTCCTCCTCACAGCCCCCCAGAGCATGGGCGCCTCCTCCTCACAGCCCCCCAGAGCATGGGCGCCTCCTCCTCACAGCCCCCCAGAGCATGGGCGCCTCCTCCTCACAGCCCCCCAGAGCATGGGCGCCTCCTCCTCACAGCCCCCCAGAGCAGCGGCGCCTCCTCCTCACAGCCCCCCCAGAGCATGGGCGCCTCCACCTCACAGCCCCCAGAGCATGGGCGCCTCCTCCTCACAGCCCCCCAGAGCATGGGCGCCTCCTCCTCACAGCCCCCCAGAGCAGCGGCGGCCTCCTCCTCAACAGCCCCCCAGAGCATGGGCGCCTCCTCCTCACAGCCCCCCAGAGCATGGGCGCCTCCTCCCTCACAGCCCCCCAGACGCATGGGCGCCCTTCCTCACAGCCCCCCAGAGCATGGGCGCCTCCTCCTCACAGCCCCCCAGAGCATGGGCGCCTCTTCCTCACAGCCCCCAAGAGTATGGGCGCCTCCTCCTCACAGCCCCCCAGAGCAGCGGCGCCTCCTCCTCACAGCCCCCCAGAGCATGGGGCGCCTCCTCCTCACAGCCCCCCAAGAGCAGCGGCGCCTCCTCCTCACAGGCCCCAGAGCAGCGGCGCCTCCTCCTCAAGGCCCCCCAGAGCAGCGTTGCCTCCTCCTCTTAGTCCCACAGAGCAGCGGCGCCCTCCTCCTCACAGCCCCCCAGAGCAGCGGCGCCTCCTCCTTACAGCCCCCAGAGCATGGGCGCCTCCTCCTCACAGCCCCCAGAGCAGCGGCGCCTCCTCCTCACAGCCTCCCAGAGCAGCGGCGCCTCCTCCTCACAGGCCCCCAGAGCATGGGCGCCTCCTCCTCACAGCCCCCAGAGCATGGGCGCCTCCTCCTCACAGCCCCCCAGAGCATGGGCGCCTCCTCCTCACATCCCCCCAGAGCCTGGGCGCCTCCTCCTCACAGCCCCCCAGAGCATGGGCGCCTCCTCCTCACAGCCCCCCAGACCAGCGGCGCCTCCTCCTCACAGCCCCCCAGAGCAGCGGCGCCTCCTTCTCACAGCCCCCCCAGAGCATGGGCGCCTCCTCCTCACAGTCCCCCAGAGCATGCGGCGCCTCCTCCTCACAGCCTCCCAGAGCATGGGCGCCTCCTCCTCACAGCCCCCCAGAGCGATGGGCGCCTCCTCCTCACAGCCCCCCAGAGCAGCGGCGCCTCCTCCTCACAGCCCCCCAGAGCAGCGGCGCCTCCTCCTCACAAGCCCCCCAGAGCATTGGCGCCTCCTCCTCACAGCCCCCCAGATCAGCAGCGCCTTCTCCTCGCAGCCCCCCAGAGCATGGGCGCCTCCTCCTCACAGCCCCCCAGAGCAGCAGCTCCTCCTACAGCCCCCAGAGCAGGGCGCCTCCTCCTCACAGCCCCCAGAGCATGGGCGCCTCCTCCTCACAGCCCCCAGAGCAGCGGCGCCTCCTCCTCACAGGCCTCCCAGAGCAGCGGCGCCATCCTCCTCACAGCCCCCAGAGCATGGGCGCCTCCTCCTCACAGCCCCCAGAGCATGGGCGCCTCCTCCTCACAGCCCCCCAGAGCATGGGTCGCCTCCTCCTCACAGCCCCCCAGAGTCATGGGCGCCTCCTTCCTCACAGCCCCCCAGAGCATGGCCGCCTCCTCCTCACAGCCCCCCAGAGCAGCGGCGCCTCCTCCTCACAGCCCCCCAGAGCAGCGGCGCCTCCTTCTCACAGCCCCCCCAGAGCATGGGCGCCTCCTCCTCACAGTCCCCAGAGCATGGGCGCCTCCTCCTCCAGCCTCCCAGAGCATGGGCGCCTCTGCCTCCCAGCCCCCCAGAGCAGCGGCGCCTCCTCCTCACAGCCCCCCAGAGCAGCGGCGCCTCCTCCTCACAGCCCCCCAGAGCATGGGCGCCTCCTCCTCACAGCCCCCCAGAGCAGCGGAGCCTCCTCCTCACAGCCCCCCAGAGCATGGGCGCCTCCTACTCACAGCCCCCCAGAGCATGGGCGCCTCCTCCTCACAGCCCCCCAGAGCATGGGCGCCTCCTCCTCACAGCCCCCAGAGCATGGGCGCCTCCTCCTCACAGCCCCCCAGAGCATGGGCGCCTCCTCCTCACAGCCCCCCACGCCCAGAGCATGGGCGCCTCCTCCTCACAGCCGCCCAGAGCATGGGCGCCTCCTCCTCACAGCCCCCCAGAGCAGCGGCGCCTCCTCCTCACAGCCCCCCAGAGCAGCGGCGCCTCCTCCTCACAGCCCCCCAGAGCATGGGCGCCTCCTCCTCACAGCCCCCCAGAGCAGCGGCGCCTCCTCCTCACAGCGCCCCAGAGCATGGGCGCCTCCTCCTCACAGCCCCCTAGAGCAGCGGCGCCTCCTCCTCACAGCCCCCCAGAGCATGGGCGCCTCCTTCCTCACAAGCCCCCCAGAGCATGGGCGCCTCCTCCTCACAGCCCCCCAGAGCATGGGCGCCTCCTCCTCACAGCCCCCCAGAGCAGCGGCGCCTCCTCCTCACAAGCCCCCCAGAGCATCGGGCGCCTCCTCCTCACAGCCCCCCAGAGCATGGGCGCCTCCTCCTCACAGTCCGCCAGAGCCAGCCCATGGGCGCCTCCTCCTCACAGCCCCCCAGAGCATGGGCGCCTCCTCCTCACAGCCCCCAAGAGCTATGGGCGCCTCCTCCTCACAGCCCCCCAGAGCAGCGGCGCCTCCTCCTCACAGCCCCCCAGAGCATGGGCGCCTCCTCCTCACAGCCCCCCAGAAGCAGGCGGCGCCTCCTCCTCACAGGCCCCCAGAGCAGCGGCGCCTCCTCCTCACAGGCCCCCAGAGCAGCGGCGCCTCCTCCTCTTAGTCCCCAGAGCAGCGGCGCCTCCTCCTCACAGCCCCCCAGAGCAGCGGCGCCTCCTCCTCACAGCCCCCAGAGCATGGGCGCCTCCTCCTCACAGCCCCCAGAGCAGCGGCGCCTCCTCCTCACAGCCCCCCAGAGCAGCGGCGCCTCCTCCTCACAGCCCCCCAGAGCATGGGCGCCTCCTCCTCACAGCCCCCCAGAGCAGCGGCGCCTCCTCCTCACAGCCCCCCAGAGCATGGGCGCCTCCTCCTCACAGCCCCCCAGAGCATGGGCGCCTCCTCCTCACAGCCCCCCAGAGCAGCGGCGCCTCCTCCTCACAGCCCCCCAGAGCATGGGCGCCTCCTCCTCACAGCCCCCCAGAGCATGGGCGCCTCCTCCTCACAGCCCCCCAGAGCATGGGCGCCTCCTCCTCACAGCCCCCCAGAGCATGGGCGCCTCCTCCTCACAGCCCCCCAGAGCATGGGCGCCTCCTCCTCACAGCCCCCCAGAGCATGGGCGCCTCCTCCTCACAGCCCCCCAGAGCATGGGCGCCTCCTCCTCACAGCCCCCAGAGCAGGGGCGCCTCCTCCTCACAGCCCCCCAGAGCAGCGGCGCCTCCTTCCTCACAGCCCCCCCAGAGCATGAGCGCCCTCCTCCTCACAGTCCCCCACGAGGCTGGGCGCCTCCTCCTCACCAGCCTCCCAGAGCATGGGCGCCTCCTCCTCACAGCCCCCCAGAGCATGGAGCCTCCTCCTCACAGCCCCCCAGAAGCAGCGGCGCCTCCTCCTCACAGCCCCCCAGAGCAGCGGCGCCTCCTCCTCACAGCCCCCCAGAGCATGGGCGCCTCCTCCCCACAGCCCCCCAGAGCATGGGCGCCTCCTCCTCACAGCCCCCCAGAGCACCAGCGCCTCCTCCTCACAGCCCCCCAGAGCATGGGCGCCTCCTCCTCACAGCCCCCCAGAGCAGCGGCGCCTGCTCCTTACAGCCCCTAGAGCATAGGGCGCCTCCTCCCTCACAGCCCCCCAGAGCAGCGGCGCCTCCTCCTCACCAGCCCCCCAGAGCATGGGCGCCTCCTCCTCACAGCCCTCCAGAGCATGGGCGCCTCCTCCTCACAGCCCTCCAGAGCATCGGCGCCTCCTCCTCACAGCCCCCCAGAGCATGGGCGCCTCCTCCTCACAGCCCCCCAGAGCAGCGGAGCCTCCTCCTCACAGCCCCCCAGAGCATGGGCGCCTCCTCCTCACAGCCCCCCAGAGCATGGGCGCCTCCTCCTCACAGCCCCCAGAGCATGGGCGCCTCCTCCTCACAGCCCCCCAGAGCATGGGCGCCTCCTCCTCACAGCCCCCCAGAGCATCGGCGCCTCCTCCTCACAGCCCCCCAGAGCAGCGGCGCCTCCTCCTCACAGCCCCCCCCAGAGCATGGGCGCTGCGGAGATAACTGCAGCAACGGGAGCTAGGCTACGGGCTAGGCACGTGTGCTCGTGTGATCTCTGCGTTCTCTGTTCCTTAGTCGTTTCCTTGTGTGCACACTACTTGCTAGTTCACGGGGAAAATTGGCAAGAGTTTCACTAGGAAAAGTTCAGAACAATGATTACAATGAAGTTGGCATAGCAAGACTACATCAGAGCAAGCATTCAGGTCGGCCAACTGCCAGCGCAGCTTGGTCGACCGCGTTCCAGCACGACTTGGTCGACCGCGCTCCAGCAAGGCAAGGTCGACAGCGTTGCTCACGCAGGACAGCAGTGCACCCTGCTGCGTAGTTGTGCGCAGATGATTGGCGCGCAGGGTCTCGTCACCTGCACAGCGCACACACCACGTCAACCTTGAGCTGACGACTGCCTCTGATCCGTCACGATGACCTCGGGATACCAGCACCGAGATCAGGCTTGCCAACTTCGTCTGGGCGACCGCCACACTCCTCCGCAGCACTTCGTTACCCTGATAACCTGGCCGACTAGGGAACCACGTCGCCCAGCAGCTCCCGTACGTGCCCGTCGACCTCCCAGGTTGACGACCACCTCCACGTCGACCTCCTCCAGGTCGACGTCCCCTTTGGTCGACCAGCTCCACGTCGACCAGCACTCCTGGTCGGCCTGCTCCTCGTCAACCAGTACAGTCGTCGGCCGACCACCCGCGTCGGCCACCCGAAGCTGGCGTCACGAAATTGACGCCCCGCTACTCGACGCCCAATTGTTCAGCGTCCTGAGTCGAGGTCGACGTCGGCCCCTCCTTCGTCGACCACCAGGTCCAGTCGACCACTAACATGTCGACTAGCAGTTCGTTAGCCGACCACCGAAGTCGGCTTCCCCAAGTTGACGTCACCAAGTTGACGTCCTTCACAGGTCAACTCCCAAGTCGACCTCCCCGAAGTCGGCGCCATCCTAAAGTTGGGCGCCCGTGCAGTGGTCCCCCGTGCAGGTCAAACTCCCCGTCGACCAGCTCACCCACTGCTGCAGGTCGGCTGCTCCCCTCACACCCGACCACGAAGTCGGCTCCGCCCAAGCGAGGACGGGGCCAACACCCAACTCCCGTTGACAGGCCCCTCCTCCTCACAGCCCCCCTGAACATTGGCGCCTCCTCCTCACAGCCCCCCAGAGCAGCGGCGCCTCTCCCTCACAGCCCCCCAGAGCAGCGGCGCCTCCTCCTCACAGCCCCCCAGAGCATGGGCGCCTCCTCCTCACAGCCCCCCAGAGCATCGGCGCCTCCTCCTCACAGCCCCCCAGAGCAGCGGCGCCTCCTCCTCACAGCCCCCAGAGCAGCGGCGCCTCCTCCTCACAGCCCCCCAGAGCAGCGGCGCCTCCTTCTCACAGCCCCCCAGAGCAGCGGCGCCTCCTCCTCACAGCCCCCCAGAGCAGCGGCGCCACCTCCTCACAGCCCCCCATAGCATGGGCGCCTCCTCCGCACAGCCCCCCAGAGCAGCGGCGCCTCCTCCTCACAGCCCCCCCAGAGCATGGGCGCCTCCTCCTCACAGCCCCCCAGAGCAGCGGCGCCTCCTCCTCACAGCCCCCCCAGAGCATGGGCGCCTCCTCCTCACAGCCCCCCAGAGCATGGGCGCCTCCTCCTCACAGCCCCCAGAGCAGCGGCGCCTCCTCCTCACAGCCCCCCAGAGCAGCTGCGCCTCCTCCTCACAGGCCCCCAGAGCATGGGCGCCTCCTCCTCACAGCCCCCCAGAGCATGGGCGCCTCCTCCTCACAGCCCCCCAGAGCATGGGCGCCTCCTCCTCACAGCCCCCCAGAGCATGGGCGCCTCCTCCTCACAGCCCCCCAGAGCAGCGGCGCCTCCTCCTCACAGCCCCCCAGAGCATGGGCGCCTCCTCTTCACAGCCCCCCAGAGCATGGGCGCCTCCTCCTCACTGCCCCCCAGAGCATGGGCGCCTCCTCCTCACAGCCCCCCAGAGCAGTGGCGCCTCCTCCTCACAGCCCCCCAGAGCAGCGGCGCCTCCTCCTCACAGCCCCCCAGAGCATGGGCGCCTCCTCCTCACTGCCCCCAGAGCAGCGGCGCCTCCTCCTCACAGCCCCCCAGAGCAGTGGCACCTCCACCACACAGCCCCTCAGAGCACTGGCGCCTCCTCCTCACAGCCCCCCAGAGCATGGGCGCCTCCTCCTCACAGCCCCCCAGAGCAGCGGCGCCTCCTCCTCACAGCCCCCAGAGCAGCGGTGCCTCCTCCTCACAGCCCCCCAGAGCAGCGGCGCCTCCTCCTCACAGCCCCCCAGAGCAGCGGCGCCTCCTCCTCACAGCCCCCCAGAGCAGCGGCGCCTCCTCCTCACAGCTCCCCAAAGCATGGGCGCCTCCTCCTCACAGCCCCCCAGAGCATGGGCGCCTCCTCCTCACAGCCCCCCAGACCATGGGCGCCTCCTCCTCACAGCCCCCCAGAGCAGCGGCGCCTCCTCCTCACAGCCCCCAGAGCATGGGCGCCTCCTCCTCACAGCCCCCCAGAGCAGCGGCGCCTCCTCCTCACAGCCCCCCAGAGCAACGGCGCCTCCTCCTCACAGCCCCCCAGAGCAGCGGCGCCTCCTCCTCACAGCCCCCCAGAGCAGCGGCGCCTCCTCCTCACAGCCCCCCAGAGCATGGGCGCCTCCTCCTCACAGCCCCCCAGAGCATGGGCGCCTCCTCCTCACAGCCCCCCAGAGCAGCGGCGCCTCCTCCTCATAGCCCCCCAGAGCATGGGCGCCTCCTCCTCACAGCCCCCCAGAGCATGGGCGCCTCCTCCTCACAGCCCCCCAGAGCAGCGGCGCCTCCTCCTCACAACCCCCCAGAGCATGGGCGCCTCCTCCTCACAGCCCCCCAGAGCAGCGGCGCCTCCTCCTCACAGCCCCCCAGAGCAACGGCGCCTCCTCCTCACAGCCCCCCAGAGCAGCGGCGCCTCCTCCTCACAGCCCCCCCAGAGCATGGGCGCCTCCTCCTCACAGCCCCCAAGAGCAGCGGCGCCTCCTCCTCACAGCCCTCCCAGAGCATGGGCGCCTCCTCCTCACAGCCCCCCAGAGCATGGGCGCCTCCTCCTCACAGCCCCCCAGAGCATGGGCGCCTCCTCCTCACAGCCCCCCAGAGCATGGGCGCCTCCTCCTCACAGCCCCCCAGAGCAGCGGCGCCTCCTCCTCACAGCCCCCCAGAGCATGGCGCCTCCTCCTCACAGCCCCCCAGAGCATGGGCGCCTCCTCCTCACAGCCCTCCAGAGCAGCGGCGCCTCCTCCTCACAGCCCCCCAGAGCAGCGGCGCCTCCTCCTCACAGCCCCCCAGAGCAGCGGCGCCTCCTCCTCACAGGCCCCCCAGAGCAGCGGGCGCCTCCTCCCTCACAGGCCCCCCAGAGCAGCGGCGCCTCCTCCTCACAGGCCCCCCAGAGCAGCGGTGCCTCCTCCTCACAGCCCCCCAGAGCAGCGGCGCCTCCTCATCACAGCCCCCAGAGCATGGGCGCCTCCTCCTCACAGCCCCCCCAGAGCAGCGGCGCCTCCCCCTCACAGCCCCCCAGAGCAGCGGCGCCTCCTCCTCACAGTCCCCCAGAGCATGGGCGCCTCCTCCTCACAGCCCCCCCAGAGCAGCGGCGCCTCCTCCTCACAGCCCCCCAGAGCATGGGCGCCTCCTCCTCACAGCCCCCCCAGCCCCCAGAGCATGGGCGCCTCTCCTCACAGCCCCCCAGAGCATGGGCGCCTCCTCCTCACAGCCCCCCAGAGCAGCTGCGCCTCCTCCCTCACAGCCCCCCAGGGCAGCGGCGCCTCCTCCTCACAGCCCCCCCAGAGCAGCGGCGCCTCTCCCTCACAGCTCCCCCAGAGATGGGCGCCCTCCTCCTCACAGCCCCCCCAGAGCAGCGGGCCTCCTCCTCACAGCCCCCCAGAGCAGCGGCGCCTCCTCCTCACAGCCCCCCCAGAGCAGCGGCGCCTCCTCCTCACAGCCCCGCAGAGCATGGGCGCCTCCTCCTCACAGCCCCCAGAGCAGCGGTGCCTCCTCCTCACAGCCCCCCAGGGCAGCGGCGCCTCCCTCCTCACAGCCCCCCAGAAGCAGCGGCGCCTCTCCCCTCACAGCCTCCCCAGAGCATGGGCGCCTCCTCCTCACAGCCCCCCAGAGCAGCGGCGCCTCCTCCTCACAGCCCCCCAGAGCAGCGGCGCCTCCTCCTCACAGCCCCCCAGAGCAGCGGCGCCTCCTCCTCACAGCCCCGCAGAGCATGGGCGCCTCCTCCTCACAGCCCCCCAGAGCAGCGGTGCCTCCTCCTCACAGCCCCCCAGAGCATGGGCGCCTCCTCCTCACTGCCCCCAGAGCAGCGGCGCCTCCTCCTCACAGCCCCCCAGAGCAGCGGCGCATCCTCCTCACAGCACCCCAGAGCAGCGGCGCCTCCTCCTCACAGCCCCCCAGAGCAGCGGCGCCTCCTCCTCACAACCCCCAGAGCATGGGCGCCTCCTCCTCACAGCCCCCCAGAGCATAGGCCCCTCCTCCTCACAGCCCCCCAGAGCATGGGCGCCTCCTCCTCACAGCCCCCCAGAGCAGCGGAGCCTCCTCCTAACAGCCCACCAGAGCATGGGCGCCTCCTCCTCACAGCCCCCCAGAGCAGCGGCGCCTCCTCCTCACAGGCCCCCAGAGCAGCGGCGCCTCCTCCTCACAGGCCCCCAGAGCAGCGGCGCCTCCTCCTCACAGTCCCCAGAGCAGCGGCGCCTCCTCCTCACAGCCCCCCAGAGCATGGGCGGCCTCCACCTCACAGCCCCCCAGAGCATGGGCGCCTCCTCCTCACAGCCCCCCAGAGCATGGGCGCCCTCCTCCTCACAGCCCCCCAGAGCAGCAGCGCCTCCTCCTCACAGCCCCCGAGGAGCATGGGCGCCTCCTCCTCAGAGCCCCCCAGAGCATGGCCATCTCCTCCTCACAGCCCCCCAGAGCATGGGCGCCTCCTCCTCACAGCCCCCCAGAGCAACGGCGCCTCCTCCTCACAGCCCCCAGAGCATGGGCGCCTCCTCCTCACAGCCGCCCAGAGCATGGGCGTCTCCTCCTCACAGCCCCCCAGAGCATGGGCGCCTCCTCCTCACAGCCCCCCAGAGCAGCGGCGCCTCCTCCTCACAGCCCCCCAGAGCATGGGCGCCTCCTCCTCACAGCCCCCCAGTAGCAGCGGCGCCTCCTCCTCACAGGCCCCCAGAGCAGCGGGCCTCCTCCTCACAGCCCCCCAGAGCAGCGGCGCCTCCCCCTCACAGCCCCCCCAGAGCAGCGGCGCCTCCTCCTCACAGTCCCCCAGAGCATGGGCGCCTCCTCCTCACAGCCCCCCAGAGCAGCGGCGCCTCCTCCTCACAGCCCCCCAGAGCATGGGCGCCTCCTCCTCACAGCCCCCCAGAGCATGGGCGCCTCCTCCTCACAGCCCCCCAGAGCATGGGCGCCTCCTCCTCACAGCCCCCCAGAGCAGCTGCGCCTCCTCCTCACAGCCCCCCAGGCAGCGGCGCCTCCTCCTCACAGCCCCCCCAGAGCAGCGGCGCCTCTCCCTCACAGCTCCCCAGAGCATGGGCGCCTCCTCCTCACAGCCCCCCAGAGCAGCGGCGCCTCCTCCTCACAGCCCCCCAGAGCAGCGGCGCCTCCTCCTCACAGCCCCCCAGAGCAGCGGCGCCTCCTCCTCACAGCCCCGCAGAGCATGGGCGCCTCCTCCTCACAGCCCCCCAGAGCAGCGGTGCCTCCTCCTCACAGCCCCCCAGAGCATGGGCGCCTCCTCCTCACTGCCCCCAGAGCAGCGGCGCCTCCTCCTCACAGCCCCCCAGAGCAGCGGCGCATCCTCCTCACAGCACCCCAGAGCAGCGGCGCCTCCTCCTCACAGCCCCCAGAGCAGCGGCGCCCCTCCTCACAACCCCCCAGAGCAGGGCGCCTCCTCCTCACAACCCCCCAGAGCATGGGCGCCTCCTCCTCACAGCCCCCCAGAGCATAGGCCCCTCCTCCTCACAGCCCCCCAGAGCATGGGCGCCTCCTCCTCACAGCCCACCAGAGCAGCGGAGCCTCCTCCTACAGCCCACCAGAGCATGGGCGCCTCCTCCTCACAGCCCCCCAGAGCAGCGGCGCCTCCTCCTCACAGGCCCCCAGAGCAGCGGCGCCTCCTCCTCACAGGCCCCCAGAGCAGCGGCGCCTCCTCCTCACAGTCCCCAGAGCAGCGGCGCCTCCTCCTCACAGCCCCCCAGAGCATGGGCGCCTCCACCTCACAGCCCCCCAGAGCATGGGCGCCTCCTCCTCACAGCCCCCCAGAGCATGGGCGCCTCCTCCTCACAGCCCCCCAGAGCAGCAGCGCCTCCTCCTCACAGCCCCCGAGAGCATGGGCGCCTCCTCCTCAGAGCCCCCCAGAGCATGGCCATCTCCTCCTCACAGCCCCCCAGAGCATGGGCGCCTCCTCCTCACAGCCCCCAGAGCAACGGCGCCTCCTCCTCACAGCCCCCAGAGCATGGGCGCCTCCTCCTCACAGCCGCCCAGAGCATGGGCGTCTCCTCCTCACAGCCCCCCAGAGCATGGGCGCCTCCTCCTCACAGCCCCCCAGAGCAGCGGCGCCTCCTCCTCACAGCCCCCCAGAGCATGGGCGCCTCCTCCTCACAGCCCCCCAGAGCAGCGGCGCCTCCTCCTCACAGGCCCCAGAGCAGCGGGCCTCCTCCTCACGGCCCCGAGCAGCGCCCTCCTCCTCACAGGCCCCCAGAGCAGCGGCGCCTCCTCCTCACAGTCCCCAGAGCAGCGGCGCCTCCTCCTCACAGCCCCCCAGAGCAGCGGTGCCTCCTCCTCACAGCCCCCAGAGCAGCGGCGCCTCCTCCTCACAGCACCCCAGAGCATGGGCGCCTCCTCCTCACAGCCCCCCAGAGCATGGGCGCCTCCTCCTCACAGCCCCCAGAGCAGCGGCGCCTCCTCCTCACAGCCCCCCAGAGCAGCGGCGCGTCCTCCTCACAGGCCCCCAGAGCATGGGCGCCTCCTCCTCACAGCCCCCCAGAGCATGGGCGCCTCCTCCTCACAGCCCCCCAGAGCAGCGGCGCCTCCTCCTCACAGCCCCCCAGAGCATGGGCGCCTCCTCCTCACAGCCCCCCATTGCAGCGGCGCCTCCTCCTCACAGGCCCCCAGAGCAGCGGGGCCTCCTCCTCACAGGCCCCCAGAGCAGCGGCGCCTCTCCTCACAGTCCCCAGATCAGCGGCGCCTCCTCCTCACAGCCCCCCAGAGCAGGCGCCTCCTCCTCACAGTCCCCAGAGCAGCGGGGCCTCCTCCTCACAGCCGCCAGAGCAGCGGCGCCTCCTCCTCACAGCCCCCCAGAGCATGCGGCGCCTCCTCCTCACCAGCCCCCCAGAGCATGGGCGCCTCCTCCTCACAGCCCCAAGAGCAGCGGCGCCTCCTCCTCACAGCCCCCAGAGCATGCGGCGCCTCCTCCTCACAGCCCCCCAGAGCATGGGCGCCTCCTCCTCACAGCCCCCCAGAGCATGGGCGCCTCCTCCTCACAGCCCCCCAGAGCAGCGGCGCCTCCTCCTCACAGCCCCCCAGAGCATGGGCGCCTCCTCCTCACAGCCCCCCAGAGCATGGGCGCCTCCTCCTCACAGCCCCCCAGAGCATGGGCGCCTCCTCCTCACAGCCCCCAGAGCATGGGCGCCTCCTCCTCACAGCCCCCCAGAGCAGCGGCGCCTCCTCCTCACAGCCCCCCAGAGGCAATGCGGCGCCTCCTCCTCACATGCCCCCAGAGCAGCGGCGCTCCTCCCTCCTCACAGCCCCCCAGAGCAGTGGCGCCTCCTCCTCACAGCCCCCCAGAGCAGTGGCGCCTCCTCCTCACAGCCCCCCAGAGCATGGGCGCCTCCTCCTCACAGCCCCCAGAGCATGGGCGCCTCCACCTCACAGCCCCCCAGAGCATGGGCGCCTCCTCCTCACAGCCCCCCAGAGCAGCGGCGCCTCCTCCTCACAGCCCCCCAGAGCATGGGCGCCTCCTCCTCACAGCCCCCCAGAGCATGGGCGCCTCCTCCTTACAGCCGCCCCAGAGCATGGGCGCCCTCCTCCTCACATCCCCCCAGAGCATGGGCGCCTCCTCCTCACAGCCCCCCAGAGCATGGGCGCCTCCTCCTCACAGCCCCCCAGAGCAGCGGCGCCTCCTCCTCTTAGTCCCCAGAGCAGCAGCGCCTCCTCCTGACAGCCCCCCAGAGCAGCGGCGCCTCCTCCTTACAAGCCCCCAGAGCAGCGGCGCCTCCTCCTCACAGCCCCCCAGAGCAGCGGCGCCTCCTCCTCACAGCCCCCCAGAGCATGGGCGCCTCCTCCTCACAGCCCCCAGAGCAGCGGCGCCTCCTCCTCACAGCCCCCCAGAGCAGCGGCGCCTCCTCCTCACAGCCCCCCAGAGCATGGGCGCCTCCTCCTCACAGCCCCCTAGAGCAGCGGCGCCTCCTCCTCACAGCCCCCCAGAGCATGGGCGCCTCCACCTCACAGCCCCCCAGAGCATGGGCGCCTCCTCCTCACAGCCCCCCCAGAGCATGGGCGCCTCCTCCTCACAGCCCCCCAGAGCAGCGGCGCCTCCTCCTCACAGCCCCCCAGAGCATGGGCGCCTCCTACTCATAGCCCCCCAGAGCATGGGCGCCTCCTCCTCACAGCCCCCCAGAGCATGGGCGCCTCCTACTCATAGCCCCCCAGAGCATGGGCGCCTCCTCCTCACATCCCCCCAGAGCATGGGCGCCTCCTCCTCACAGCCCCCCAGAGCAGCGGCCGCCTCCTCCTCTTAGTCCCCAGAGCAGCAGCGCCAGAGCAGCGGCGCCTCCTCCTCTACAGCCCCCAGAGCAGCGGCGCCTCCTCCTCACAGCCCCCCAGAGCAGCGGCGCCTCCTCCTCACAGCCCCCCAGAGCATGGGCGCCTCCTCCTCACAGCCCCCCAGAGCAGCGGCGCCTCCTCCTCACAGCCCCCCAGAGCAGCGGCGCCTCCTCCTCACAGCCCCCAGAGCAGCGGCGCCTCCTCCTCACAGCCCCCAGAGCAGCGGCGCCTCCTCCTCACAGCCCCCTAGAGCAGCGGCGCCTCCTCCTCACAGCCCCCCAGAGCATGGGCGCCTCCTCCTCACAGCCCCCCAGAGCATGGGCGCCTCCTCCTCACAGCCCCCCAGAGCATGGGCGCCTCCTCCTCACAGCCCCCCAGAGCATGGGCGCCTCCTCCTCACAGCCCCCCAGAGCATGGGCGCCTCCTCCTCACAGCCCCCCAGAGCATGGGCGCCTCCTCCTCACAGCCCCCCAGAGCATGGGCGCCTCCTCCTCACAGCCCCCCAGAGCATGGGCGCCTCCTCCTCACAGCCCCCCAGAGCAGCGGCGCCTCCTCCTCTTAGTCCCCAGAGCAGCAGCGCCTCCTCCTCACAGCCCCCCAGAGCAGCGGCGCCTCCTCCTTACAGCCCCCAGAGCAGCGGCGCCTCCTCCTCACAGCCCCCCAGAGCAGCGGCGCCTCCTCCTCACAGCCCCCCAGAGCATGGGCGCCTCCTCCTCACAGCCCCCCAGAGCAGCGGCGCCTCCTCCTCACAGCCCCCCAGAGCAGCGGCGCCTCCTCCTCACAGGCCCCCAGAGCATGGGCGCCTCCTCCTCACAGCCCCCCAGAGCATGGGCGCCTCCTTCTCACAGCCCCCCAGAGCATGGGCGCCTCCTCCTCACAGCCCCCCAGAGCATGGGCGCCTCCTCCTCACAGCCCCCCCAGAGCATGGCCGCCTCCTCCTCACAGCCCCCCCAGAGCAGCGGCGCCTCCTCCTCACAGCCCCCCAGAGCAGCGGCGCCTCCTTCTCACAGCCTCCCAGAGCATGGGCGCCTCCTCCTCACAGTCCCCCAGAGCATGGGCGCCTCCTCCTCACAGCCCCCCAGAGCATGGGAGCCTCCTCCTCACAGCCCCCCAGAGCAGCGGCGCCTCCTCCTCACAGCCCCCCAGAGCAGCGGCGCCTCCTCCTCACAGCCCCCCAGAGCATGGGCGCCTCCTCCCCACAGCCCCCCAGAGCATGGGCGCCTCCTCCTCACAGCCCCCCAGAGCAGCAGCGCCTCCTCCTCGCAGCCCCCCAGAGCAGCGGCGCCTCCTCCTCACAGCCCCCCAGAGCAGCGGCGCCTCCTCCTCACAGCCCCCCAGAGCATGGGCGCCTCCTCCTCACAGCCCCCCAGAGCATGGGCGCCTCCTCCTCACAGCCCCCCAGAGCACCAGCGCCTCCTCCTCACAGCCCCCCAGAGCATGGGCGCCTCCTCCTCACAGCCCCCCAGAGCAGCGGAGCCTCCTCCTCACAGCCCCCCAGAGCATGGGCGCCTCCTCCTCACAGCCCCCCAGAGCATGGGCGCCTCCTCCTCACAGCCCCCCAGAGCATGGGCGCCTCCTCCTCACAGCCCCCCCAGAGCATGGCCGCCTCCTCCTCACAGCCCCCAGAGCAGCGGCGCCTCCTCCTCACAGCCCCCCAGAGCAGCGGCGCCTCCTTCTCACAGCCCCCCCAGAGCATGGGCGCCTCCTCCTCACAGTCCCCCAGAGCATGGGCGCCTCCTCCTCACAGCCTCCCAGAGCATGGGCGCCTCCTCCTCACAGCCCCCCAGAGCATGGGAGCCTCCTCCTCACAGCCCCCCAGAGCAGCGGCGCCTCCTCCTCACAGCCCCCCAGAGCAGCGGCGCCTCCTCCTCACAGCCCCCCAGAGCATGGGCGCCTCCTCCCCACAGCCCCCCAGAGCATGGGCGCCTCCTCCTCACAGCCCCCCAGAGCAGCAGCGCCTCCTCCTCGCAGCCCCCCAGAGCATGGGCGCCTCCTCCTCACAGCCCCCCAGAGCAGCGGCGCCTCCTCCTCACAGCCCCCCAGAGCAGGGCGCCTCCTCCTCACAGCCCCCAAGAGCATGGGCGCCTCCTCCTCACAGCCTCCCAGAGCACCAGCGCCTCCTCCTCACAGCCCCCAGAGCATGGGCGCCTCCTCCTCACAGCCCCCCAGAGCAGCGGAGCCTCCTCCTCACAGCCCCCCAGAGCATGGGCGCCTCCTACTCACAGCCCCCCAGAGCATGGGCGCCTCCTCCTCACAGCCCCCCAGAGCATGGGCGCCTCCTCCTCACAGCCCCCCAGAGCATGGGCGCCTCCTCCTCACAGCCCCCCAGAGCATGGGCGCCTCCTCCTCACAGCCCCCCAGAGCAGCGGCGCCTCCTCCTCACAGCGCCCCAGAGCATGGGCGCCTCCTCCTCACAGCCCCCTAGAGCAGCGGCGCCTCCTCCTCACAGCCCCCCAGAGCATGGGCGCCTCCACCTCACAGCCCCCCAGAGCATGGGCGCCTCCTCCTCACAGTCCCCCAGAGCATGGGCGCCTCCTCCTCACAGCCTCCCAGAGCAGCGGCGCCTCCTCCTCAAAGCCCCCCAGAGCATGGGCGCCTCCTCCTCACAGCCCCCCAGAGCATGGGCGCCTCCTCCTCACAGCCGCCCAGAGCATGGGCGCCTCTTCCTCACAGCCGCCCAGAGCATGGGCGCCTCCTCCTCACAGCCCCCCAGAGCATGGGCGCCTCCTCCTCACAGCCCCCAAGAGTATGGGCGCCTCCTCCTCACAGCCCCCCAGAGCAGCGGCACCTCCTCCTCACAGCCCCCCAGAGCATGGGCGCCTCCTCCTCACAGCCCCCCAGAGCAGCGGCGCCTCCTCCTCACAGGCCCCCAGAGCAGCGGCGCCTCCTCCTCACAGGCCCCCAGAGCAGCGGCGCCTCCTCCTCTTAGTCCCCAGAGCAGCGGCGCCTCCTCCTCACAGCCCCCCAGAGCAGCGGCGCCTCCTCCTTACAGCCCCCAGAGCAGCGGCGCCTCCTCCTCACAGCCCCCCAGAGCAGCGGCGCCTCCTCCTCACAGCCCCCCAGAGCATGGGCGCCTCCTCCTCACAGCCCCCAGAGCAGCGGCGCCTCCTCCTCACAGCCTCCCAGAGCAGCGGCGCCTCCTCCTCACAGGCCCCCAGAGCATGGGCGCCTCCTCCTCACAGCCCCCCAGAGCATGGGCGCCTCCTCCTCACAGCCCCCCAGAGCATGGGCGCCTCCTCCTCGCAGCCCCCCAGAAGCATGGGCGCCTCCTCCTCACAGCCCCCCCAGAGCATGGCCGCCTCCTCCTCACAGCCCCCCAGAGCAGCGGCGCCTCCTCCTCACAGCCCCCCAGAGCAGCGGCGCCTCCTCCTCACAGCCCCCCAGAGCATGGGCGCCTCCTCCTCACAGCCCCCCAGAGCATGGGCGCCTCCTCCTCACAGCCCCCCAGAGCATGGGCGCCTCCTTCTCACAGCCCCCCAGAGCATGGGCGCCTCCTCCTCACAGCCCCCCAGAGCATGGGCGCCTCCTCCTCACAGCCCCCCAGAGCATGGGAGCCTCCTCCTCACAGCCCCCCAGAGCAGCGGCGCCTCCTCCTCACAGCCCCCCAGAGCAGCGGCGCCTCCTCCTTACAGCCCCCAGAGCAGCGGCGCCTCCTCCTCACAGCCCCCCAGAGCAGCGGCGCCTCCTCCTCACAGCCCCCCAGAGCATGGGCGCCTCCTCCTCACAGCCCCCAGAGCAGCGGCGCCTCCTCCTCACAGCCCCCCAGAGCAGCGGCGCCTCCTCCTCACAGCCCCCCAGAGCAGCGGCGCCTCCTTCTCACAGCCCCCCCAGAGCATGGGCGCCTCCTCCTCACAGCACCCCAGAGCATGGGCGCCTCCTCCTCACAGCCCCCCAGAGCATGGGAGCCTCCTCCTCACAGCCCCCCAGAGCAGCGGCGCCTCCTCCTCACAGCCCCCAGAGCAGCGGCGCCTCCTCCTCACAGCCCCCCAGAGCATGGGCGCCTCCTCCCCACAGCCCCCCAGAGCATGGGCGCCTCCTCCTCACAGCCCCCCAGAGCAGCAGCGCCTCCTCCTCGCAGCCCCCCAGAGCAGCGGCGCCTCCTCCTCACAGCCCCCCAGAGCAGCGGCGCCTCCTCCTCACAGCCCCCCAGAGCATGGGCGCCTCCTCCTCACAGCCCCCCAGAGCATGGGCGCCTCCTCCTCACAGCCCCCCAGAGCACCAGCGCCTCCTCCTCACAGCCCCCCAGAGCATGGGCGCCTCCTCCTCACAGCCCCCCAGAGCAGCGGAGCCTCCTCCTCACAGCCCCCCAGAGCATGGGCGCCTCCTCCTCACAGCCCCCCAGAGCATGGGCGCCTCCTCCTCACAGCCCCCCAGAGCATGGGCGCCTCCTCCTCACAGCCCCCCAGAGCATGGGCGCCTCCTCCTCACAGCCCCCCAGAGCAGCGGCGCCTCCTCCTCACAGCCCCCCAGAGCAGCGGCGCCTCCTTCTCACAGCCCCCCCAGAGCATGGGCGCCTCCTCCTCACAGTCCCCCAGAGCATGGGCGCCTCCTCCTCACAGCCTCCCAGAGCATGGGCGCCTCCTCCTCACAGCCCCCCAGAGCATGGGAGCCTCCTCCTCACAGCCCCCCAGAGCAGCGGCGCCTCCTCCTCACAGCCCCCCAGAGCAGCGGCGCCTCCTCCTCACAGCCCCCCAGAGCATGGGCGCCTCCTCCCCACAGCCCCCCAGAGCATGGGCGCCTCCTCCTCACAGCCCCCCAGAGCAGCAGCGCCTCCTCCTCGCAGCCCCCCAGAGCATGGGCGCCTCCTCCTCACAGCCCCCCAGAGCAGCGGCGCCTCCTCCTCACAGCCCCCCAGAGCATGGGCGCCTCCTCCTCACAGCCCCCCAGAGCATGGGCGCCTCCTCCTCACAGCCTCCCAGAGCACCAGCGCCTCCTCCTCACAGCCCCCCAGAGCATGGGCGCCTCCTCCTCACAGCCCCCCAGAGCAGCGGAGCCTCCTCCTCACAGCCCCCCAGAGCATGGGCGCCTCCTACTCACAGCCCCCCAGAGCATGGGCGCCTCCTCCTCACAGCCCCCCAGAGCATGGGCGCCTCCTCCTCACAGCCTCCCAGAGCATGGGCGCCTCCTCCTCACAGCCCCCCAGAGCATGGGCGCCTCCTCCTCACAGCCCCCCAGAGCATGGGCGCCTCCTCCTCACAGCCCCCCAGAGCAGCGGCGCCTCCTCCTCACAGCGCCCCAGAGCATGGGCGCCTCCTCCTCACAGCCCCCTAAGAGCAGCGGCGCCTCCTCCTCACAGCCCCCCAGAGCATGGGCGCCTCCACCTCACAGCCCCCCAGAGCATGGGCGCCTCCTCCTCACAGCCCCCCAGAGCATGGGCGCCTCCTCCTCACAGCCCCCCAGAGCATGGGCGCCTCCTCCTCACAGCCGCCCAGAGCATGGGCGCCTCTTCCTCACAGCCCCCCAGAGCATGGGCGCCTCCTCCTCACAGCCCCCAAGAGTATGGGCGCCTCCTCCTCACAGCCCCCAAGAGCATGGGCGCCTCCTCCTCACAGCCCCCCAGAGCAGCGGCACCTCCTCCTCACAGCCCCCCAGAGCATGGGCGCCTCCTCCTCACAGCCCCCCAGAGCAGCGGCGCCTCCTCCTCACAGGCCCCCAGAGCAGCGGCGCCTCCTCCTCACAGGCCCCCAGAGCAGCGGCGCCTCCTCCTCTTAAGTCCCCCAGAGCAGCGGCGCCTCCTCCTCACAGCCCCCCAGAGCAGCGGCGCCTCCTCCTTACAGCCCCCCAGAGCAGCGGCGCCTCCTCCTCACAGCCCCCCAGAGCAGCGGCGCCTCCTCCTCACAGCCCCCCAGAGCATGGGCGCCTCCTCCTCACAGCCCCCAGAGCAGCGGCGCCTCCTCCTCACAGCCTCCCAGAGCAGCGGCGCCTCCTCCTCACAGGCCCCCCAGAGCATGGGCGCCTCCTCCTCACAGCCCCCCAGAGCATGGGCGCCTCCTCCTCACAGCCCCCCAGAGCATGGGCGCCTCCTCCTCACAGCCCCCCAGAGCATGGGCGCCTCCTCCTCACAGCCCCCCCAGAGCATGGCCGCCTCCTCCTCACAGCCCCCCAGAGCAGCGGCGCCTCCTCCTCACAGCCCCCAGAGCAGCGGCGCCTCCTTCTCACAGCCCCCCCAGAGCATGGGCGCCTCCTCCTCACAGTCCCCCAGAGCATGGGCGCCTCCTCCTCACAGCCTCCCAGAGCATGGGCGCCTCCTCCTCACAGCCCCCCAGAGCAGCGGCGCCTCCTCCTCACAGCCCCCCAGAGCAGCGGCGCCTCCTCCTCACAGCCCCCCAGAGCATGGGCGCCTCCTCCCCACAGCCCCCCAGAGCATGGGCGCCTCCTCCTCACAGCCCCCCAGAGCAGCAGCGCCTCCTCCTCGCAGCCCCCCAGAGCATGGGCGCCTCCTCCTCACAGCCCCCCAGAGCAGCGGCGCCTCCTCCTCACAGCCCCCCAGAGCATGGGCGCCTCCTCCTCACAGCCCCCCAGAGCATGGGCGCCTCCTCCTCACAGCCCCCCAGAGCACCAGCGCCTCCTCCTCACAGCCCCCCAGAGCATGGGCGCCTCCTCCTCACAGCCCCCAGAGCAGCGGAGCCTCCTCCTCACAGCCCCCCACAGCATGGGCGCCTCCTCCTCACAGCCCCCCAGAGCACCAGCGCCTCCTCCTCACAGCCCCCCAGAGCATGGGCGCCTCCTCCTCACAGCCCCCCAGAGCAGCGGCGCCTCCTCCTTACAGCCCCCTAGAGCATGGGCGCCTCCTCCTCACAGCCCCCCAGAGCAGCGGCGCCTCCTCCTCACAGCCCCCCAGAGCATGGGCGCCTCCTCCTCACAGCCCCCCAGAGCATGGGCGCCTCCTCCTCACAGCCCTCCAGAGCATCGGCGCCTCCTCCTCACAGCCCCCCAGAGCATGGGCGCCTCCTCCTCACAGCCCCCCAGAGCAGCGGAGCCTCCTCCTCACAGCCCCCCAGAGCATGGGCGCCTCCTCCTCACAGCCCCCTAGAGCATGGGCGTCTCCTCCTCACAGCCCCCAAGAGCATGGGCGCCTCCTCCTCACAGCCCCCCAGAGCATGGGCGCCTCCTCCTCACAGCCCCCCAGAGCAACGGAGCCTCCTCCTCACAGCCCCCAAGAGCATGGGCGCCTCCTCCTCACAGCCCCCCAGAGCAGCGGCGCCTCCTCCTCACAGGCCCCCAGAGCAGCGGCGCCTCCTCCTCACAGGCCCCCAGAGCAGCGGCGCCTCCTCCTCTTAGTCCCCAGAGCAGCGGCGCCTCCTCCTCACAGCCCCCCAGAGCAGCGGCGCCTCCTCCTTACAGCCCCCAGAGCAGCGGCGCCTCCTCCTCACAGCCCCCCAGAGCAGCGGCGCCTCCTCCTCACAGCCCCCCAGAGCATGGGCGCCTCCTCCTCACAGCCCCCAGAGCAGCGGCGCCTCCTCCTCACAGCCCCCCAGAGCAGCGGCGCCTCCTCCTCACAGGCCCCCAGAGCATGGGCGCCTCCTCCTCACAGCCCCCCAGAGCATGGGCGCCTCCTCCTCACAGCCCCCCAGAGCATGGGCGCCTCCTCCTCACAGCCCCCCAGAGCATGGGCGCCTCCTCCTCACAGCCCCCCCAGAGCATGGCCGCCTCCTCCTCACAGCCCCCTAGAGCAGGGGCGCCTCCTCCTCACAGCCCCCCAGAGCAGCGGCGCCTCCTTCTCACAGCCCCCCCAGAGCATGAGCGCCTCCTCCTCACAGTCCCCCAGAGCATGGGCGCCTCCTCCTCACAGCCTCCCAGAGCATGGGCGCCTCCTCCTCACAGCCCCCCAGAGCATGGGAGCCTCCTCCTCACAGCCCCCCAGAGCAGTGGCGCCTCCTCCTCACAGCCCCCCAGAGCAGCGGCGCCTCCTCCTCACAGCCCCCCAGAGCATGGGCGCCTCCTCCCCACAGCCCCCCAGAGCATGGGCGCCTCCTCCTCACAGCCCCCCAGAGCACCAGCGCCTCCTCCTCACAGCCCCCCAGAGCATGGGCGCCTCCTCCTCACAGCCCCCCAGAGCAGCGGCGCCTCCTCCTTACAGCCCCCTAGAGCATGGGCGCCTCCTCCTCACAGCCCCCCAGAGCAGCGGCGCCTCCTCCTCACAGCCCCCCAGAGCATGGGCGCCTCCTCCTCACAGCCCCCCAGAGCATGGGCGCCTCCTCCTCACAGCCCTCCAGAGCATCGGCGCCTCCTCCTCACAGCCCCCCAGAGCATGGGCGCCTCCTCCTCACAGCCCCCCAGAGCAGCGGAGCCTCCTCCTCACAGCCCCCCAGAGCATGGGCGCCTCCTCCTCACAGCCCCCCAGAGCATGGGCGCCTCCTCCTCACAGCCCCCCAGAGCATGGGCGCCTCCTCCTCACAGCCCCCAAGAGCATGGGCGCCTCCTCCTCACAGCCCCCCAGAGCATCGGCGCCTCCTCCTCACAGCCCCCCAGAGCAGCGGCGCCTCCTCCTCACAGCCCCCCAGAGCATGGGCGCTGCGGAGATAACGGCAGCAACGGGAGCTAGGCTACGGGCTAGGCACGTGTGCTCGTGTGATCTCTGCGTTCTCTGTTCCTTAGTCGTTTCCTTGTGTGCACACTACTTGCTAGTTCACGGGGAAAATTGGCAAGAGTTTCACTAGGAAAAGTTCAGAACAATGATTACAATGAAGTTGGCATAGCAAGACTACATCAGAGCAAGCATTCAGGTCGGCCAACTGCCAGCGCAGCTTGGTCGACCGCGTTCCAGCACGACTTGGTCGACCGCGCTCCAGCAAGGCAAGGTCGACAGCGTTGCTCACGCAGGACAGCAGTGCACCCTGCTGCGTAGTTGTGCGCAGATGATTGGCGCGCAGGGTCTCGTCACCTGCACAGCGCACACACCACGTCAACCTTGAGCTGACGACTGCCTCTGATCCGTCACGATGACCTCGGGATACCAGCACCGAGATCAGGCTTGCCAACTTCGTCTGGGCGACCGCCACACTCCTCCGCAGCACTTCGTTACCCTGATAACCTGGCCGACTAGGGAACCACGTCGCCCAGCAGCTCCCGTACGTGCCCGTCGACCTCCCAGGTTGACGACCACCTCCACGTCGACCTCCTCCAGGTCGACGTCCCCTTTGGTCGACCAGCTCCACGTCGACCAGCACTCCTGGTCGGCCTGCTCCTCGTCAACCAGTACAGTCGTCGGCCGACCACCCGCGTCGGCCACCCGAAGCTGGCGTCACGAAATTGACGCCCCGCTACTCGACGCCCAATTGTTCAGCGTCCTGAGTCGAGGTCGACGTCGGCCCCTCCTTCGTCGACAACCAGGTCCAGTCGACCACTAACATGTCGACTAGCAGTTCGTTAGCCGACCACCGAAGTCGGCTTCCCCAAGTTGACGTCACCAAGTTGACGTCCTTCACAGGTCAACTCCCAAGTCGACCTCCCCGAAGTCGGCGCCATCCTAAAGTTGGCGCCCGTGCAGTGGTCCCCCGTGCAGGTCAAACTCCCCGTCGACCAGCTCACCCACTGCTGCAGGTCGGCTGCTCCCCTCACACCCGACCACGAAGTCGGCTCCGCCCAAGCGAGGACGGGGCCAACACCCAACTCCCATTGACAGGCCCCTCCTCCTCACAGCCCCCCTGAACATTGGCGCCTCCTCCTCACAGCCCCCCAGAGCAGCGGCGCCTCTCCCTCACAGCCCCCCAGAGCAGCGGCGCCTCCTCCTCACAGCCCCCCAGAGCATGGGCGCCTCCTCCTCACAGCCCCCCAGAGCATCGGCGCCTCCTCCTCACAGCCCCCCAGAGCAGCGGCGCCTCCTCCTCACAGCCCCCCAGAGCAGCGGCGCCTCCTCCTCACAGCCCCCCAGAGCAGCGGCGCCTCCTTCTCACAGCCCCCCAGAGCAGCGGCGCCTCCTCCTCACAGCCCCCCAGAGCAGCGGCGCCACCTCCTCACAGCCCCCCATAGCATGGGCGCCTCCTCCGCACAGCCCCCCAGAGCAGCGGCGCCTCCTCCTCACAGCCCCCCCAGAGCATGGCCGCCTCCTCCTCACAGCCCCCCAGAGCAGCGGCGCCTCCTCCTCACAGCCCCCCCAGAGCATGGGCGCCTCCTCCTCACAGCCCCCCAGAGCATGGGCGCCTCCTCCTCATAGCCCCCAGAGCAGCGGCGCCTCCTCCTCACAGCCCCCCAGAGCAGCTGCGCCTCCTCCTCACAGGCCCCCAGAGCATGGGCGCCTCCTCCTCACAGCCCCCCAGAGCATGGGCGCCTCCTCCTCACAGCCCCCCAGAGCATGGGCGCCTCCTCCTCACAGCCCCCCAGAGCATGGGCGCCTCCTCCTCACAGCCCCCCAGAGCAGCGGCGCCTCCTCCTCACAGCCCCCCAGAGCATGGGCGCCACCTCTTCACAGCCCCCCAGAGCATGGGCGCCTCCTCCTCACTGCCCCCCAGAGCATGGGCGCCTCCTCCTCACAGCCCCCCAGAGCATGGGCGCCTCCTCCTCACAGCCCCCCAGAGCAGCGGCGCCTCCTCCTCACAGCCCCCCAGAGCATGGGCGCCTCCTCCTCACTGCCCCCAGAGCAGCGGCGCCTCCTCCTCACAGCCCCCCAGAGCAGTGGCACCTCCACCACACAGCCCCTCAGAGCAGTGGCGCCTCCTCCTCACAGCCCCCCAGAGCATGGGCGCCTCCTCCTCACAGCCCCCCAGAGCAGCGGCGCCTCCTCCTCACAGCCCCCCAGAGCAGCGGTGCCTCCTCCTCACAGCCCCCCAGAGCAGCGGCGCCTCCTCCTCACAGCCCCCCAGAGCAGCGGCGCCTCCTCCTCACAGCCCCCCAGAGCAGCGGCGCCTCCTCCTCACAGCTCCCCAAAGCATGGGCGCCTCCTCCTCACAGCCCCCCAGAGCATGGGCGCCTCCTCCTCACAGCCCCCCAGAGCATGGGCGCCTCCTCCTCACAGCCCCCCAGAGCAGCGGCGCCTCCTCCTCACAGCCCCCCAGAGCATGGGCGCCTCCTCCTAACAGCCCCCCAGAGCAGCGGCGCCTCCTCCTCACAGCCCCCCAGAGCAACGGCGCCTCCTCCTCACAGCCCCCCAGAGCAGCGGCGCCTCCTCCTCACAGCCCCCCAGAGCAGCGGCGCCTCCTCCTCACAGCCCCCCAGAGCATGGGCGCCTCCTCCTCACAGCCCCCCAGAGCATGGGTGCCTCCTCCTCACAGCCCCCCAGAGCAGCGGCGCCTCCTCCTCACAGCCCCCCAGAGCATGGGCGCCTCCTCCTCACAGCCCCCCAGAGCATGGGCGCCTCCTCCTCACAGCCCCCCAGAGCAGCGGCGCCTCCTCCTCACAACCCCCCAGAGCATGGGCGCCTCCTCCTCACAGCCCCCCAGAGCAGCGGCGCCTCCTCCTCACAGCCCCCCAGAGCAACGGCGCCTCCTCCTCACAGCCCCCCAGAGCAGCGGCGCCTCCTCCTCACAGCCCCCCCAGAGCATGGGCGCCTCCTCCTCACAGCCCCCAAGAGCAGCGGCGCCTCCTCCTCACAGCCTCCCAGAGCATGGGCGCCTCCTCCTCACAGCCCCCCAGAGCATGGGCGCCTCCTCCTCACAGCCCCCCAGAGCATGGGCGCCTCCTCCTCACAGCCCCCCAGAGCATGGGCGCCTCCTCCTCACAGCCCCCCAGAGCAGCGGCGCCTCCTCCTCACAGCCCCCCAGAGCATGGGCGCCTCCTCCTCACAGCCCCCCAGAGCATGGGCGCCTCCTCCTCACAGCCCTCCAGAGCAGCGGCGCCTCCTCCTCACAGCCCCCCAGAGCAGCGGCGCCTCCTCCTCACAGCCCCCCAGAGCAGCGGCGCCTCCTCCTCACAGGCCCCCCAGAGCAGCGGCGCCTCCTCCTCACAGCCCCCCAGAGCAGCGGCGCCTCCTCCTCACAGCCCCCCAGAGCAGCGGTGCCTCCTCCTCACAGCCCCCCAGAGCAGCGGCGCCTCCTCCTCACAGCCCCCCAGAGCAGCAGCGCCTCCCCCTCACAGGCCCCCAGAGCAGCGGCGCCTCCTCCTCACAGTCCCCCAGAGCATGGGCGCCTCCTCCTCACAGCCCCCCAGAGCAGCGGCGCCTCCTCCTCACAGCCCCCCAGAGCATGGGCGCCTCCTCCTCACAGCCCCCCAGAGCATGGGCGCCTCCTCCTCACAGCCCCCCAGAGCATGGGCGCCTCCTCCTCACAGCCCCCCAGAGCAGCTGCGCCTCCTCCTCACAGCCCCCCAGGGCAGCGGCGCCTCCTCCTCACAGCCCCCCCAGAGCAGCGGCGCCTCTCCCTCACAGCTCCCCAGAGCATGGGCGCCTCCTCCTCACAGCCCCCCAGAGCAGCGGCGCCTCCTCCTCACAGCCCCCCAGAGCAGCGGCGCCTCCTCCTCACAGCCCCCCAGAGCAGCGGCGCCTCCTCCTCACAGCCCCGCAGAGCATGGGCGCCTCCTCCTCACAGCCCCCCAGAGCAGCGGTGCCTCCTCCTCACAGCCCCCAGAGCAGCGGCGCCTCCTCCTCACAGCACCCCAGAGCATGGGCGCCTCCTCCTCACAGCCCCCCAGAGCATGGGCGCCTCCTCCTCACAGCCCCCAGAGCAGCGGCGCCTCCTCCTCACAGCCCCCCAGAGCAGCGGCGCGTCCTCCTCACAGGCCCCCAGAGCATGGGCGCCTCCTCCTCACAGCCCCCCAGAGCATGGGCGCCTCCTCCTCACAGCCCCCCAGAGCAGCGGCGCCTCCTCCTCACAGCCCCCCAGAGCATGGGCGCCTCCTCCTCACAGCCCCCCAGAGCAGCGGCGCCTCCTCCTCACAGGCCCCCAGAGCAGCGGGGCCTCCTCCTCACAGGCCCCCAGAGCAGCGGCGCCTCCTCCTCACAGTCCCCAGAGCAGCGGCGCCTCCTCCTCACAGCCCCCCAGAGCAGCGGTGCCTCCTCCTCACAGCCCCCAGAGCAGCGGCGCCTCCTCCTCACAGCACCCCAGAGCATGGGCGCCTCCTCCTCACAGCCCCCCAGAGCATGGGCGCCTCCTCCTCACAGCCCCAAGAGCAGCGGCGCCTCCTCCTCACAGCCCCCCAGGGCAGCGGCGCCTCACAGCCCCCAGGGCAGCGGCGCCTCTCCTCACAGCCCCCCAGAGCAGCGGAGCCTCCTCCTACAGCCCACCAGAGCATGGGCGCCTCCTCCTCACAGCCCCCCAGAGCATGGGCGCCTCCTCCTCACAGCCCCCCAGAGCATGGGTGCCTCCTCCTCACAGCCCCCCAGGAGCAGCGGCGCCTCCTCCTCACAGCCCCCCAGAGCATGGGCGCCTCCTCCTCACAGCCCCCCAGAGCATGGGCGCCTCCTCCTCACAGCCCCCCAGAGCAGCGGCGCCTCCTCCTCACAACCCCCCAGAGCATGGGCGCCTCCTCCTCACAGCCCCCCAGAGCAGCGGCGCCTCCTCCTCACAGCCCCCCAGAGCAACGGCGCCTCCTCCTCACAGCCCCCCAGAGCAGCGGCGCCTCCTCCTCACAGCCCCCCCAGAGCATGGGCGCCTCCTCCTCACAGCCCCCAAGAGCAGCGGCGCCTCCTCCTCACAGCCCCCCCAGAGCATGGGCGCCTCCTCCTCACAGCCCCCCAGAGCATGGGCGCCTCCTCCTCACAGCCCCCCAGAGCATGGGCGCCTCCTCCTCACAGCCCCCCAGAGCAGCGGCGCCTCCTCCTCACAGCCCCCCAGAGCATGGGCGCCTCCTCCTCACAGCCCCCCAGAGCATGGGCGCCTCCTCCTCACAGCCCTCCAGAGCAGCGGCGCCTCCTCCTCACAGCCCCCCAGAGCAGCGGCGCCTCCTCCTCACAGCCCCCCAGAGCAGCGGCGCCTCCTCCTCACAGGCCCCCCCAGAGCAGCGGCGCCTCCTCCTCACAGCCCCCAGAGCAGCGGCGCCTCCTCCTCACAGCCCCCCAGAGCAGCGGTGCCTCCTCCTCACAGCCCCCCAGAGCAGCGGCGCCTCCTCCTCACAGCCCCCCAGAGCATGGGCGCCTCCTCCTCACAGCTCCCCAGAGCAGCAGCGCCTCCCCCTCACAGCCCCCCAGAGCAGCGGCGCCTCCTCCTCACAGTCCCCCCGAGCATGGGCGCCTCCTCCTCACAGCCCCCCAGAGCAGCGGCGCCTCCTCCTCACAGCCCCCCAGAGCATGGGCGCCTCCTCCTCACAGCCCCCCCAGAGCATGGGCGCCTCCTCCTCACAGCCCCCCCAGAGCATGGGCGCCTCCTCCTCACAGCCCCCCAGAGCAGCTGCGCCTCCTCCTCACAGCCCCCCAGGGCAGCGGCGCCTCCTCCTCACAGCCCCCCCAGAGCAGCGGCCGCCTCTCCCTCACAGCTCCCCAGAGCATGGGCGCCTCCTCCTCACAGCCCCCCAGAGCAGCGGCGCCTCCTCCTCACAGCCCCCCAGAGCAGCGGCGCCTCCTCCTCACAGCCCCCCAGAGCAGCGGCGCCTCCTCCTCACAGCCCCGCAGAGCATGGGCGCCTCCTCCTCACAGCCCCCCAGAGCAGCGGTGCCTCCTCCTCACAGCCCCCCAGAGCATGGGCGCCTCCTCCTCACTGCCCCCAGAGCAGCGGCGCCTCCTCCTCACAGCCCCCAGAGCAGCGGCGCATCCTCCTCACAGCACCCCAGAGCAGCGGCGCCTCCTCCTCACAGCCCCCCAGAGCAGCGGCGCCTCCTCCTCACAACCCCCCAGAGCATGGGCGCCTCCTCCTCACAGCCCCCCAGAGCATGGGCGCCTCCTCCTCACAGCCCCCCAGAGCATGGGCGCCTCCTCCTCACAGCCCCCCAGAGCAGCGGAGCCTCCTCCTACAGCCCACCAGAGCATGGGCGCCTCCTCCTCACAGCCCCCAGAGCAGCGGCGCCTCCTCCTCACAGGCCCCCAGAGCAGCGGCGCCTCCTCCTCACAGGCCCCCAGAGCAGCGGCGCCTCCTCCTCACAGTCCCCAGAGCAGCGGCGCCTCCTCCTCACAGCCCCCCAGAGCATGGGCGCCTCCACCTCACAGCCCCCCAGAGCATGGGCGCCTCCTCCTCACAGCCCCCCAGAGCATGGGCGCCTCCTCCTCACAGCCCCCCAGAGCAGCAGCGCCTCCTCCTCACAGCCCCCCAGAGCATGGGCGCCTCCTCCTCAGAGCCCCCCAGAGCATGGCCATCTCCTCCTCACAGCCCCCCAGAGCAATGGCGCCTCCTCCTCACAGCCCCCAGAGCATGGGCGCCTCCTCCTCACAGCCGCCCAGAGCATGGGCGTCTCCTCCTCACAGCCCCCCAGAGCATGGGCGCCTCCTCCTCACAGCCCCCCAGAGCAGCGGCGCCTCCTCCTCACAGCCCCCCAGAGCATGGGCGCCTCCTCCTCACAGCCCCCCAGAGCAGCGGCGCCTCCTCCTCACAGGCCCCCAGAGCAGCGGGGCCTCCTCCTCACAGGCCCCCAGAGCAGCGGCGCCTCCTCCTCACAGTCCCCAGAGCAGCGGCGCCTCCTCCTCACAGCCCCCCAGAGCAGCGGTGCCTCCTCCTCACAGCCCCCAGAGCAGCGGCGCCTCCTCCTCACAGCACCCCAGAGCATGGGCGCCTCCTCCTCACAGCCCCCCAGAGCATGGGCGCCTCCTCCTCACAGCCCCCAGAGCAGCGGCGCCTCCTCCTCACAGCCCCCAGAGCAGCGGCGCGTCCTCCTCACAGGCCCCCAGAGCATGGGCGCCTCCTCCTCACAGCCCCCCAGAGCATGGGCGCCTCCTCCTCACAGCCCCCCAGAGCAGCGGCGCCTCCTCCTCACAGGCCCCCAGAGCATGGGCGCCTCCTCCTCACAGCCCCCCAGAGCATGGGCGCCTCCTCCTCACAGCCCCCCAGAGCATGGGCGCCTCCTCCTCACAGCCCCCCAGAGCATGGGCGCCTCCTCCTCACAGCCCCCCAGAGCAGCGGCGCCTCCTCCTCACAGCCCCCCAGAGCATGGGCGCCTCCTCCTCACAGCCCCCCAGAGCATGGGCGCCTCCTCCTCACAGCCCCCCAGAGCATGGGCGCCTCCTCCTCACAGCCCCCCAGAGCAGCGGCGCCTCCTCCTCACAGCCCCCCAGAGCATGGGCGCCTCCCCCTCACAGCCCCCCAGAGCAGCGGCGCCTCCTCCTCACAGCCCCCCAGAGCAACGGCGCCTCCTCCTCACATCCCCCCAGAGCAGCGGCGCCTCCTCCTCACAGCCCCCCCAGAGCATGGGCGCCTCCTCCTCACAGCCCCCAAGAGCAGCGGCGCCTCCTCCTCACAGCCCCCCCAGAGCATGGGCGCCTCCTCCTCACAGCCCCCCAGAGGATGGGCGCCTCCTCCTCACAGCCCCCCAGAGCATGGGCGCCTCCTCCTCACAGCCCCCCAGAGCATGGGCGCCTCCTCCTCACAGCCCCCCAGAGCAGCGGCGCCTCCTCCTCACAGCCCCACAGAGCATGGGCGCCTCCTCCTCACAGCCCCTCAGAGCAGCGGCGCCTCCTCCTCACAGCCCCCCAGAGCATGGGCGCCTCCTCCTCACAGCCCCCCAGAGCATGGGCGCCTCCTCCTCACAGCCCCCCAGAGCATGGGCGCCTCCTCCTCACAGCCCCCCAGAGCAGCGGCGCCTCCTCCTCACAGCCCCCCAGAGCAGCGGCGCCTCCTCCTCACAGCCCCCCCAGAGCAGCGGCGCCTCTCCCTCACAGCTCCCCAGAGCATGGGCGCCTCCTCCTCACAGCCCCCCAGAGCAGCGGCGCCTCCTCCTCACAGCCCCCCCAGAGCAGCGGCGCCTCCTCCTCACAGGCCCCCCCAGAGCAGCGGCGCCTCCTCCTCACAGCCCCCCAGAGCAGCGGCGCCTCCTCCTCACAGCCCCCCAGAGCAGCGGTGCCTCCTCCTCACAGCCCCCCAGAGCAGCGGCGCCTCCTCCTCACAGCCCCCCAGAGCATGGGCGCCTCCTCCTCACAGCCCCCCAGAGCAGCGGCGCCTCCCCCTCACAGCCCCCCAGAGCAGCGGCGCCTCCTCCTCACAGTCCCCCAGAGCATGGGCGCCTCCTCCTCACAGCCCCCCAGAGCAGCGGCGCCTCCTCCTCACAGCCCCCCAGAGCATGGGCGCCTCCTCCTCACAGCCCCCCAGAGCATGGGCGCCTCCTCCTCACAGCCCCCCAGAGCATGGGCGCCTCCTCCTCACAGCCCCCCAGAGCAGCTGCGCCTCCTCCTCACAGCCCCCCAGGGCAGCGGCGCCTCCTCCTCACAGCCCCCCCAGAGCAGCGGCGCCTCTCCCTCACAGCTCCCCAGTGCATGGGCGCCTCCTCCTCACAGCCCCCCAGAGCAGCGGCGCCTCCTCCTCACAGCCCCCCCAGAGCAGCGGCGCCTCCTCCTCACAGCCCCCCAGAGCAGCGGCGCCTCCTCCTCACAGCCCCGCAGAGCATGGGCGCCTCCTCCTCACAGCCCCCCAGAGCAGCGGTGCCTCCTCCTCACAGCCCCCCAGAGCATGGGTGCCTCCTCCTCACTGCCCCCAGAGCAGCGGCGCCTCCTCCTCACAGCCCCCCAGAGCAGCGGCGCATCCTCCTCACAGCACCCCAGAGCAGCGGCGCCTCCTCCTCACAGCCCCCCAGAGCAGCGGCGCCTCCTCCTCACAACCCCCCAGAGCATGGGCGCCTCCTCCTCACAGCCCCCCAGAGCATGGGCGCCTCCTCCTCACAGCCCCCCAGAGCATGGGCGCCTCCTCCTCACAGCCCCCCAGAGCAGCGGAGCCTCCTCCTACAGCCCACCAGAGCATGGGCGCCTCCTCCTCACAGCCCCCCAGAGCAGCGGCGCCTCCTCCTCACAGGCCCCCAGAGCAGCGGCGCCTCCTCCTCACAGGCCCTCAGAGCAGCGGCGCCTCCTCCTCACAGTCCCCAGAGCAGCGGCGCCTCCTCCTCACAGCCCCCCAGAGCATGGGCGCCTCCACCTCACAGCCCCCCAGAGCATGGGCGCCTCCTCCTCACAGCCCCCCAGAGCAAGGGCGCCTCCTCCTCACAGCCCCCCAGAGCAGCAGCGCCTCCTCCTCACAGCCCCCCAGAGCAGCGGCGCGTCCTCCTCACAGGCCCCCAGAGCTTGGGCGCCTCCTCCTCACAGCCCCCCAGAGCATGGGCGCCTCCTCCTCACAGCCTCCCAGAGCAGCGGCGCCTCCTCCTCACAGCCCCCCAGAGCATGGGCGCCTCCTCCTCACAGCCCCCCAGAGCAGCGGCGCCTCCTCCTCACAGGCCCCCAGAGCAGCGGGGCCTCCTCCTCACAGGCCCCCAGAGCAGCGGCGCCTCCTCCTCACAGTCCCCAGAGCAGCGGCGCCTCCTCCTCACAGCCCCCCAGAGCAGCGGTGCCTCCTCCTCACAGCCCCCAGAGCAGCGGCGCCTCCTCCTCACAGCACCCCAGAGCATGGGCGCCTCCTCCTCACAGCCCCCCAGAGCATGGGCGCCTCCTCCTCACAGCCCCAAGAGCAGCGGCGCCTCCTCCTCACAGCCCCCCAGAGCAGCGGCGCCTCCTCCTCACAGGCCCCCAGAGCATGGGCGCCTCCTCCTCACAGCCCCCCAGAGCATGGGCGCCTCCTCCTCACAGCCCCCCAGAGCATGGGCGCCTCCTCCTCACAGCCCCCCAGAGCAGCGGCGCCTCCTCCTCACAGCCCCCCAGAGCAGCGGCGCCTCCTCCTCACAGCCCCCCAGAGCATGGGCGCCTCCTCCTCACAGCCCCCCAGAGCATGGGCGCCTCCTCCTCACTGCCCCCCAGAGCATGGGCGCCTCCTCCTCACAGCCCCCCAGAGCATGGGCGCCTCCTCCTCACAGCCCCCCAGAGCAGCGGCGCCTCCTCCTCACAGCCCCCCAGAGCAGCGGCGCCTCCTCCTCACTGCCCCCAGAGCAGCGGCGCCTCCTCCTCACAGCCCCCCAGAGCAGTGGCGCCTCCTCCTCACAGCCCCCCAGAGCAGTGGCGCCTCCTCCTCACAGCCCCCCAGAGCATGGGCGCCTCCTCCTCACAGCCCCCCAGAGCAGCGGCGCCTCCTCCTCACAGCCCCCCAGAGCAGCGGTGCCTCCTCCTCACAGCCCCCCAGAGCAGCGGCGCCTCCTCCTTACAGCCCCCCAGAGCAGCGGCGCCTCCTCCTCACAGCCCCCCAGAGCAGCGGCGCCTCCTCCTCACAGCTCCCCAAAGCATGGGCGCCTCCTCCTCACAGCCCCCCAGAGCATGGGCGCCTCCTCCTCACAGCCCCCCAGAGCATGGGCGCCTCCTCCTCACAGCCCCCCAGAGCAGCGGCGCCTCCTCCTCACAGCCCCCCAGAGCATGGGCGCCTCCTCCTCACAGCCCCCCAGAGCAGCGGCGCCTCCTCCTCACAGCCCCCCAGAGCAACGGCGCCTCCTCCTCACAGCCCCCCAGAGCAGCGGCGCCTCCTCCTCACAGCCCCCCAGAGCAGCGGCGCCTCCTCCTCACAGCCCCCCAGAGCATGGGCGCCTCCTCCTCACAGCCCCCCAGAGCATGGGTGCCTCCTCCTCACAGCCCCCCAGAGCAGCGGCGCCTCCTCCTCACAGCCCCCCAGAGCATGGGCGCCTCCTCCTCACAGCCCCCCAGAGCATGGGCGCCTCCTCCTCACAGCCCCCCAGAGCAGCGGCGCCTCCTCCTCACAGCCCCCCAGAGCATGGGCGCCTCCCCCTCACAGCCCCCCAGAGCAGTGGCGCCTCCTCCTCACAGCCCCCCAGAGCAACGGCGCCTCCTCCTCACATCCCCCCAGAGCAGCGGCGCCTCCTCCTCACAGCCCCCCCAGAGCATGGGCGCCTCCTCCTCACAGCCCCCCAGAGCATGGGCGCCTCCTCCTCACAGCCCCCCAGAGCATGGGCGCCTCCTCCTCACAGCCCCCCAGAGCATGGGCGCCTCCTCCTCACAGCCCCCCAGAGCAGCGGCGCCTCCCCCTCACAGCCCCCCAGAGCAGCGGCGCCTCCTCCTCACAGCCCCACAGAGCATGGGCGCCTCCTCCTCACAGCCCCTCAGAGCAGCGGCGCCTCCTCCTCACAGCCCCCCAGAGCATGGGCGCCTCCTCCTCACAGCCCCCCAGAGCATGGGCGCCTCCTCCTCACAGCCCCCCAGAGCATGGGCGCCTCCTCCTCACAGCCCCCCAGAGCAGCGGCGCCTCCTCCTCACAGCCCCCCAGAGCAGCGGCGCCTCCTCCTCACAGCCCCCCCAGAGCAGCGGCGCCTCTCCCTCACAGCTCCCCAGAGCATGGGCGCCTCCTCCTCACAGCCCTCCAGAGCAGCGGCGCCTCCTCCTCACAGCCCCCCAGAGCAGCGGCGCCTCCTCCTCACAGGCCCCCCCAGAGCAGCGGCGCCTCCTCCTCACAGCCCCCCAGAGCAGCGGCGCCTCCTCCTCACAGCCCCCCAGAGCAGCGGTGCCTCCTCCTCACAGCCCCCCAGAGCAGCGGCGCCTCCTCCTCACAGCCCCCCAGAGCATGGGCGCCTCCTCCTCACAGCCCCCCAGAGCAGCGGCGCCTCCCCCCTCACAGCCCCCCAGAGCAGCGGCGCCTCCTCCTCACAGTCCCCCAGAGCATGGGCGCCTCCTCCTCACAGCCCCCCAGAGCAGCGGCGCCTCCTCCTCACAGCCCCCCAGAGCATGGGCGCCTCCTCCTCACAGCCCCCCAGAGCATGGGCGCCTCCTCCTCACAGCCCCCCAGAGCATGGGCGCCTCCTCCTCACAGCCCCCCAGAGCAGCTGCGCCTCCTCCTCACAGCCCCCCAGGGCAGCGGCGCCTCCTCCTCACAGCCCCCCCAGAGCAGCGGCGCCTCTCCCTCACAGCTCCCCAGTGCATGGGCGCCTCCTCCTCACAGCCCCCAGAGCAGCGGCGCCTCCTCCTCACAGCCCCCCAGAGCAGCGGCGCCTCCTCCTCACAGCCCCCCAGAGCAGCGGCGCCTCCTCCTCACAGCCCCGCAGAGCATGGGCGCCTCCTCCTCACAGCCCCCCAGAGCAGCGGTGCCTCCTCCTCACAGCCCCCCAGAGCATGGGTGCCTCCTCCTCACTGCCCCCAGAGCAGCGGCGCCTCCTCCTCACAGCCCCCCAGAGCAGCGGCGCATCCTCCTCACAGCACCCCAGAGCAGCGGCGCCTCCTCCTCACAGCCCCCCAGAGCAGCGGCGCCTCCTCCTCACAACCCCCCAGAGCATGGGCGCCTCCTCCTCACAGCCCCCCAGAGCATGGGCGCCTCCTCCTCACAGCCCCCCAGAGCATGGGCGCCTCCTCCTCACAGCCCCCCAGAGCAGCGGAGCCTCCTCCTACAGCCCACCAGAGCATGGGCGCCTCCTCCTCACAGCCCCCCAGAGCAGCGGCGCCTCCTCCTCACAGGCCCCCAGAGCAGCGGCGCCTCCTCCTCACAGGCCCTCAGAGCAGCGGCGCCTCCTCCTCACAGTCCCCAGAGCAGCGGCGCCTCCTCCTCACAGCCCCCCAGAGCATGGGCGCCTCCACCTCACAGCCCCCCAGAGCATGGGCGCCTCCTCCTCACAGCCCCCCAGAGCAAGGGCGCCTCCTCCTCACAGCCCCCCAGAGCAGCAGCGCCTCCTCCTCACAGCCCCCCAGAGCATGGGCGCCTCCTCCTCAGAGCCCCCCAGAGCATGGCCATCTCCTCCTCACAGCCCCCCAGAGCAACGGCGCCTCCTCCTCACAGCCCCCAGAGCATGGGCGCCTCCTCCTCACAGCCGCCCAGAGCATGGGCGCCTCCTCCTCACAGCCCCCCAGAGCATGGGCGCCTCCTCCTCACAGCCCCCCAGAGCAGCGGCGCCTCCTCCTCACAGCCCCCCAGAGCATGGGCGCCTCCTCCTCACAGCCCCCCAGAGCAGCGGCGCCTCCTCCTCACAGGCCCCCAGAGCAGCGGGGCCTCCTCCTCACAGGCCCCCAGAGCAGCGGCGCCTCCTCCTCACAGTCCCCAGAGCAGCGGCGCCTCCTCCTCACAGCCCCCCAGAGCAGCGGTGCCTCCTCCTCACAGCCCCCAGAGCAGCGGCGCCTCCTCCTCACAGCACCCCAGAGCATGGGCGCCTCCTCCTCACAGCCCCCCAGAGCATGGGCGCCTCCTCCTCACAGCCCCCAGAGCAGCGGCGCCTCCTCCTCACAGCCCCCCAGAGCAGCGGCGCGTCCTCCTCACAGGCCCCCAGAGCATGGGCGCCTCCTCCTCACAGCCCCCCAGAGCATGGGCGCCTCCTCCTCACAGCCCCCCAGAGCAGCGGCGCCTCCTCCTCACAGCCCCCCAGAGCATGGGCGCCTCCTCCTCACAGCCCCCCAGAGCAGCGGCGCCTCCTCCTCACAGGCCCCCAGAGCAGCGGGGCCTCCTCCTCACAGGCCCCCAGAGCAGCGGCGCCTCCTCCTCACAGTCCCCAGAGCAGCGGCGCCTCCTCCTCACAGCCCCCCAGAGCAGCGGTGCCTCCTCCTCACAGCCCCCAGAGCAGCGGCGCCTCCTCCTCACAGCACCCCAGAGCATGGGCGCCTCCTCCTCACAGCCCCCCAGAGCATGGGCGCCTCCTCCTCACAGCCCCAAGAGCAGCGGCGCCTCCTCCTCACAGCCCCCCAGAGCAGCGGCGCCTCCTCCTCACAGGCCCCCAGAGCATGGGCGCCTCCTCCTCACAGCCCCCCAGAGCAGCGGCGCCTCCTCCTCACAGCCCCCCAGAGCATGGGCGCCTCCTCCTCACAGCCCCCCAGAGCATGGGCGCCTCCTCCTCACAGCCCCCCAGAGCAGCGGCGCCTCCTCCTCACAGCCCCCCAGAGCATGGGCGCCTCCTCCTCACTGCCCCCAGAGCAGCGGCGCCTCCTCCTCACAGCCCCCCAGAGCAGTGGCGCCTCCTCCTCACAGCCCCCCAGAGCAGTGGCGCCTCCTCCTCACAGCCCCCCAGAGCATGGGCGCCTCCTCCTCACAGCCCCCCAGAGCAGCGGCGCCTCCTCCTCACAGCCCCCCAGAGCAGCGGTGCCTCCTCCTCACAGCCCCCCAGAGCAGCGGCGCCTCCTCCTCACAGCCCCCCAGAGCAGCGGCGCCTCCTCCTCACAGCCCCCCCAGAGCATGGCCGCCTCCTCCTCACAGCCCCCCAGAGCAGCGGCGCCTCCTCCTCACAGCCCCCCAGAGCAGCGGCGCCTCCTTCTCACAGCCTCCCAGAGCATGGGCGCCTCCTCCTCACAGTCCCCCAGAGCATGGGCGCCTCCTCCTCACAGTCCCCCAGAGCATGGGCGCCTCCTCCTCACAGCCCCCCAGAGCATGGGAGCCTCCTCCTCACAGCCCCCCAGAGCAGCGGCGCCTCCTCCTCACAGCCCCCCAGAGCAGCGGCGCCTCCTCCTCACAGCCCCCCAGAGCATGGGCGCCTCCTCCCCACAGCCCCCCAGAGCATGGGCGCCTCCTCCTCACAGCCCCCCAGAGCAGCAGCGCCTCCTCCTCGCAGCCCCCCAGAGCAGCGGCGCCTCCTCCTCACAGCCCCCCAGAGCAGCGGCGCCTCCTCCTCACAGCCCCCCAGAGCATGGGCGCCTCCTCCTCACAGCCCCCCAGAGCATGGGCGCCTCCTCCTCACAGCCCCCCAGAGCACCAGCGCCTCCTCCTCACAGCCCCCCAGAGCATGGGCGCCTCCTCCTCACAGCCCCCCAGAGCAGCGGAGCCTCCTCCTCACAGCCCCCCAGAGCATGGGCGCCTCCTCCTCACAGCCCCCCAGAGCATGGGCGCCTCCTCCTCACAGCCCCCCAGAGCATGGCGCCTCCTCCTCACAGCCCCCCAGAGCATGGCCGCCTCCTCCTCACAGCCCCCCAGAGCAGCGGCGCCTCCTCCTCACAGCCCCCCAGAGCAGCGGCGCCTCCTTCTCACAGCCCCCCCAGAGCATGGGCGCCTCCTCCTCACAGTCCCCCAGAGCATGGGCGCCTCCTCCTCACAGCCTCCCAGAGCATGGGCGCCTCCTCCTCACAGCCCCCCAGAGCATGGGAGCCTCCTCCTCACAGCCCCCCAGAGCAGCGGCGCCTCCTCCTCACAGCCCCCCAGAGCAGCGGCGCCTCCTCCTCACAGCCCCCCAGAGCATGGGCGCCTCCTCCCCACAGCCCCCCAGAGCATGGGCGCCTCCTCCTCACAGCCCCCCAGAGCAGCAGCGCCTCCTCCTCGCAGCCCCCCAGAGCATGGGCGCCTCCTCCTCACAGCCCCCCAGAGCAGCGGCGCCTCCTCCTCACAGCCCCCCAGAGCATGGGCGCCTCCTCCTCACAGCCCCCAAGAGCATGGGCGCCTCCTCCTCACAGCCTCCCAGAGCACCAGCGCCTCCTCCTCACAGCCCCCCAGAGCATGGGCGCCTCCTCCTCACAGCCCCCCAGAGCAGCGGAGCCTCCTCCTCACAGCCCCCCAGAGCATGGGCGCCTCCTACTCACAGCCCCCCAGAGCATGGGCGCCTCCTCCTCACAGCCCCCCAGAGCATGGGCGCCTCCTCCTCACAGCCCCCCAGAGCATGGGCGCCTCCTCCTCACAGCCCCCCAGAGCATGGGCGCCTCCTCCTCACAGCCCCCCAGAGCAGCGGCGCCTCCTCCTCACAGCGCCCCAGAGCATGGGCGCCTCCTCCTCACAGCCCCCTAGAGCAGCGGCGCCTCCTCCTCACAGCCCCCCAGAGCATGGGCGCCTCCACCTCACAGCCCCCCAGAGCATGGGCGCCTCCTCCTCACAGTCCCCCAGAGCATGGGCGCCTCCTCCTCACAGCCTCCCAGAGCAGCGGCGCCTCCTCCTCAAAGCCCCCCAGAGCATGGGCGCCTCCTCCTCACAGCCCCCCAGAGCATGGGCGCCTCCTCCTCACAGCCGCCCAGAGCATGGGCGCCTCTTCCTCACAGCCGCCCAGAGCATGGGCGCCTCCTCCTCACAGCCCCCCAGAGCATGGGCGCCTCCTCCTCACAGCCCCCAAGAGTATGGGCGCCTCCTCCTCACAGCCCCCCAGAGCAGCGGCACCTCCTCCTCACAGCCCCCCAGAGCATGGGCGCCTCCTCCTCACAGCCCCCCAGAGCAGCGGCGCCTCCTCCTCACAGGCCCCCAGAGCAGCGGCGCCTCCTCCTCACAGGCCCCCAGAGCAGCGGCGCCTCCTCCTCTTAGTCCCCAGAGCAGCGGCGCCTCCTCCTCACAGCCCCCCAGAGCAGCGGCGCCTCCTCCTTACAGCCCCCAGAGCAGCGGCGCCTCCTCCTCACAGCCCCCCAGAGCAGCGGCGCCTCCTCCTCACAGCCCCCCAGAGCATGGGCGCCTCCTCCTCACAGCCCCCAGAGCAGCGGCGCCTCCTCCTCACAGCCTCCCAGAGCAGCGGCGCCTCCTCCTCACAGGCCCCCAGAGCATGGGCGCCTCCTCCTCACAGCCCCCCAGAGCATGGGCGCCTCCTCCTCACAGCCCCCCAGAGCATGGGCGCCTCCTCCTCGCAGCCCCCCAGAGCATGGGCGCCTCCTCCTCACAGCCCCCCCAGAGCATGGCCGCCTCCTCCTCACAGCCCCCCAGAGCAGCGGCGCCTCCTCCTCACAGCCCCCCAGAGCAGCGGCGCCTCCTCCTCACAGCCCCCCAGAGCATGGGCGCCTCCTCCTCACAGCCCCCCAGAGCATGGGCGCCTCCTCCTCACAGCCCCCCAGAGCATGGGCGCCTCCTTCTCACAGCCCCCCAGAGCATGGGCGCCTCCTCCTCACAGCCCCCCAGAGCATGGGCGCCTCCTCCTCACAGCCCCCCAGAGCATGGGAGCCTCCTCCTCACAGCCCCCCAGAGCAGCGGCGCCTCCTCCTCACAGCCCCCCAGAGCAGCGGCGCCTCCTCCTTACAGCCCCCAGAGCAGCGGCGCCTCCTCCTCACAGCCCCCCAGAGCAGCGGCGCCTCCTCCTCACAGCCCCCCAGAGCATGGGCGCCTCCTCCTCACAGCCCCCAGAGCAGCGGCGCCTCCTCCTCACAGCCCCCCAGAGCAGCGGCGCCTCCTCCTCACAGCCCCCCAGAGCAGCGGCGCCTCCTTCTCACAGCCCCCCCAGAGCATGGGCGCCTCCTCCTCACAGCACCCCAGAGCATGGGCGCCTCCTCCTCACAGCCCCCCAGAGCATGGGAGCCTCCTCCTCACAGCCCCCCAGAGCAGCGGCGCCTCCTCCTCACAGCCCCCCAGAGCAGCGGCGCCTCCTCCTCACAGCCCCCCAGAGCATGGGCGCCTCCTCCCCACAGCCCCCCAGAGCATGGGCGCCTCCTCCTCACAGCCCCCCAGAGCAGCAGCGCCTCCTCCTCGCAGCCCCCCAGAGCAGCGGCGCCTCCTCCTCACAGCCCCCCAGAGCAGCGGCGCCTCCTCCTCACAGCCCCCCAGAGCATGGGCGCCTCCTCCTCACAGCCCCCCAGAGCATGGGCGCCTCCTCCTCACAGCCCCCCAGAGCACCAGCGCCTCCTCCTCACAGCCCCCCAGAGCATGGGCGCCTCCTCCTCACAGCCCCCCAGAGCAGCGGAGCCTCCTCCTCACAGCCCCCCAGAGCATGGGCGCCTCCTCCTCACAGCCCCCCAGAGCATGGGCGCCTCCTCCTCACAGCCCCCCAGAGCATGGGCGCCTCCTCCTCACAGCCCCCCAGAGCATGGGCGCCTCCTCCTCACAGCCCCCCAGAGCAGCGGCGCCTCCTCCTCACAGCCCCCCAGAGCAGCGGCGCCTCCTTCTCACAGCCCCCCCAGAGCATGGGCGCCTCCTCCTCACAGTCCCCCAGAGCATGGGCGCCTCCTCCTCACAGCCTCCCAGAGCATGGGCGCCTCCTCCTCACAGCCCCCCAGAGCATGGGAGCCTCCTCCTCACAGCCCCCCAGAGCAGCGGCGCCTCCTCCTCACAGCCCCCCAGAGCAGCGGCGCCTCCTCCTCACAGCCCCCCAGAGCATGGGCGCCTCCTCCCCACAGCCCCCCAGAGCATGGGCGCCTCCTCCTCACAGCCCCCCAGAGCAGCAGCGCCTCCTCCTCGCAGCCCCCAGAGCATGGGCGCCTCCTCCTCACAGCCCCCCAGAGCAGCGGCGCCTCCTCCTCACAGCCCCCCAGAGCATGGGCGCCTCCTCCTCACAGCCCCCCAGAGCATGGGCGCCTCCTCCTCACAGCCTCCCAGAGCATGGCCTCCTCCTCACAGCCCCCAGAGCATGCGCCTCCTCCTCACAGCCCCCCAGAGCATGGGCGCCTCCTCCTCACAGCCCCCCAGAGCAGCGGAGCCTCCTCCTCACAGCCCCCCAGAGCATGGGCGCCTCCTACTCACAGCCCCCCAGAGCATGGGCGCCTCCTCCTCACAGCCCCCCAGAGCATGGGCGCCTCCTCCTCACAGCCTCCCAGAGCATGGGCGCCTCCTCCTCACAGCCCCCCAGAGCATGGGCGCCTCCTCCTCACAGCCCCCCAGAGCATGGGCGCCTCCTCCTCACAGCCCCCCAGAGCAGCGGCGCCTCCTCCTCACAGCGCCCCAGAGCATGGGCGCCTCCTCCTCACAGCCCCCTAGAGCAGCGGCGCCTCCTCCTCACAGCCCCCCAGAGCATGGGCGCCTCCACCTCACAGCCCCCCAGAGCATGGGCGCCTCCTCCTCACAGCCCCCCAGAGCATGGGCGCCTCCTCCTCACAGCCCCCCAGAGCATGGGCGCCTCCTCCTCACAGCCGCCCAGAGCATGGGCGCCTCTTCCTCACAGCCCCCCAGAGCATGGGCGCCTCCTCCTCACAGCCCCCAAGAGTATGGGCGCCTCCTCCTCACAGCCCCCCAGAGCAGCGGCACCTCCTCCTCACAGCCCCCCAGAGCATGGGCGCCTCCTCCTCACAGCCCCCCAGAGCAGCAGCGCCTCCTCCTCACAGGCCCCCAGAGCAGCGGCGCCTCCTCCTCACAGGCCCCCAGAGCAGCGGCGCCTCCTCCTCTTAGTCCCCAGAGCAGCGGCGCCTCCTCCTCACAGCCCCCCAGAGCAGCGGCGCCTCCTCCTTACAGCCCCCAGAGCAGCGGCGCCTCCTCCTCACAGCCCCCCAGAGCAGCGGCGCCTCCTCCTCACAGCCCCCCAGAGCATGGGCGCCTCCTCCTCACAGCCCCCAGAGCAGCGGCGCCTCCTCCTCACAGCCTCCCAGAGCAGCGGCGCCTCCTCCTCACAGGCCCCCAGAGCATGGGCGCCTCCTCCTCACAGCCCCCCAGAGCATGGGCGCCTCCTCCTCACAGCCCCCCAGAGCATGGGCGCCTCCTCCTCACAGCCCCCCAGAGCATGGGCGCCTCCTCCTCACAGCCCCCCCAGAGCATGGCCGCCTCCTCCTCACAGCCCCCCAGAGCAGCGGCGCCTCCTCCTCACAGCCCCCCAGAGCAGCGGCGCCTCCTTCTCACAGCCCCCCCAGAGCATGGGCGCCTCCTCCTCACAGTCCCCCAGAGCATGGGCGCCTCCTCCTCACAGCCTCCCAGAGCATGGGCGCCTCCTCCTCACAGCCCCCCAGAGCAGCGGCGCCTCCTCCTCACAGCCCCCCAGAGCAGCGGCGCCTCCTCCTCACAGCCCCCCAGAGCATGGGCGCCTCCTCCCCACAGCCCCCCAGAGCATGGGCGCCTCCTCCTCACAGCCCCCCAGAGCAGCAGCGCCTCCTCCTCGCAGCCCCCCAGAGCATGGGCGCCTCCTCCTCACAGCCCCCCAGAGCAGCGGCGCCTCCTCCTCACAGCCCCCCAGAGCATGGGCGCCTCCTCCTCACAGCCCCCCAGAGCATGGGCGCCTCCTCCTCACAGCCCCCCAGAGCACCAGCGCCTCCTCCTCACAGCCCCCCAGAGCATGGGCGCCTCCTCCTCACAGCCCCCCAGAGCAGCGGAGCCTCCTCCTCACAGCCCCCCACAGCATGGGCGCCTCCTCCTCACAGCCCCCCAGAGCACCAGCGCCTCCTCCTCACAGCCCCCCAGAGCATGGGCGCCTCCTCCTCACAGCCCCCCAGAGCAGCGGCGCCTCCTCCTTACAGCCCCCTAGAGCATGGGCGCCTCCTCCTCACAGCCCCCCAGAGCAGCGGCGCCTCCTCCTCACAGCCCCCCAGAGCATGGGCGCCTCCTCCTCACAGCCCCCCAGAGCATGGGCGCCTCCTCCTCACAGCCCTCCAGAGCATCGGCGCCTCCTCCTCACAGCCCCCCAGAGCATGGGCGCCTCCTCCTCACAGCCCCCCAGAGCAGCGGAGCCTCCTCCTCACAGCCCCCCAGAGCATGGGCGCCTCCTCCTCACAGCCCCCTAGAGCATGGGCGTCTCCTCCTCACAGCCCCCAAGAGCATGGGCGCCTCCTCCTCACAGCCCCCCAGAGCATGGGCGCCTCCTCCTCACAGCCCCCCAGAGCAACGGAGCCTCCTCCTCACAGCCCCCAAGAGCATGGGCGCCTCCTCCTCACAGCCCCCCAGAGCAGCGGCGCCTCCTCCTCACAGGCCCCCAGAGCAGCGGCGCCTCCTCCTCACAGGCCCCCAGAGCAGCGGCGCCTCCTCCTCTTAGTCCCCAGAGCAGCGGCGCCTCCTCCTCACAGCCCCCCAGAGCAGCGGCGCCTCCTCCTTACAGCCCCCAGAGCAGCGGCGCCTCCTCCTCACAGCCCCCCAGAGCAGCGGCGCCTCCTCCTCACAGCCCCCCAGAGCATGGGCGCCTCCTCCTCACAGCCCCCAGAGCAGCGGCGCCTCCTCCTCACAGCCCCCCAGAGCAGCGGCGCCTCCTCCTCACAGGCCCCCAGAGCATGGGCGCCTCCTCCTCACAGCCCCCCAGAGCATGGGCGCCTCCTCCTCACAGCCCCCCAGAGCATGGGCGCCTCCTCCTCACAGCCCCCCAGAGCATGGGCGCCTCCTCCTCACAGCCCCCCCAGAGCATGGCCGCCTCCTCCTCACAGCCCCCTAGAGCAGGGGCGCCTCCTCCTCACAGCCCCCCAGAGCAGCGGCGCCTCCTTCTCACAGCCCCCCCAGAGCATGAGCGCCTCCTCCTCACAGTCCCCCAGAGCATGGGCGCCTCCTCCTCACAGCCTCCCAGAGCATGGGCGCCTCCTCCTCACAGCCCCCCAGAGCATGGGAGCCTCCTCCTCACAGCCCCCCAGAGCAGTGGCGCCTCCTCCTCACAGCCCCCCAGAGCAGCGGCGCCTCCTCCTCACAGCCCCCCAGAGCATGGGCGCCTCCTCCCCACAGCCCCCCAGAGCATGGGCGCCTCCTCCTCACAGCCCCCCAGAGCACCAGCGCCTCCTCCTCACAGCCCCCCAGAGCATGGGCGCCTCCTCCTCACAGCCCCCCAGAGCAGCGGCGCCTCCTCCTTACAGCCCCCTAGAGCATGGGCGCCTCCTCCTCACAGCCCCCCAGAGCAGCGGCGCCTCCTCCTCACAGCCCCCCAGAGCATGGGCGCCTCCTCCTCACAGCCCCCCAGAGCATGGGCGCCTCCTCCTCACAGCCCTCCAGAGCATCGGCGCCTCCTCCTCACAGCCCCCCAGAGCATGGGCGCCTCCTCCTCACAGCCCCCCAGAGCAGCGGAGCCTCCTCCTCACAGCCCCCCAGAGCATGGGCGCCTCCTCCTCACAGCCCCCCAGAGCATGGGCGCCTCCTCCTCACAGCCCCCCAGAGCATGGGCGCCTCCTCCTCACAGCCCCCAAGAGCATGGGCGCCTCCTCCTCACAGCCCCCCAGAGCATCGGCGCCTCCTCCTCACAGCCCCCCAGAGCAGCGGCGCCTCCTCCTCACAGCCCCCCAGAGCATGGGCGCTGCGGAGATAACGGCAGCAACGGGAGCTAGGCTACGGGCTAGGCACGTGTGCTCGTGTGATCTCTGCGTTCTCTGTTCCTTAGTCGTTTCCTTGTGTGCACACTACTTGCTAGTTCACGGGGAAAATTGGCAAGAGTTTCACTAGGAAAAGTTCAGAACAATGATTACAATGAAGTTGGCATAGCAAGACTACATCAGAGCAAGCATTCAGGTCGGCCAACTGCCAGCGCAGCTTGGTCGACCGCGTTCCAGCACGACTTGGTCGACCGCGCTCCAGCAAGGCAAGGTCGACAGCGTTGCTCACGCAGGACAGCAGTGCACCCTGCTGCGTAGTTGTGCGCAGATGATTGGCGCGCAGGGTCTCGTCACCTGCACAGCGCACACACCACGTCAACCTTGAGCTGACGACTGCCTCTGATCCGTCACGATGACCTCGGGATACCAGCACCGAGATCAGGCTTGCCAACTTCGTCTGGGCGACCGCCACACTCCTCCGCAGCACTTCGTTACCCTGATAACCTGGCCGACTAGGGAACCACGTCGCCCAGCAGCTCCCGTACGTGCCCGTCGACCTCCCAGGTTGACGACCACCTCCACGTCGACCTCCTCCAGGTCGACGTCCCCTTTGGTCGACCAGCTCCACGTCGACCAGCACTCCTGGTCGGCCTGCTCCTCGTCAACCAGTACAGTCGTCGGCCGACCACCCGCGTCGGCCACCCGAAGCTGGCGTCACGAAATTGACGCCCCGCTACTCGACGCCCAATTGTTCAGCGTCCTGAGTCGAGGTCGACGTCGGCCCCTCCTTCGTCGACAACCAGGTCCAGTCGACCACTAACATGTCGACTAGCAGTTCGTTAGCCGACCACCGAAGTCGGCTTCCCCAAGTTGACGTCACCAAGTTGACGTCCTTCACAGGTCAACTCCCAAGTCGACCTCCCCGAAGTCGGCGCCATCCTAAAGTTGGCGCCCGTGCAGTGGTCCCCCGTGCAGGTCAAACTCCCCGTCGACCAGCTCACCCACTGCTGCAGGTCGGCTGCTCCCCTCACACCCGACCACGAAGTCGGCTCCGCCCAAGCGAGGACGGGGCCAACACCCAACTCCCATTGACAGGCCCCTCCTCCTCACAGCCCCCCTGAACATTGGCGCCTCCTCCTCACAGCCCCCCAGAGCAGCGGCGCCTCTCCCTCACAGCCCCCCAGAGCAGCGGCGCCTCCTCCTCACAGCCCCCCAGAGCATGGGCGCCTCCTCCTCACAGCCCCCCAGAGCATCGGCGCCTCCTCCTCACAGCCCCCCAGAGCAGCGGCGCCTCCTCCTCACAGCCCCCCAGAGCAGCGGCGCCTCCTCCTCACAGCCCCCCAGAGCAGCGGCGCCTCCTTCTCACAGCCCCCCAGAGCAGCGGCGCCTCCTCCTCACAGCCCCCCAGAGCAGCGGCGCCACCTCCTCACAGCCCCCCATAGCATGGGCGCCTCCTCCGCACAGCCCCCCAGAGCAGCGGCGCCTCCTCCTCACAGCCCCCCCAGAGCATGGCCGCCTCCTCCTCACAGCCCCCCAGAGCAGCGGCGCCTCCTCCTCACAGCCCCCCCAGAGCATGGGCGCCTCCTCCTCACAGCCCCCCAGAGCATGGGCGCCTCCTCCTCATAGCCCCCAGAGCAGCGGCGCCTCCTCCTCACAGCCCCCCAGAGCAGCTGCGCCTCCTCCTCACAGGCCCCCAGAGCATGGGCGCCTCCTCCTCACAGCCCCCCAGAGCATGGGCGCCTCCTCCTCACAGCCCCCCAGAGCATGGGCGCCTCCTCCTCACAGCCCCCCAGAGCATGGGCGCCTCCTCCTCACAGCCCCCCAGAGCAGCGGCGCCTCCTCCTCACAGCCCCCCAGAGCATGGGCGCCACCTCTTCACAGCCCCCCAGAGCATGGGCGCCTCCTCCTCACTGCCCCCCAGAGCATGGGCGCCTCCTCCTCACAGCCCCCCAGAGCATGGGCGCCTCCTCCTCACAGCCCCCCAGAGCAGCGGCGCCTCCTCCTCACAGCCCCCCAGAGCATGGGCGCCTCCTCCTCACTGCCCCCAGAGCAGCGGCGCCTCCTCCTCACAGCCCCCCAGAGCAGTGGCACCTCCACCACACAGCCCCTCAGAGCAGTGGCGCCTCCTCCTCACAGCCCCCCAGAGCATGGGCGCCTCCTCCTCACAGCCCCCCAGAGCAGCGGCGCCTCCTCCTCACAGCCCCCCAGAGCAGCGGTGCCTCCTCCTCACAGCCCCCCAGAGCAGCGGCGCCTCCTCCTCACAGCCCCCCAGAGCAGCGGCGCCTCCTCCTCACAGCCCCCCAGAGCAGCGGCGCCTCCTCCTCACAGCTCCCCAAAGCATGGGCGCCTCCTCCTCACAGCCCCCCAGAGCATGGGCGCCTCCTCCTCACAGCCCCCCAGAGCATGGGCGCCTCCTCCTCACAGCCCCCCAGAGCAGCGGCGCCTCCTCCTCACAGCCCCCCAGAGCATGGGCGCCTCCTCCTAACAGCCCCCCAGAGCAGCGGCGCCTCCTCCTCACAGCCCCCCAGAGCAACGGCGCCTCCTCCTCACAGCCCCCCAGAGCAGCGGCGCCTCCTCCTCACAGCCCCCCAGAGCAGCGGCGCCTCCTCCTCACAGCCCCCCAGAGCATGGGCGCCTCCTCCTCACAGCCCCCCAGAGCATGGGTGCCTCCTCCTCACAGCCCCCCAGAGCAGCGGCGCCTCCTCCTCACAGCCCCCCAGAGCATGGGCGCCTCCTCCTCACAGCCCCCCAGAGCATGGGCGCCTCCTCCTCACAGCCCCCCAGAGCAGCGGCGCCTCCTCCTCACAACCCCCCAGAGCATGGGCGCCTCCTCCTCACAGCCCCCCAGAGCAGCGGCGCCTCCTCCTCACAGCCCCCCAGAGCAACGGCGCCTCCTCCTCACAGCCCCCCAGAGCAGCGGCGCCTCCTCCTCACAGCCCCCCCAGAGCATGGGCGCCTCCTCCTCACAGCCCCCAAGAGCAGCGGCGCCTCCTCCTCACAGCCTCCCAGAGCATGGGCGCCTCCTCCTCACAGCCCCCCAGAGCATGGGCGCCTCCTCCTCACAGCCCCCCAGAGCATGGGCGCCTCCTCCTCACAGCCCCCCAGAGCATGGGCGCCTCCTCCTCACAGCCCCCCAGAGCAGCGGCGCCTCCTCCTCACAGCCCCCCAGAGCATGGGCGCCTCCTCCTCACAGCCCCCCAGAGCATGGGCGCCTCCTCCTCACAGCCCTCCAGAGCAGCGGCGCCTCCTCCTCACAGCCCCCCAGAGCAGCGGCGCCTCCTCCTCACAGCCCCCCAGAGCAGCGGCGCCTCCTCCTCACAGGCCCCCCCAGAGCAGCGGCGCCTCCTCCTCACAGCCCCCCAGAGCAGCGGCGCCTCCTCCTCACAGCCCCCCAGAGCAGCGGTGCCTCCTCCTCACAGCCCCCCAGAGCAGCGGCGCCTCCTCCTCACAGCCCCCCAGAGCAGCAGCGCCTCCCCCTCACAGGCCCCCAGAGCAGCGGCGCCTCCTCCTCACAGTCCCCCAGAGCATGGGCGCCTCCTCCTCACAGCCCCCCAGAGCAGCGGCGCCTCCTCCTCACAGCCCCCCAGAGCATGGGCGCCTCCTCCTCACAGCCCCCCAGAGCATGGGCGCCTCCTCCTCACAGCCCCCCAGAGCATGGGCGCCTCCTCCTCACAGCCCCCCAGAGCAGCTGCGCCTCCTCCTCACAGCCCCCCAGGGCAGCGGCGCCTCCTCCTCACAGCCCCCCCAGAGCAGCGGCGCCTCTCCCTCACAGCTCCCCAGAGCATGGGCGCCTCCTCCTCACAGCCCCCCAGAGCAGCGGCGCCTCCTCCTCACAGCCCCCCAGAGCAGCGGCGCCTCCTCCTCACAGCCCCCCAGAGCAGCGGCGCCTCCTCCTCACAGCCCCGCAGAGCATGGGCGCCTCCTCCTCACAGCCCCCCAGAGCAGCGGTGCCTCCTCCTCACAGCCCCCAGAGCAGCGGCGCCTCCTCCTCACAGCACCCCAGAGCATGGGCGCCTCCTCCTCACAGCCCCCCAGAGCATGGGCGCCTCCTCCTCACAGCCCCCAGAGCAGCGGCGCCTCCTCCTCACAGCCCCCCAGAGCAGCGGCGCGTCCTCCTCACAGGCCCCCAGAGCATGGGCGCCTCCTCCTCACAGCCCCCCAGAGCATGGGCGCCTCCTCCTCACAGCCCCCCAGAGCAGCGGCGCCTCCTCCTCACAGCCCCCCAGAGCATGGGCGCCTCCTCCTCACAGCCCCCCAGAGCAGCGGCGCCTCCTCCTCACAGGCCCCCAGAGCAGCGGGGCCTCCTCCTCACAGGCCCCCAGAGCAGCGGCGCCTCCTCCTCACAGTCCCCAGAGCAGCGGCGCCTCCTCCTCACAGCCCCCCAGAGCAGCGGTGCCTCCTCCTCACAGCCCCCAGAGCAGCGGCGCCTCCTCCTCACAGCACCCCAGAGCATGGGCGCCTCCTCCTCACAGCCCCCCAGAGCATGGGCGCCTCCTCCTCACAGCCCCAAGAGCAGCGGCGCCTCCTCCTCACAGCCCCCCAGGGCAGCGGCGCCTCCTCCTCACAGCCCCCCAGAGCAGCGGAGCCTCCTCCTACAGCCCACCAGAGCATGGGCGCCTCCTCCTCACAGCCCCCCAGAGCATGGGCGCCTCCTCCTCACAGCCCCCCAGAGCATGGGTGCCTCCTCCTCACAGCCCCCCAGAGCAGCGGCGCCTCCTCCTCACAGCCCCCCAGAGCATGGGCGCCTCCTCCTCACAGCCCCCCAGAGCATGGGCGCCTCCTCCTCACAGCCCCCCAGAGCAGCGGCGCCTCCTCCTCACAACCCCCCAGAGCATGGGCGCCTCCTCCTCACAGCCCCCCAGAGCAGCGGCGCCTCCTCCTCACAGCCCCCCAGAGCAACGGCGCCTCCTCCTCACAGCCCCCCAGAGCAGCGGCGCCTCCTCCTCACAGCCCCCCCAGAGCATGGGCGCCTCCTCCTCACAGCCCCCAAGAGCAGCGGCGCCTCCTCCTCACAGCCCCCCCAGAGCATGGGCGCCTCCTCCTCACAGCCCCCCAGAGCATGGGCGCCTCCTCCTCACAGCCCCCCAGAGCATGGGCGCCTCCTCCTCACAGCCCCCCAGAGCAGCGGCGCCTCCTCCTCACAGCCCCCCAGAGCATGGGCGCCTCCTCCTCACAGCCCCCCAGAGCATGGGCGCCTCCTCCTCACAGCCCTCCAGAGCAGCGGCGCCTCCTCCTCACAGCCCCCCAGAGCAGCGGCGCCTCCTCCTCACAGCCCCCCAGAGCAGCGGCGCCTCCTCCTCACAGGCCCCCCCAGAGCAGCGGCGCCTCCTCCTCACAGCCCCCCAGAGCAGCGGCGCCTCCTCCTCACAGCCCCCCAGAGCAGCGGTGCCTCCTCCTCACAGCCCCCCAGAGCAGCGGCGCCTCCTCCTCACAGCCCCCCAGAGCATGGGCGCCTCCTCCTCACAGCTCCCCAGAGCAGCAGCGCCTCCCCCTCACAGCCCCCCAGAGCAGCGGCGCCTCCTCCTCACAGTCCCCCAGAGCATGGGCGCCTCCTCCTCACAGCCCCCCAGAGCAGCGGCGCCTCCTCCTCACAGCCCCCCAGAGCATGGGCGCCTCCTCCTCACAGCCCCCCAGAGCATGGGCGCCTCCTCCTCACAGCCCCCCAGAGCATGGGCGCCTCCTCCTCACAGCCCCCCAGAGCAGCTGCGCCTCCTCCTCACAGCCCCCCAGGGCAGCGGCGCCTCCTCCTCACAGCCCCCCCAGAGCAGCGGCGCCTCTCCCTCACAGCTCCCCAGAGCATGGGCGCCTCCTCCTCACAGCCCCCCAGAGCAGCGGCGCCTCCTCCTCACAGCCCCCCAGAGCAGCGGCGCCTCCTCCTCACAGCCCCCCAGAGCAGCGGCGCCTCCTCCTCACAGCCCCGCAGAGCATGGGCGCCTCCTCCTCACAGCCCCCCAGAGCAGCGGTGCCTCCTCCTCACAGCCCCCCAGAGCATGGGCGCCTCCTCCTCACTGCCCCCAGAGCAGCGGCGCCTCCTCCTCACAGCCCCCCAGAGCAGCGGCGCATCCTCCTCACAGCACCCCAGAGCAGCGGCGCCTCCTCCTCACAGCCCCCCAGAGCAGCGGCGCCTCCTCCTCACAACCCCCCAGAGCATGGGCGCCTCCTCCTCACAGCCCCCCAGAGCATGGGCGCCTCCTCCTCACAGCCCCCCAGAGCATGGGCGCCTCCTCCTCACAGCCCCCCAGAGCAGCGGAGCCTCCTCCTACAGCCCACCAGAGCATGGGCGCCTCCTCCTCACAGCCCCCCAGAGCAGCGGCGCCTCCTCCTCACAGGCCCCCAGAGCAGCGGCGCCTCCTCCTCACAGGCCCCCAGAGCAGCGGCGCCTCCTCCTCACAGTCCCCAGAGCAGCGGCGCCTCCTCCTCACAGCCCCCCAGAGCATGGGCGCCTCCACCTCACAGCCCCCCAGAGCATGGGCGCCTCCTCCTCACAGCCCCCCAGAGCATGGGCGCCTCCTCCTCACAGCCCCCCAGAGCAGCAGCGCCTCCTCCTCACAGCCCCCCAGAGCATGGGCGCCTCCTCCTCAGAGCCCCCCAGAGCATGGCCATCTCCTCCTCACAGCCCCCCAGAGCAATGGCGCCTCCTCCTCACAGCCCCCAGAGCATGGGCGCCTCCTCCTCACAGCCGCCCAGAGCATGGGCGTCTCCTCCTCACAGCCCCCCAGAGCATGGGCGCCTCCTCCTCACAGCCCCCCAGAGCAGCGGCGCCTCCTCCTCACAGCCCCCCAGAGCATGGGCGCCTCCTCCTCACAGCCCCCCAGAGCAGCGGCGCCTCCTCCTCACAGGCCCCCAGAGCAGCGGGGCCTCCTCCTCACAGGCCCCCAGAGCAGCGGCGCCTCCTCCTCACAGTCCCCAGAGCAGCGGCGCCTCCTCCTCACAGCCCCCCAGAGCAGCGGTGCCTCCTCCTCACAGCCCCCAGAGCAGCGGCGCCTCCTCCTCACAGCACCCCAGAGCATGGGCGCCTCCTCCTCACAGCCCCCCAGAGCATGGGCGCCTCCTCCTCACAGCCCCCAGAGCAGCGGCGCCTCCTCCTCACAGCCCCCCAGAGCAGCGGCGCGTCCTCCTCACAGGCCCCCAGAGCATGGGCGCCTCCTCCTCACAGCCCCCCAGAGCATGGGCGCCTCCTCCTCACAGCCCCCCAGAGCAGCGGCGCCTCCTCCTCACAGGCCCCCAGAGCATGGGCGCCTCCTCCTCACAGCCCCCCAGAGCATGGGCGCCTCCTCCTCACAGCCCCCCAGAGCATGGGCGCCTCCTCCTCACAGCCCCCCAGAGCATGGGCGCCTCCTCCTCACAGCCCCCCAGAGCAGCGGCGCCTCCTCCTCACAGCCCCCCAGAGCATCGGCGCCTCCTCCTCACAGCCCCCCAGAGCATGGGCGCCTCCTCCTCACAGCCCCCCAGAGCATGGGCGCCTCCTCCTCACAGCCCCCCAGAGCAGCGGCGCCTCCTCCTCACAGCCCCCCAGAGCATGGGCGCCTCCCCCTCACAGCCCCCCAGAGCAGCGGCGCCTCCTCCTCACAGCCCCCCAGAGCAACGGCGCCTCCTCCTCACATCCCCCCAGAGCAGCGGCGCCTCCTCCTCACAGCCCCCCCAGAGCATGGGCGCCTCCTCCTCACAGCCCCCAAGAGCAGCGGCGCCTCCTCCTCACAGCCCCCCCAGAGCATGGGCGCCTCCTCCTCACAGCCCCCCAGAGGATGGGCGCCTCCTCCTCACAGCCCCCCAGAGCATGGGCGCCTCCTCCTCACAGCCCCCCAGAGCATGGGCGCCTCCTCCTCACAGCCCCCCAGAGCAGCGGCGCCTCCTCCTCACAGCCCCACAGAGCATGGGCGCCTCCTCCTCACAGCCCCTCAGAGCAGCGGCGCCTCCTCCTCACAGCCCCCCAGAGCATGGGCGCCTCCTCCTCACAGCCCCCCAGAGCATGGGCGCCTCCTCCTCACAGCCCCCCAGAGCATGGGCGCCTCCTCCTCACAGCCCCCCAGAGCAGCGGCGCCTCCTCCTCACAGCCCCCCAGAGCAGCGGCGCCTCCTCCTCACAGCCCCCCCAGAGCAGCGGCGCCTCTCCCTCACAGCTCCCCAGAGCATGGGCGCCTCCTCCTCACAGCCCCCCAGAGCAGCGGCGCCTCCTCCTCACAGCCCCCCAGAGCAGCGGCGCCTCCTCCTCACAGGCCCCCCCAGAGCAGCGGCGCCTCCTCCTCACAGCCCCCCAGAGCAGCGGCGCCTCCTCCTCACAGCCCCCCAGAGCAGCGGTGCCTCCTCCTCACAGCCCCCCAGAGCAGCGGCGCCTCCTCCTCACAGCCCCCCAGAGCATGGGCGCCTCCTCCTCACAGCCCCCCAGAGCAGCGGCGCCTCCCCCTCACAGCCCCCCAGAGCAGCGGCGCCTCCTCCTCACAGTCCCCCAGAGCATGGGCGCCTCCTCCTCACAGCCCCCCAGAGCAGCGGCGCCTCCTCCTCACAGCCCCCCAGAGCATGGGCGCCTCCTCCTCACAGCCCCCCAGAGCATGGGCGCCTCCTCCTCACAGCCCCCCAGAGCATGGGCGCCTCCTCCTCACAGCCCCCCAGAGCAGCTGCGCCTCCTCCTCACAGCCCCCCAGGGCAGCGGCGCCTCCTCCTCACAGCCCCCCCAGAGCAGCGGCGCCTCTCCCTCACAGCTCCCCAGTGCATGGGCGCCTCCTCCTCACAGCCCCCCAGAGCAGCGGCGCCTCCTCCTCACAGCCCCCCAGAGCAGCGGCGCCTCCTCCTCACAGCCCCCCAGAGCAGCGGCGCCTCCTCCTCACAGCCCCGCAGAGCATGGGCGCCTCCTCCTCACAGCCCCCCAGAGCAGCGGTGCCTCCTCCTCACAGCCCCCCAGAGCATGGGTGCCTCCTCCTCACTGCCCCCAGAGCAGCGGCGCCTCCTCCTCACAGCCCCCCAGAGCAGCGGCGCATCCTCCTCACAGCACCCCAGAGCAGCGGCGCCTCCTCCTCACAGCCCCCCAGAGCAGCGGCGCCTCCTCCTCACAACCCCCCAGAGCATGGGCGCCTCCTCCTCACAGCCCCCCAGAGCATGGGCGCCTCCTCCTCACAGCCCCCCAGAGCATGGGCGCCTCCTCCTCACAGCCCCCCAGAGCAGCGGAGCCTCCTCCTACAGCCCACCAGAGCATGGGCGCCTCCTCCTCACAGCCCCCCAGAGCAGCGGCGCCTCCTCCTCACAGGCCCCCAGAGCAGCGGCGCCTCCTCCTCACAGGCCCTCAGAGCAGCGGCGCCTCCTCCTCACAGTCCCCAGAGCAGCGGCGCCTCCTCCTCACAGCCCCCCAGAGCATGGGCGCCTCCACCTCACAGCCCCCCAGAGCATGGGCGCCTCCTCCTCACAGCCCCCCAGAGCAAGGGCGCCTCCTCCTCACAGCCCCCCAGAGCAGCAGCGCCTCCTCCTCACAGCCCCCCAGAGCAGCGGCGCGTCCTCCTCACAGGCCCCCAGAGCTTGGGCGCCTCCTCCTCACAGCCCCCCAGAGCATGGGCGCCTCCTCCTCACAGCCTCCCAGAGCAGCGGCGCCTCCTCCTCACAGCCCCCCAGAGCATGGGCGCCTCCTCCTCACAGCCCCCCAGAGCAGCGGCGCCTCCTCCTCACAGGCCCCCAGAGCAGCGGGGCCTCCTCCTCACAGGCCCCCAGAGCAGCGGCGCCTCCTCCTCACAGTCCCCAGAGCAGCGGCGCCTCCTCCTCACAGCCCCCCAGAGCAGCGGTGCCTCCTCCTCACAGCCCCCAGAGCAGCGGCGCCTCCTCCTCACAGCACCCCAGAGCATGGGCGCCTCCTCCTCACAGCCCCCCAGAGCATGGGCGCCTCCTCCTCACAGCCCCAAGAGCAGCGGCGCCTCCTCCTCACAGCCCCCCAGAGCAGCGGCGCCTCCTCCTCACAGGCCCCCAGAGCATGGGCGCCTCCTCCTCACAGCCCCCCAGAGCATGGGCGCCTCCTCCTCACAGCCCCCCAGAGCATGGGCGCCTCCTCCTCACAGCCCCCCAGAGCAGCGGCGCCTCCTCCTCACAGCCCCCCAGAGCAGCGGCGCCTCCTCCTCACAGCCCCCCAGAGCATGGGCGCCTCCTCCTCACAGCCCCCCAGAGCATGGGCGCCTCCTCCTCACTGCCCCCCAGAGCATGGGCGCCTCCTCCTCACAGCCCCCCAGAGCATGGGCGCCTCCTCCTCACAGCCCCCCAGAGCAGCGGCGCCTCCTCCTCACAGCCCCCCAGAGCAGCGGCGCCTCCTCCTCACTGCCCCCAGAGCAGCGGCGCCTCCTCCTCACAGCCCCCCAGAGCAGTGGCGCCTCCTCCTCACAGCCCCCCAGAGCAGTGGCGCCTCCTCCTCACAGCCCCCCAGAGCATGGGCGCCTCCTCCTCACAGCCCCCCAGAGCAGCGGCGCCTCCTCCTCACAGCCCCCCAGAGCAGCGGTGCCTCCTCCTCACAGCCCCCCAGAGCAGCGGCGCCTCCTCCTTACAGCCCCCCAGAGCAGCGGCGCCTCCTCCTCACAGCCCCCCAGAGCAGCGGCGCCTCCTCCTCACAGCTCCCCAAAGCATGGGCGCCTCCTCCTCACAGCCCCCCAGAGCATGGGCGCCTCCTCCTCACAGCCCCCCAGAGCATGGGCGCCTCCTCCTCACAGCCCCCCAGAGCAGCGGCGCCTCCTCCTCACAGCCCCCCAGAGCATGGGCGCCTCCTCCTCACAGCCCCCCAGAGCAGCGGCGCCTCCTCCTCACAGCCCCCCAGAGCAACGGCGCCTCCTCCTCACAGCCCCCCAGAGCAGCGGCGCCTCCTCCTCACAGCCCCCCAGAGCAGCGGCGCCTCCTCCTCACAGCCCCCCAGAGCATGGGCGCCTCCTCCTCACAGCCCCCCAGAGCATGGGTGCCTCCTCCTCACAGCCCCCCAGAGCAGCGGCGCCTCCTCCTCACAGCCCCCCAGAGCATGGGCGCCTCCTCCTCACAGCCCCCCAGAGCATGGGCGCCTCCTCCTCACAGCCCCCCAGAGCAGCGGCGCCTCCTCCTCACAGCCCCCCAGAGCATGGGCGCCTCCCCCTCACAGCCCCCCAGAGCAGTGGCGCCTCCTCCTCACAGCCCCCCAGAGCAACGGCGCCTCCTCCTCACATCCCCCCAGAGCAGCGGCGCCTCCTCCTCACAGCCCCCCCAGAGCATGGGCGCCTCCTCCTCACAGCCCCCCAGAGCATGGGCGCCTCCTCCTCACAGCCCCCCAGAGCATGGGCGCCTCCTCCTCACAGCCCCCCAGAGCATGGGCGCCTCCTCCTCACAGCCCCCCAGAGCAGCGGCGCCTCCCCCTCACAGCCCCCCAGAGCAGCGGCGCCTCCTCCTCACAGCCCCACAGAGCATGGGCGCCTCCTCCTCACAGCCCCTCAGAGCAGCGGCGCCTCCTCCTCACAGCCCCCCAGAGCATGGGCGCCTCCTCCTCACAGCCCCCCAGAGCATGGGCGCCTCCTCCTCACAGCCCCCCAGAGCATGGGCGCCTCCTCCTCACAGCCCCCCAGAGCAGCGGCGCCTCCTCCTCACAGCCCCCCAGAGCAGCGGCGCCTCCTCCTCACAGCCCCCCCAGAGCAGCGGCGCCTCTCCCTCACAGCTCCCCAGAGCATGGGCGCCTCCTCCTCACAGCCCTCCAGAGCAGCGGCGCCTCCTCCTCACAGCCCCCCAGAGCAGCGGCGCCTCCTCCTCACAGGCCCCCCCAGAGCAGCGGCGCCTCCTCCTCACAGCCCCCCAGAGCAGCGGCGCCTCCTCCTCACAGCCCCCCAGAGCAGCGGTGCCTCCTCCTCACAGCCCCCCAGAGCAGCGGCGCCTCCTCCTCACAGCCCCCCAGAGCATGGGCGCCTCCTCCTCACAGCCCCCCAGAGCAGCGGCGCCTCCCCCTCACAGCCCCCCAGAGCAGCGGCGCCTCCTCCTCACAGTCCCCCAGAGCATGGGCGCCTCCTCCTCACAGCCCCCCAGAGCAGCGGCGCCTCCTCCTCACAGCCCCCCAGAGCATGGGCGCCTCCTCCTCACAGCCCCCCAGAGCATGGGCGCCTCCTCCTCACAGCCCCCCAGAGCATGGGCGCCTCCTCCTCACAGCCCCCCAGAGCAGCTGCGCCTCCTCCTCACAGCCCCCCAGGGCAGCGGCGCCTCCTCCTCACAGCCCCCCCAGAGCAGCGGCGCCTCTCCCTCACAGCTCCCCAGTGCATGGGCGCCTCCTCCTCACAGCCCCCCAGAGCAGCGGCGCCTCCTCCTCACAGCCCCCCAGAGCAGCGGCGCCTCCTCCTCACAGCCCCCCAGAGCAGCGGCGCCTCCTCCTCACAGCCCCGCAGAGCATGGGCGCCTCCTCCTCACAGCCCCCCAGAGCAGCGGTGCCTCCTCCTCACAGCCCCCCAGAGCATGGGTGCCTCCTCCTCACTGCCCCCAGAGCAGCGGCGCCTCCTCCTCACAGCCCCCCAGAGCAGCGGCGCATCCTCCTCACAGCACCCCAGAGCAGCGGCGCCTCCTCCTCACAGCCCCCCAGAGCAGCGGCGCCTCCTCCTCACAACCCCCCAGAGCATGGGCGCCTCCTCCTCACAGCCCCCCAGAGCATGGGCGCCTCCTCCTCACAGCCCCCCAGAGCATGGGCGCCTCCTCCTCACAGCCCCCCAGAGCAGCGGAGCCTCCTCCTACAGCCCACCAGAGCATGGGCGCCTCCTCCTCACAGCCCCCCAGAGCAGCGGCGCCTCCTCCTCACAGGCCCCCAGAGCAGCGGCGCCTCCTCCTCACAGGCCCTCAGAGCAGCGGCGCCTCCTCCTCACAGTCCCCAGAGCAGCGGCGCCTCCTCCTCACAGCCCCCCAGAGCATGGGCGCCTCCACCTCACAGCCCCCCAGAGCATGGGCGCCTCCTCCTCACAGCCCCCCAGAGCAAGGGCGCCTCCTCCTCACAGCCCCCCAGAGCAGCAGCGCCTCCTCCTCACAGCCCCCCAGAGCATGGGCGCCTCCTCCTCAGAGCCCCCCAGAGCATGGCCATCTCCTCCTCACAGCCCCCCAGAGCAACGGCGCCTCCTCCTCACAGCCCCCAGAGCATGGGCGCCTCCTCCTCACAGCCGCCCAGAGCATGGGCGCCTCCTCCTCACAGCCCCCCAGAGCATGGGCGCCTCCTCCTCACAGCCCCCCAGAGCAGCGGCGCCTCCTCCTCACAGCCCCCCAGAGCATGGGCGCCTCCTCCTCACAGCCCCCCAGAGCAGCGGCGCCTCCTCCTCACAGGCCCCCAGAGCAGCGGGGCCTCCTCCTCACAGGCCCCCAGAGCAGCGGCGCCTCCTCCTCACAGTCCCCAGAGCAGCGGCGCCTCCTCCTCACAGCCCCCCAGAGCAGCGGTGCCTCCTCCTCACAGCCCCCAGAGCAGCGGCGCCTCCTCCTCACAGCACCCCAGAGCATGGGCGCCTCCTCCTCACAGCCCCCCAGAGCATGGGCGCCTCCTCCTCACAGCCCCCAGAGCAGCGGCGCCTCCTCCTCACAGCCCCCCAGAGCAGCGGCGCGTCCTCCTCACAGGCCCCCAGAGCATGGGCGCCTCCTCCTCACAGCCCCCCAGAGCATGGGCGCCTCCTCCTCACAGCCCCCCAGAGCAGCGGCGCCTCCTCCTCACAGCCCCCCAGAGCATGGGCGCCTCCTCCTCACAGCCCCCCAGAGCAGCGGCGCCTCCTCCTCACAGGCCCCCAGAGCAGCGGGGCCTCCTCCTCACAGGCCCCCAGAGCAGCGGCGCCTCCTCCTCACAGTCCCCAGAGCAGCGGCGCCTCCTCCTCACAGCCCCCCAGAGCAGCGGTGCCTCCTCCTCACAGCCCCCAGAGCAGCGGCGCCTCCTCCTCACAGCACCCCAGAGCATGGGCGCCTCCTCCTCACAGCCCCCCAGAGCATGGGCGCCTCCTCCTCACAGCCCCAAGAGCAGCGGCGCCTCCTCCTCACAGCCCCCCAGAGCAGCGGCGCCTCCTCCTCACAGGCCCCCAGAGCATGGGCGCCTCCTCCTCACAGCCCCCCAGAGCAGCGGCGCCTCCTCCTCACAGCCCCCCAGAGCATGGGCGCCTCCTCCTCACAGCCCCCCAGAGCATGGGCGCCTCCTCCTCACAGCCCCCCAGAGCAGCGGCGCCTCCTCCTCACAGCCCCCCAGAGCATGGGCGCCTCCTCCTCACTGCCCCCAGAGCAGCGGCGCCTCCTCCTCACAGCCCCCCAGAGCAGTGGCGCCTCCTCCTCACAGCCCCCCAGAGCAGTGGCGCCTCCTCCTCACAGCCCCCCAGAGCATGGGCGCCTCCTCCTCACAGCCCCCCAGAGCAGCGGCGCCTCCTCCTCACAGCCCCCCAGAGCAGCGGTGCCTCCTCCTCACAGCCCCCCAGAGCAGCGGCGCCTCCTCCTCACAGCCCCCCAGAGCAGCGGCGCCTCCTCCTCACAGCCCCCCAGAGCAGCGGCGCCTCCTCCTCACAGCTCCCCAAAGCATGGGCGCCTCCTCCTCACAGCCCCCCAGAGCATGGGCGCCTCCTCCTCACAGCCCCCCAGAGCAGCGGCGCCTCCTCCTCACAGCCCCCCAGAGCATGGGCGCCTCCTCCTCACAGCCCCCCAGAGCATGGGCGCCTCCTCCTCACAGCCCCCCAGAGCATGGGCGCCTCCTCCTCACAGCCCCCCAGAGCATGGGCGCCTCCTCCTCACAGCCCCCCAGAGCATGGGCGCCTCCTCCTCACAGCCCCCCAGAGCATGGGCGCCTCCTCCTCACAGCCCCCCAGAGCAGCGGCGCCTCCCCCTCACAGCCCCCCAGAGCAGCGGCGCCTCCTCCTCACAGCCCCCCAGAGCATGGGCGCCTCCTCCTCACAGCCCCCCAGAGCAGCGGCGCCTCCTCCTCACAGCCCCCCAGAGCATGGGCGCCTCCTCCTCACAGCCCCCCAGAGCATGGGCGCCTCCTCCTCACAGCCCCCCAGAGCAGCGGCGCCTCCTCCTCACAGCCCCCCAGAGCAGCGGCGCCTCCTCCTCACAGCCCCCCCAGAGCAGCGGCGCCTCTCCCTCACAGCTCCCCAGAGCATGGGCGCCTCCTCCTCACAGCCCCCCAGAGCAGCGGCGCCTCCTCCTCACAGCCCCCCAGAGCAGCGGCGCCTCCTCCTCACAGCCCCCCAGAGCAGCGGCGCCTCCTCCTCACAGCCCCCCAGAGCAGCGGTGCCTCCTCCTCACAGCCCCCCAGAGCATGGGCGCCTCCTCCTCACTGCCCCCAGAGCAGCGGCGCCTCCTCCTCACAGCCCCCCAGAGCAGCGGCGCATCCTCCTCACAGCACCCCAGAGCAGCGGCGCCTCCTCCTCACAGCCCCCCAGAGCAGCGGCGCCTCCTCCTCACAACCCCCCAGAGCATGGGCGCCTCCTCCTCACTGCCCCCCAGAGCAGCGGCGCCTCCTCCTCACAGCACCCCAGAGCAGCGGCGCCTCCTCCTCACTGCCCCCAGAGCAGCGGCGCCTCCTCCTCACTGCCCCCAGAGCAGCGGCGCCTCCTCCTCACAGCCCCCCAGAGCAGCGGCGCCTCTCCTCATCTCCATGCCAAGTGCCCAAGATGAGTGTGACTGAGCTGCACCAGCTGCTATAATCACCCTCTCACTTGTTCCCCTGCGCCACTCATTCCCCCCTGTTCTCCCCATCCCCATCCCCATTCCTCCCTCGGCCAGGTGCTTGAGATGGACGTGAATCAGCTGCACCAGCTGCTGCTGTCTCAGCATGTAGGAGGTGAGGTAGAGGGATTGGGGACGATTGGGGAGGCAGGTGGGACGGAAGTGGCAGAGGGGGCGTGAGTGGGGGGAGAGGGTGTGAGCGGAGAGGGAGGAGGAGGGGAAGTGGGGAGAGGAGGATGGAGTTGGCAGGCGGCGGGCGGCGGGTGGTGGTGGTGGATACGCGCACAGAGGAAGAGACATCATGCCAATGATTTCAGAGTCGACTCAACAGTCAAGGCGTGTGGTGGTGGTGGGTACTCGCACAGAGGACAATGCGGCAGTATCAATGATTCCGGGCGGCACATGGAACGATTCGGCGATCATCCAGTATGAGCTGCACGCAGATGGGTACCAACCGGTGAGTGTTGTTGCTCGTGAAATCCTTTGTGTGAGTTGAAACTGAAGGAGGGAAGGGAGCAAATGCCTCTGCTGTCATGGATCTGCCAGCGATGCCCTTGCGAGCAACCACGCGGGTGCACGTGTACTCTTCCAATTACGAGCTGCACGCAGATGGGTACCAACCGGTGAGTGTTGTCGCTCGTGAGATGCTTTGTGTGAGTTGAAATTGAAACGGGAGGGAAGGGAGCAACAGGCTCTGGTGTTGCCATGGATCTGCCAGTGCTGCCCTTTGGAGCAACCATGCGGGTTCATGTGTTCTAAACCCAAGTCATGGGCCATGTGTTGTGCCAATGCCATGGTTGTCTGCCGGTTGAAGTGACATTAGTATAAGACCGCCCAAGTGGGTTCGTTCCATTACCAATCCTACTGATACACCTACAAATGAATAAGTATGGCAGTATGGCAGTACGGTCATTCATGGCTAGAGCTGGTCTGCATGGCAATCGAGGAGATGTCGCCACCACAAGCGACACCACCAACAGCAGTAGTTGCAGTACATCTCCTGCTGCTGCTGTTGCTTCTGCGATGGTGGTTTAGGTTTGCTTTTGAGGCCACAAGTTGCAGTGTGTCCCATATCTTAACAAGCTTGCCTACCGGTAATTCATCTCAACTGCAACATTTCAGGAGTGACTGAACAACTCTATGGAAAAAAAGTTTATCCAAATGACTACAAACACAGCACTACAAATCGTCCCGCAGATACGGTAATCTCTTTGCCATTTGGTTAGACAAAGAGACGTCTCCAACATCTTGATGTGGTAGTTGAGTTGCTATCACTGACAAATTGATACGGTAATACCGTATGCTTATTCTGAACTTGAAGCTGTATAATATCAAAACTTGAGATAATAATGTTGCAAGAACTTTGCGAGGACAGCCAAGTGATACAAAAATCATTCACTAAAATTGATGTAACAGAAAATACAGTAGTTACCTCAACAAAATACATCATTTCCCTGTGACAGCCTTCTTGTATTGCTGTGTTACCCACACCCACCTCTGTGCTGCATTAGCCCTCACAACACGTGACACAAAGCCACTGAATCTGCTGAGGATTGAGGAATAAGGCATCGTGGTGTTGCCGCAGAGCCCTTGTATGGGCTCCGATACAAACCATGGGAGCAGCTTGCAAAAGATGGCGCGGAGAATGAGATCCATCATGTATAAGAACTGCACAAACATAGAAGTTGCACGTATTACGACATGAACGAACCAGAAGCTATAACAAAAATGAAATAGAACCAGGTATTGACGGAACAGAAAATGTAAACGTACAGTGTAGAAGGTACTGACAGGCGCCGCAGCATCTGATAGCTCCACCAATGCGTGTCCTTCTACAACCTATAACACCCACAACGTGACATATAGACGTTGGTACCGCCTCGTTTCAGGCTCCTGACTCGAATCCATGTTGATTGAAAACAATGACCAGCAGGGAGGGGAGTGCATAGAGTGAATGAAAACCCATGTGACAACTGAGGGCACGGACCTGGAGAGCGGAATAACGGGAGAGAGTGGCTGCAAGGCCTGCCCTCAACTCCTCAACCTCTGGTACATCTATGCTTGCCCCTCCATCCCCACCACCACCACCAGCAGCAGCGCCATCCTTGCCCAGGGGGCGGGGGACCCTGTCGTTCTCAGATACCGCCTCCCCCAGCAGCAACCTGCCCAGCACGAGCGCGTCCGTGATGGAGGCGTTGCAGCCCTGGCCCAGAGAGGGCAGCGTGGAGTGCGCTGCATCGCCTATCAGGGCCACCTGGGCGTCACTGTCATGGTAGCGCCAGCACTTCACCTGGTGGTGGGGAAGTGGCGTGTAGAGGGGGAGGTCCCGCAGGGAGAGAGTGTGTGATGAAGTGTGCTGCATCGCCTAACCAGGCCACTTGGGTGCCTGTGTCGTGGTACCGCCACCACTACCACGGGAAACAAGAGAAACGGACAGGGGGCGAGAAAGAAAGAGTAACCCACCTGCATGCTCGTCCTTGGCTTCTGCTTCAGCAGCTTCCAGGCAGCTTCCTCAGGGACATCCAGCCAGGGCAATCTCTCATGGAGGTATTGTTTGGCAGCAGCTGGGGAGGCGAGAGAGAGCCAGTCTAGAGGCGGGTCGGTGGACTTCCACCCCCACACCAGACACATCTCGCCGCCCACCTGCGGCATTGCCACCGCCCCGATGTTTTTTGTGTTGGTGACCTGTTGAAGAGGGGCGGTGGGGAGGGGAGTGAGAGGGATAGTGGAATAACGAGCGAGGGATACTCAGAGTGAGGACGGAGTAGAAAATAGGCCAAGAAGTATAGTTGCAAAGAGAGCATAAACAGACCTTCGCAGTGAAGAAGAGAGAGGTGGGTGTGAGGGCGGGCGGCACGGGTATGCTGACAACAGTCCAGTCGTGATACACACGGTCCGTGTGTACGGGGAAATCCCACGTGCGTGCAGCCAACAGGTTGCGCACATAGGAACGCACCCCGTCCGCCCCCACCTGATGGGGAGGAAGAAGAAAACAGGAGAGGCGGGGAGAGGCACACGGGCACGTCAAGAAATCACCTTTTATTCGCTCCACTATCCTCTCATTCCCTCTCCCACTCTCTCCATTATCCCAACTCCCAGAATTTTCTTCACTCCCTCACTCCATGCATCCCTGACACACTCACTCACTCACCAAAAGGTCAAATTTGATCTCAACGTTCTCCAAGCCACTGCCACCACCCCCATTGCTGCTGTCACCACTGTTGCTGCTCTCACCACTGCTGCAACCTGCGCTGCTGCTGCTGGTGCTGCTGTCGCTGCTGTTACTGCTGCCACTGTTGCTGCTGTCTCCACTGCCACTGCCACTGCTGCGAGGCACAGAAGCAGTGACCACGTGGCCCTTCATATCCACATCCACAATCCTTGACTCAAAATACACTGCCAGGTGCTTGCTCAGGTGTTTCTTCAGGTGCTTCTGTTCCTCAGCACTAGTCTTCCCCCTATCCTCATCAGAAATTTCTTCACTTGCGGTCGCAGGTTTGTACCCCTTAGTAGCTCTCTCGATAAGTGCGTCAAGCAGAGTGGCACAAAGGTCCGTGCGAGAGACGAGGCCTTGAGGGGGGTCCTGAAAACAAGGAGTGACCATTCGTTGTGTAGGAATGGGGGAGGAGGGAAAGGGATCGCGGAACTCTAGCCAGAGGCGGACAATGAACTGACTGAAAGGGAGGGAAAGATTGAAACAATGGTAAATACATAAGAGTTTTGAGAAGCCTAAGAAAAATACTGACCTTTAGCAGCGTAATAAACCCACCTTGGGCATTAAAGCCTACCTTGGGCACTGAGAACCTGATGAGGCGGCCGAAGGCAGGCATGACCATCTCGTGTGGGTTCACCAGCACTGGCTGCACCTGCACACGTGGCAGGAGGCGATTGGATGAGAGAGTAGGTTGGGAGGGGTCTCATAGCTTGCTGTGCCTGCTGGCGTGCGGGCGGGATATGCCATGGAAGGAGGAATAGGGAGGACAATGAAGAGATTAGGAGGGAGAGGGGATTGTGAAGCATGTATGCGCAAACACACACCCCACCTACCACACACCCCACCTACCACACACCCCACCCCACCCACCACACACCCCACCCAGCACACATCAGACTCTGCAACCCACCTTGTCCATGACTCCCGGAATGGCCATCAGGCAGTGCATCGCGCGAATGCTCAGCCCCATGGCGTACCTGCCGCCATTCACATCGGATTCGGGGGAAAACGGGGGAGAGGGGGAAAAGCGGGGGGAGATGGAGAAGGTAAGGGAGAAGTTTTGAGAAGGCTCAGAAGAACTTGACCCCTGAGCGGATAAGGGGGAGAGACGAGCGGAAAAGGGAACGAAGACTGGAGCATAGGGGAAAAAGGTATTCCGGGCAAAGCTGCTCAAATTCCGCATCTTCTTATTCCCCCACCCACTTCCCGTCTCCCATATTTCCTCCTCTGCCCCCACCTTCCCCCCCTTCCTCCCCAATTTCGCCGCCTCCCCTTCCCCTGTCCCCTTCTCGCTTTCCCCTTCCCCCTCCCCTACTTCCCTCCCCCCCGCTCACCGGCGCGCGATCTCTGCCGCCTCTTCAACCTCCGCGCGCGGATCTACGCCCTTTTCAATCACGCTGACGTGGAACCTGCCGCCGCCACGTGCCAGCAGGTAATTCGCCAGCGCCAGGCCCGCCGGCCCCGCGCCGACAATGACCACGCGGAACACGTCAGCGCCCTCCGCTTCCCCCGAGAAGGCGCGCGCGCCGCCGTCGGCGCAAAGCGGATCGTTGGGGTATTCGCGCACCGCGCTCATGGTCGCTCACTCAACACTGAGAGTACTTAAAAATAAAATAGAGACTTTACGGGCAGGTAATCAGCCGACGCGGCGTCGAAGCCCAACACAATCAAAGCGCGACGCGAAACACGGGCAGACTAATATATCTCTCTACCCGCCGGCAATGGGGGAGCCTGTGGGGAGAATCACACGCGCCGCCGCCAATCCCGCTGCCTTCTCTCCTCTACAGTTAAACAGTCACTGAATCATACTCCGTCTCTTCAAAGCAGCAGGTCTTTCTTTCATGGCATGGAGTTCCTAGGGTGGTGGCGGAACCTGTGCCAATCAGTCGCCGCTGAACGCACAGTCATCCGAGCCAAGCATTGCGCACTGCCAGGAGCGGGAGCAGCTGAGAGCCGTACGTTGAGTGATGGCATGGCACCACGTGATGGGAGCGCCGGCCCTTGACCGTTACCAGGATGAACAGATTCGGACCGTTCGTTTGGACCTTGAAGGCAGTGCCGAATCAGCACATGGCAATTGGCCATTGGCCGTCCATTCGGTACATGTTTTATCACGTACGCTCCAAAAGCTAAACCGTTTGAGGGAGACATTCAACTGTATACATAGTCCACGTTTTATTTATGCAGGCCATCAGTCATTTATGTAAGTCAAGTATATTCATTCCAGTTAGCAGGTAAAGCAACGCCATAGCCATGGAGTCCGTGAGTTTAGCCGCAGCATCCGCGGCCTCAACAGCCACTCTCTTCAACGGGAAGAAGCAGGTTCTCTTAAGCAGCAGAGGCAATGCCTGCAATCCCGCATTCATCGCTCGTGTCGAACGTAGAATGAGCACTCCCGCGCTTAGAACAGCGCCGCGTCGCGTCGCAGGCCAGGTGTCCGCGTCAGCCGATCGGACGGTCGTCGCGGCCGCCACGTCGCCGGGCGGTCAAGCGCCAATAAGTGCGCTCGTGTTCGACTGCGACGGGGTGATTCTCGAGTCGGAGGACCTCCATCGGCGCGCTTATAACGCGGCGTTCGCGCACTTCGCGATTCGGTGCCCGGGAGAGAACGCCATCGTTGATTGGACGACGGAGTTCTACGACGTGCTGCAGAATAAGATCGGCGGCGGGAAACCCAAGATGCGATGGTGTGTGTGTCCCTGACGATTGGTCGTGTCGTACTGTTTATGTAGGGAAGGTGCGCGGCGGCTGCCATACCCCATAACGTATGGACTAATGAGTCGACTCAAAAACCACTTTTGAGGATTCTCAAAAGTCATTATCCAATACCGTATACCCCCATACCAGTACACCCGTTTCCATCCCATTCATTACATTTCATCACATTCCATTCCATTTCATCACACCACGTTCTTTCCATGGTATGCTGACAGCAGATCATGCCTGAAACTCGCGACGCCATGTGCAGGTACTTCAACAAAAATGGGTGGCCGCATTCGTCATTTCTCCCCGCCCCTCCCGCCACGGATGCTGACAAGGACGTGCTTATAGACACGCTGCAGGTGATACTTGGTGCATGCGGACAATGTGACTGTATGGAGATGGTCAGTCACTGGTGCTGCAGCCTCCTTCCTGTCCCCATCACCGAGCACTGCCTCTCCCCCTCCCCTTCCCCTCCCCTTCCCCTCCACTTCCCCTGCCGCATCTCACCGCCTTCTCTGTGTTAACCTTGCTCCCCTTGCTCCTTGTTTCTCCGCCACTGCATACCTGCACGGCACATACCAGAGTGAACTACAAGCCAATTTAAAAGCCGCATCCGCTTTGGCTTCCCGACTGCAGCTCATCCAGTCCACATGGCTGACGGCACCTACCAGACCAGAGTGAACTACAAGCCGACTCAGAAGCCGCATCTCACTGTGTGCTCCCCGTTCTCTGCGTCTCTCTCTCTGCGTCCTTCCATGCTCGACACACCACACACGCTCTTACCACGCGTGCTGCCACCAGGATTGGAAGACGGACAAGTATCAGCAGATGATTGGCTCGGGGCAGGTGAGCAAATGATTGGGTGGGGGCTGGTGTGTGCATGATGGCGACCGTCTATTACACCAATTTACGGGTCCTTCAGTTAGTTTCAACAGATGTTGTCGTTACTGTATATGGCTCTAAACACGGCTGCACCCTTCACCAGCTCCTGATAGTCTTCTCGCTCTTGCCTCCTCACCCCTATCCTCCCTTTTTCCCTCCCGTTCCTCCTCCCTTCTCCCCGTACTCTCCCCTCCTGCAGGTGCCAGTGCGGCCAGGCGTGTTAGAGCTGATTGATGAAGCGAGACAGAGGGTACGTGGAGGGATGTGGGTGGAAGAAGAGGAGGGAGAGCGGGGGGATGGAAAGAGCAAGGGAGCTGTGGTGACTTTTGAGTCGACTCAAAAGTCACCTTGGTGGAAGAAGAGGGAGAGCGGGGGATTGAAAAGAGGAAGGGAGCCGCATGCGGGATAGGAGGGGATGTGTTTTTTGAGACGGGATTTAACGTTCTTGAAATGTTGTCTCTTGACTGGAGGTATGGGGGAAAGGTGGTATAAAGAGGACAAGAGGCTCACTGCCCTTCCCTGTCTCTTCCCCTTCTCCCCATCCTTCCCCCTCCCCCCGGCACTCTCAGGGTCTGCTGGTGGCGGTGTGTTCTGCAGCCACTAAGAGCTCAGTTGTCTTTCAAGTCGACTCAATATTCTCTCCCCATTCCCCCACTTCCCCACCTGTCCCGCGCCTTTCTTCCCCCATTCTCCCCCCCGTCCTCCCCCCTCTCTCCTTCGTCTCAGGGTCTGCTGGTGGCGGTGTGTTTTGCAGCCACCAAGAGCTCAGTCGACGTTTGAGCTGACTCAATATTCTCTCCCCCCTGCTTACCCCCTCAAACCCCACTTCCCCCCCCCTCGCCCCCTCTCCCCCCTCGTCTCAGGGTCTGCTGGTGGCGGTGTGTTCTGCGGCCACCAAGAGCTCAGTCGTCTTCACTCTCACCAGCCTGCTTGGGAAGGTACTGTTCATTCCCCCTTGCTCTATTTGTATGGTGGTGCCTCAGAAATAGATCTTACCCTCAATAAGCTTCTGGGTAAGGTGCTCTTTACACCCTTCGCCCTTGGCCCATCCCATCCCCATCTAAACTCCCACATCCAACTCAGTTTGTTATGTGCCTGAGAAATCGCCATAAGTGCCACGTTCTTTTGTTTACCATACTTTCTTTTCGCTCATGCTCCTTAGCTCTGAACCCAAACTCCCATACTTGCTCCTTTGTCAACTAGCACCCCGCTCTGTCAACTCCCTCCCTCCCTTCTGTTCTCTCCCACTGCTCCTTTTCTTCCTCCTTTCCCTCCTCGTCTTCCTTTCCAGGAGAGGTTTGACCGGCTGGACTGCTTCTTGGCAGGTGGGTGTCTCTTACCTGCCTCTCTTCTGCTTCATTGGTCGCGCGTTTTATTTCACATTGCGTTTTTTCGAGCCATCAGAAGTGCAGGGGTTGCAGAAACAGTTACTTGTCTACCGCCTCTTGTCGTCATTTTTTCCTGCCTTCTTCCTAGTTAATTCCTCCACTCTACAATCACCTCATTTTTTCTAGATCCAGATCTGTCTCATAAACCCCTCTGCGTACCTCCACTTTTGCATGCCGCCACCTTTGCGTGCCGCCACCTCTCTTTGCATAAACCTCCATTTTTCCTCCTCCGTTGCGCTCCTCTCCTCATGTGCCTGCCACCAGGCGACGACGTCCCAAAGAAGAAACCAGATCCGACCATCTACAAGATTGCAGCACAGGTGAGATTGCAGCACAGGTGAGATTGCAGCACAGGTGAGATTGCAGCGCAGGTGAGATTGCAGCGCAGGTGAGATTGCAGCACAGGTGAGATTGCAGCACAGGTGAGATTGCAGCACAGGTGAGATTGCAGCACAGGTGAGATTGCAGCACAGGTGAGATTGCAGCACAGGTGAGATTGCAGCACAGGCGAGATTGCAGCACAGGTGAGATTGCAGCACAGGTGAGATTGCAGCGCAGGTGAGATTGCAGCGCAGGTGAGATTGCAGCGCAGGTGAGATTGCAGCGCAGGTGAGATTGCAGCGCAGGTGAGATGGCAGCACAGGTGAGATTGCAGCACAGGTGAGATTGCAGCACAGGTGAGATTGCAGCACAGGTGAGATTGCAGCACAGGCGAGATTGCAGCACAGGTGAGATTGCAGCACAGGTGAGATTGCAGCGCAGGTGAGATTGCAGCGCAGGTGAGATTGCAGCGCAGGTGAGATTGCAGCGCAGGTGAGATGGCAGCACAGGTGAGATTGCAGCGCAGGTGAGATTACAGCACAGGTGAGATTGCAGCGCAGGTGAGATTGCAGCACAGGTGAGATTGCAGCGCAGGTGAGGTTGCAGCGCAGGTGAGGTTGCAGCGCAGGTGAGATTGCAGCGCAGGTGAGATTGCAGCACAGGTGAGATTGCAGCACAGGTGAGATTGCAGCGCAGGTTAGATTGCAGCACAGGTGAGATTGCAGCACAGGTGAGATTGCAGCACAGGTGAGGTTGCAGCACAGGTGAGGTTGCAGCGCAGGTGAGATTGCAGCACAGGTGAGATTGCAGCACAGGTGAGATTGCAGCACAGGTGAGATTGCAGCACAGGTGAGATTGCAGCACAGGTGAGATTGCAGCACAGGTGAGATTGCAGCACAGGTGAGATTGCAGCACAGGTGAGATTGCAGCACAGGTGAGATTGTAGCACAGGTGAGATTGCAGCACAGGTGAGATTGCAGCACAGGTGAGATTGCAGCACAGGTGAGATTGCAGCGCAGGTGAGATTGCAGCGCAGGTGAGATTGCAGCGCAGGTGAGATTGCAGCACAGGTGAGATTGCAGCACAGGTGAGATTGCAGCGCAGGGTGAGATTGCAGCGCAGGTGAGATTGCAGCACAGGTGAGATTGCAGCACAGGTGAGATTGCAGCACAGGTGAGATTGCAGCACAGGTGAGATTGCAGCGCAGGTGAGATTGCAGCACAGGTGAGATTGCAGCGCAGGTGAGGTTGCAGCGCAGGTGAGGTTGCAGCGCAGGTGAGATTGCAGCGCAGGTGAGATTGCAGCACAGGTGAGATTGCAGCACAGGTGAGATTGCAGCGCAGGTTAGATTGCAGCGCAGGTGAGGTTGCAGCGCAGGTGAGGTTGCAGCGCAGGTGAGGTTGCAGAGCAGGTGAGGTTGCAGCACAGGTGAGATTGCAGCACAGGTGAGATTGCAGCACAGGTGAGATTGCAGCACAGGTGAGATTGCAGCACAGTTGAGATTGCAGCACAGGTGAGATTGCAGCACAGGTGAGATTGCAGCACAGGTGAGATTGCAGCACAGGTGAGATTGCAGCACAGGTGAGATTGCAGCACAGGTGAGATTGCAGCACAGGTGAGATTGCAGCACAGGTGAGATTGCAGCACAGGTGAGATTGCAGCACAGGTGAGATTGCAGCACAGGTGAGATTGCAGCGCAGGTGAGATTGCAGCGCAGGTGAGATTGCAGCACAGGTGAGATTGCAGCACAGGTGAGATTGCAGCACAGGTGAGATTGCAGCACAGGTGAGATTGCAGCACAGGTGAGATTGCAGCACAGGCGAGATTGCAGCACAGGTGAGATTGCAGCACAGGTGAGATTGCAGCGCAGGTGAGATTGCAGCGCAGGTGAGATTGCAGCGCAGGTGAGATTGCAGCGCAGGTGAGATTGCAGCGCAGGTGAGATGGCAGCACAGGTGAGATTGCAGCACAGGTGAGATTACAGCACAGGTGAGATTGCAGCGCAGGTGAGATTGCAGCACAGGTGAGATTGCAGCGCAGGTGAGGTTGCAGCGCAGGTGAGGTTGCAGCGCAGGTGAGATTGCAGCGCAGGTGAGATTGCAGCACAGGTGAGATTGCAGCACAGGTGAGATTGCAGCGCAGGTTAGATTGCAGCACAGGTGAGATTGCAGCACAGGTGAGATTGCAGCACAGGTGAGGTTGCAGCACAGGTGAGGTTGCAGCGCAGGTGAGATTGCAGCACAGGTGAGATTGCAGCACAGGTGAGATTGCAGCACAGGTGAGATTGCAGCACAGGTGAGATTGCAGCACAGGTGAGATTGCAGCACAGGTGAGATTGCAGCACAGGTGAGATTGCAGCACAGGTGAGATTGCAGCACAGGTGAGATTGCAGCACAGGTGAGATTGCAGCACAGGTGAGATTGCAGCACAGGTGAGATTGCAGCACAGGTGAGATTGCAGCACAGGTGAGATTGCAGCACAGGTGAGATTGCAGCACAGGTGAGATTGCAGCACAGGTGAGATTGCAGCACAGGTGAGATTGCAGCACAGGTGAGATTGTAGCACAGGTGAGATTGCAGCACAGGTGAGATTGCAGCACAGGTGAGATTGCAGCACAGGTGAGATTGCAGCGCAGGTGAGATTGCAGCGCAGGTGAGATTGCAGCGCAGGTGAGATTGCAGCACAGGTGAGATTGCAGCACAGGTGAGATTGCAGCGCAGGGTGAGATTGCAGCGCAGGTGAGATTGCAGCGCAGGTGAGATTGCAGCACAGGTGAGATTGCAGCACAGGTGAGATTGCAGCACAGGTGAGATTGCAGCGCAGGTGAGATTGCAGCACAGGTGAGATTGCAGCGCAGGTGAGGTTGCAGCGCAGGTGAGGTTGCAGCGCAGGTGAGATTGCAGCGCAGGTGAGATTGCAGCACAGGTGAGATTGCAGCACAGGTGAGATTGCAGCGCAGGTTAGATTGCAGCACAGGTGAGATTGCAGCACAGGTGAGATTGCAGCACAGGTGAGGTTGCAGCACAGGTGAGGTTGCAGCGCAGGTGAGGTTGCAGCGCAGGTGAGATTGCAGCGCAGGTGAGATTGCAGCACAGGTGAGATTGCAGCACAGGTGAGATTGCAGCGCAGGTTAGATTGCAGCACAGGTGAGATTGCAGCACAGGTGAGATTGCAGCACAGGTGAGATTGCAGCACAGGTGAGGTTGCAGCACAGGTGAGATTGCAGCACAGGTGAGATTGCAGCACAGGTGAGGCTGCAGCGCAGGTGAGATTGCAGCGCAGGTGAGATTGCTTCTGAGTCGAGTGAAGAGTCGTCACTTCCAGAAAACAACTGTTTCTTGCCTGCCGTTTACATTCGTAAATGGCGGGTGGCGGGTGTTTAGAGGCGGATGTTTAGGGGCGGGTGTTCATTGGCGGGCCGCCCTTATCCACGGGGACGCCTTAATCCAGGGGTCGGCTTAATCCAGGGGTCGGCTCAATCCAGGGATCGGCTTTATCCAGGGGTCGGCTCAATCCAGGGGTCGGCTTAATCCAGGGGTCGGCTTAATCCAGGGGTAGGCTTAATCCAGGGGTCGGCTTAATCCAGGGGTCAGCTCAATCCAGTGTTCGGCTTAATCCAGGGGTAGGCTTAATCCAGGGGTCGGCTCAATCCAGGGGTCGGCTTTATCCAGGGGTCGGCTTAATCCAGGGGTCGGCTTTATCCAGGGGTCGGCTTAATCCAGGGGTCGGCTTAATCCAGGGGTCGGCTTAATCCAGGGGTCGGCTTAATCCAGGGGTCGGCTTAATCCAGTGTTCGGCTTAATCCAGGGGTCGGCTTAATCCAGGGGTCGGCTTAATCCAGGGGTCGGCTTAATCCAGGGGTCGGCTTAATCCAGGGGTCAGCCTTATCCAGAGGAGCGTCTTAATCCAGGGGTCCCGCAAAACCCAAGGGTTCCTCCGCAAGGCTCGTCCACGGAGGTTGAGTCAAGACCTAAGGATGCCAATTGCTAGAGTGCGGACGCCGTTCACTAGAGGGCGGGCGCCGTCGCTAGAGGGCGGGCGCCGTTCTCTAGAGGGCGGGCGCCGTTGCTAGAGGGCGGGCGCCGTTCTCTAGAGCGCGGGCGTTTAAGGGCTGATCAGCCTGCAGACAGCTTGCCTCTCAGTCCTCACATGTTCCTCCCATTGCTCACCCAATCCGCATATCCCCTCGTAAGTCCTCACTCGTTTCTGTACATATTTTTGAGGCGCCTCAAAAAAAGTCCTCACTCGTTTCTGTACATATTTTTGAGGTGCCTCAAAAAAAGTCCTCACTCGTTTCTGTACATATCACCCGCTTCAGCTCCTGGGAGTGCCCCCCGCATCGTGCCTGGTGGTGGAGGACAGTGTGATTAGCTTGCCGCGTGCCTCTTCGTCCTCACACTCTTATCCCCTTCAGTGCCCATTCAATCCTCACATCCCCCCAAATGCTCTCACTCGTTTCTGTGGCCTCTACCTCTTCAGCGCCTGGGAGTGCCCCCCTCGTCGTGTCTGGTGGTGGAGGACAGTGTGATTGGCCTGCAGGCCGCTCTCGGGGCCGGCATGCTGTGTGTTATCACCTACACGCCTTCCACCAAGAGCCAGGTCAGTTTAGTAGTTTTCGTTTTTTCTTTATATCTGGGGTGTCAACATGTCGTTTTCTTTGCCTGGTTTGTGACATGACATGCATACCAGGAATCCTGTAGAGATGCAGTGTTCTACAATTTGCATGAATTCTGCCCTTCCCCTCCTCCCCCCTCCTCCCTCACCCCGTATGTAGGATTTCACTGGGGCTGTAACGGCGTTTGATGATCTAGGTGGAGTTTCTTTGGATAAGCTCATTAGTGCATGCTCTGCTGTTGTGGCCTGAAAGTACCACTACCAACCAAACCATACGAAAACCAGTACAATACATCTGGTGTGACCGTGCTTATCATCTGCACTCCAGTGACTAACAAATCATGCTGAAGCATGGATATCACTAGGATAGGAGGAACTAGACGTTGAGCTGGGTGAATGTACATAAGAGCACGTCGTGGGTGCAGTGAACCACTTGCACGGGGACCTTCAAAGTGAGGACCCACCACCGCGAGACACCTTCAGCGCCAGAGGTTCCACAGCGAAAACGCCGCTTGCCCTCCCTCCAGGAGCCACAATGGTTCCATAATAAGACCCTGGGAAAGCCATCAGCCCCCTGAAAACATCCGCAACAGTCATTCTTGCCTCTGCAGCAACGCTCCCTGCATCATAGCACCATCCAGAGGAAGTGTACTTATAGAGGAGTCCCATCCTCCTCGCATTGCCGTGCCTTTTCCAACCATGGTCGAACGGGGGACTGTTTGTCACATTAGACCACGTCTTTGCTGGGAAATTGACCACCGGGGCGTTGGACCTGGCAGTGACAATGCCAGCAGCGGTCGGAAAACCCTGGATGCTCAAGCCAGTCAAGCGGAGAGAGTAACGAATGTTCACGCTGGTGGCATTGCGGAAAACGAATACGCGGATGACACCGCTTATATCCTCAACGCCTCGCAGTCTCGCCTCCACATGACCTGTCAAGGAACGAGTCCAATGTTCGTCAGGGTAAGGTTAATGAAAAGCGGTTTAGTGATGGCATCACGCGTTGATGGTGGTGGCCGGTGGCGCTTACCCTCGTAGCTTCCAACGTGTAATGCATTTCTTGTTCGTCCTGGGTTGACTATTCCTGTCGGCGTCTGGGGACCAGTTAACTTAGCAGCCGCATCGTCCAGCACGCGTAGCCCCTCTGTAAAGACACGCAAAGCATTACCGAAGTTAATGCAAGGTCTCTAATAACGCTGGTGGAATGGCTCTTATATTTTTTTAGGCTCGGACATCACTTATGTACTTCAGTCGTTGAATCCGTTCTCACCTGCTATTGATGCATAAAGTACGAGGAACAACACGAAGGCGAAACGAGGTGTTCGCAACCTCATGTTAAAGGGTCGTTCGTAATGGGAAGGTCGAAGGTGGAGGCAGGTTAGCAGTCAAAGCGTCTAAATGACATTCGGATGTTCAAACGCGAGTGTTAAATCCGTTCAGCACCGGTGTCTAGCCATAAAGAGCGAAGTTGCCGTTAGAGTACAGGCCACCTGGAGCCATGCCACAGCAGTCCTGGAACGCGCAGAATGCGCCATGACCAGTCAGAAGCTTGCTTTCACGCATTGTTTGCGAGCCTGTGCATTGCGCAAAAGACGGAGCCCTCAGAACGCGATACATTAGCCCCTTCGAATGAGAAGTTCGGAAAGACAAATGGGTAATCGTTTTTTTAAACATATGCAAAACGGTACTTAACGGTGTATTGTGGTACTCCTGCAATTTCGTGGCTTCAACCCAACTTGGTGGATCGCGTCATGAGCCTCCGCAGCCAGCCCGAAACTGCTTGACTGTCGCACAGTGCACAGCTTCCCGAATTATTGCCGAGTACACCCAGCGAGAATTTTCCCACGATCCGCGCTGTGGTTTGACTGGCAAATGTGAAATTTGCCGTGGCCAATTTGTTTTCGCCGACGGATTTGTGGGCCTCGCAGGTATGTTACCAGCCGAAGTTGGAGAATTTACTGGTCTGCGACGACTTGTGATCTCGCAAAGCGACGAATACGTGGGCAACGACGCGTCAAACAGTGACTAGCGATGCATGGTTACCGCAGCCCAAAAAGCAGGCAAGCATGGGGTACGTGGGGAGAAAGCACTCAACCACAATTGATGACCTCAGTGGAGTTGCATTCGATAAGTTCATTACTAGAGCCTCAATGTCCTTCACCATAGCACATATTATAAAGTCCAGGTCAGCTGATTCTTGGAAGTTTTTTAAAGCATAAATAGCACTAAGAGGCTCTAATTGAGCTGTCAGTCTACAATGTACAAATCAGCATGACTTCCGTGCAGTGCACCACATGGTGAAATGCATTCAAGATGATGAGGAGCCATCACGAAACATCTTATCTGGCAGTGGTTGCACCGTAAAGACACCCCTTGCCCTCCCGCCAGGAGCCACAATGGTCCCATAATACGATTCTGGGGACGCCATCAGCCCTCCAATAACATCAGCGACGGTCATTCCTGCCCCTGCAGCAACGCTCCCTGCATCATAGCACCATCCGGATGAAGTGTACTTATAGAGCAGGCCCATCCTCGTATCACCTTGCTTGATCCAACCAAGGTCGAAGGGAGGACTGTTTGTCACATTGGACCAAGTTTTCGAAGGGAAATAAATCACGGGGCCGTTAGACCTGGCAGGGACGATCCCAGCAACAGTCGGGAAACCTTGGATGCTTAATCCGGCCACGTGGAGCGAGTAACGAATGTTCACGCTGGTGGTATTGCGGAAAACGACCACGCGAATCACACCGCTGATATCGCCAATGCCTCGCAATGTCGCCTCCCCATGACCTGTCACGTAAGAGTTCAACGTTCGGGAGGGTAACAACAATACACGCGGTTCAGTCTGGCACGTTATTTGGACAAAAATGTATTGTACAGTGCGTCGCTGTCATGACGGCGTCAAGCGTTTATTGCGATGGTATCGTCGCTTACCCTGGTAACTTCCATGTGAATCTCTTAATCGGGCCGGCCATGGTCGTGCTGCCGAATTCCCTGCGTTGATAGATTCTGTCGGTTTCTGAGAATCACTTAGCTGAGCAGCAGCATCGTCCAGCACGCGTACGCCCTCTGTAAGGACACAGAATGCATTGGCGAAGTCAATGCGAGGTCATTAAAGCTCGCAGCTAAAGATATGGTGGATAGCTACGAAAACTCCGGGCAATAACCTTCTATTTCAGACGTCGGATTGGTCCTCACCTGCTATGGATGCGGAGACGAATAGCAACAACCAGACGGCGAAACAAGGTGTGTGCAGCCTCATGATGGTTGTTCTTCTCTAACAGGCAATCAACTCGATGGAGCAGATAAGCAACGAAAGTGATTGAGTGACGCTCAAATGGTCGAATAGGGGATGCTAAATTCGCCGGACACCCGCTTTCCGCCATCGACAGCGTGGTTGGCGCAGCTCCGGAACTCGCAAACGCGCCATAACCAGTCAGAGGCTTGCTCCCATACTATTGTCGGCGCCTGGAAGTTTTCCTGCGTGCGAGTCGCAGGCGCTGAGGCGCCGCCACCACCAGTCTTCCCACAGGCGCGTCTGCCGCACAGCTGGCAGCGCCCATGATAGTTGACAAGTGCATTGGCTTTTTATGATAAGGAAGAACCGCCCCACCGTCCTTGTAATAGTTTGACTGGCAACCGTGAATTTTGCCGTGGCCAGTTTGTTCTCCTTGACGGTTTGTAGGCCTCGCTGGCATGTTACAAGTGCAACCAGACATTTGCTGGTCAGCGACGGATATTTAGCTCACGAGCGATAACGAGTCTAACGACGACTTTGCGATGCATGGTTACCGCGCAATAGAGGAAGCTGACAATGTGGTGCGTGTGCAGCCAAAACAGTTTGGGGTGGAAGCATATGCGGCAACGTGCTGCGTGTGGATATGGAATCCGACTTCAGGCACGAACGTGCAGTGTGCCAGTGGCAGTGCTTGTTCCGCCCAGCTGGCTGGTTTGCATTGGATGGTTCGACCCTTTTTGTTTTCGTTGGGCTGTTGCCGAGCATTCACGATTGAAACGCTCGTTACACATTTACCGTATAGGAAGAAAATGTTGCTAACACTGCAAGCACAAACAAAAATATTTTTCCTGCTAAATATCCGCTGGACACGAAGTCCACACGCATCAACTAAAGATAAATGCAATAAGTTTCGCACCCACTCCAGGCTTAGCATCTGACTGGCGAAAAGGTGCGAAACTTATAGCAATACATCCCTAACTCACCCATTCCACGTGCAAATCTCTAACGCCAGGTGTGGAACTTGCCAGAAGCAACGCCACCAGGAGCAGTGATGCGGCCACTATAAGCTGCAGGAGCGGCAACCATGGCCACAGCAATAGACCCAATAGTCTTGCCGCCATCAGTAGTCTTTGTGTTCGCGTTGTAATAAACCCCGGTCGCATTGTAACGGAAACACACACCAAAGACCCATGCGCGGTTGCGCCTCCTCCAGCCGTAGCCATAAGGCTGCTGGCCAGTGGTGTTGGTCCACGTGGCATCGGGGAAATCAAGGACAGCGTCGCCGTTATTATTCAGGACGGCGGCAGCGGTAGGAAGGCCTGGGGTCGGCAGGCCACCAATCCTCAGCACGTAACGGACATTGTAGTCTGTGTTGTTCCTGACCAACACATCAAAAGCACGAATTGGAAGAACGACGTTTCAATGACATCAAAGGCGCAAAAGAACGGAGAAATCAAGGAACGAGAAGTGCTTCATTGAAAGCATAGTACTAAGCCTGAAGTATGCTCGTGAATGGCACTCACTTGAAGACAACAACGTGCATGCGTCCAGTGATGTTGCCGTTGCCCGTCAGATCAGCCTCCACGTGGCCGTAGAACGTGCCCAGAGCGGCGCCAGGGCCCAGCCCAAGGCCCCCACCAGGCCCCCGTCCGAGCCCGCCGCCCCTGCCGCCCCCTCCGCGTCCCCCACCAAATCCCCGTCCACCGCGCCCTCCGCCACCCCTGCCGCCGCCATAGCCGGGTCCCTGGGCGAGAACCCCTGAAACGAGAGAAGAGATGAGCATACTGACGACAGCTTAGAAAAAAGAAAAATGAATGAATTATCCTCCACGTGGTCGCGTCGTGCTGAGCATGACACATATGGCATGCAAGAAAAGGTTGGCCTCGCCGCTGGAGTCTTACCTGATGCGACGAGGCCTAGGAGCGTGAGAAATACCACAGCCTTGCTAACACGCGCCATCATTGAAGATTAGATTGTCGTATTTCGAGCTGCTAGGAAAGCGTTTGTTGAAA